ATTTTACCGGAAATTGATTTCTTTAAAAAAAAAATATGATTTCCATTTTTCCATTTCTTTTTTTTTTAATTCCTAGTTAGAATGAAAATCGTAGAAATAAAATTGAAAATTTTATTCATTATTTAATTTTTAATTACAGTTGTTTTTAAATGAACCATAAATACTTCACAAAAACAATTTTAATTATTTCATTATTTGAATAATATCATCACTTCTAGCAATTCTACCAAACCTTATTTTATACCTTACAAATCAATTTTCTAATTTCTTTTTTTTTTGGTATTGTTTCAAATTATAAATTTCTCATTTATTCTTTAATTAGTATTTCTAGACATTTACTTATTGTTGAAGTGATCGATCAAATAAATCATTCAAATTTTTAATCTGTCTATTAAATAGATAGAGAATCTATTTTGAATTACTAATGAAAAATTGAGGAATATTACTTAATAGAAATACGACAATTAACATCAATTACAACTTCATTAAACTATATCTTAATCGACCATTGGTCATTTAATCGTATGATTATTCTTAAGAACTATAACGCTAACAAATATAAAGAGTAATTATATTCAATTCTTTACCTGAAAATAAATGAAAGATATTTTGACCTTACAAAATGTTGCTGTTGAAAAGTAATTATTAGAAGAGATTATATATTCTATGGTTCAGCGGACATAAAATTAGAAGATGGGAAGGTAATAAACAGTGCTTGTATATGTGTGTGTGTGTGTGTGTGTGTATGTGTGTGTATGCGCGCATTAGGTCTTCTGTCCTCTCATTTCTACCGCGCTACTGTCCAGCAACGAATTCCGCACTTCACCGATCATTCGACATTCTCCGTTATTTTTCTCTCTTCCAGATGTTGAAACTTCCTATCATTTGGCTTATTTTCTTTCTTTATCATCATAATTCATTCATTAATTTTTCATTCGAATAATGATTAACTGATCTGAACAGAATCTTGACTACAGATTTTTTTCGAATCCGGATCAAATCGCGGTAACTAAGTTAAATATGATTTATGCTTTCTATTGATGTTATCAGTAATATCACAACTGCCAGTCGTTTTGTGGGAAACAAATGTAATATACATTTCGATTTTTTTTATCACCAAAAAATAAAAATAAACTTCAATTAAACCTTCTTTCCTCTTTCCTATCGTACACAGTAACATTTTCACTTTGATTTCACTTAATTTGTTATTTCGTAGAAAATTTCCTACGTAATGGTAATAGTATCATCTTTGTTGTATGCCTTCTTGCCTTCCCATATGACCATTACAACTTCTCATTGTTCATTTTGTCCACCTCTCTCTCTCTCTCTTTCTCTCTCTAATTTTTCCTATTTAATTTTGTTTGTTCGGCTCTAACATCCATTTTCCTAAAAATTTTTATCTGCAGTTGATTCGGCTAGTTTCTTGTCCTTGAGCTGAAGAAGATATTCATCAATTTTGCATACTGTTCAATTTCATTTCATCCATTCATATTTTTATAATTTTTAATAGGAATAAATAAATTCTTTAAATTGAAATTTTTTTCATAATGTAATGAAGTAAAATTGAGATTTCGAAATTTCATAAGTGATAGCGAAGAATTTATTCTACAACATATTACGCGATTCTACTACATATTACGAAATTTATTCTACTGCATATTACGAGCAGTATATTTGAAATCATCTTCGATACAGTTTTTTCTATTAAATTTAAAATTAAAACTCAAATTCATTTTTAGACCAAAATCAATAATACTCCAATACCGCAGAAGTCATCCATCATTTTTTCAAGAAAAGTATTCGAAACTATCCTACTTTCCTTTCTCTCTTTAATGATTATAACTCTGTCCTCTTTTCTTTGATTTCAAAAAATCGAAAATAAAATCGACTTTACCGTTCATTAGTAATTACTGTCACCATTTTGTCGTGTCATCAATTTTCAGCAACATCAAATAACACATTGAAAAACCCTACCAAACGAAGTGTATGTTTTTGTTATTTTACCAATCAATTATTGATTACTCACACATTTTGTTGATTTTTTTCCCGGATAATAGTAATAGTAACAGTAATGATAATGATAATACTAATTATGATAACGCTGATAGCAACAATAATATAGTTTTTGTTTTAACTTCATTAAGATTACAGTGAATGAATAATGTTGCTTAAAAATATGATAACATTAGGAATAAGGCGATCGATGCGATGTAAAAATAAGATTATATCAATTTTTTGTTTTGCTTTAGAAAAATGATACCATTTAGATTCGTTTTTGGAAAATTGATATTTTCTGATAAATTCATTCTTTCAACCTTTTTCTTTGAAAATAATTTAGCCTATGAAAAATGGAGCAAATTGTAAATTGAATTATAATTTGACAACGGAAATGGAATTCTAAATCGATCTAAAATGTTCACTTCCGGTTCTATTTTTGTATGTCTTCAAATTTACGATAACATAAATGCGCATAATGCAAATGATTATAATAACGCTTCATTCGATTTTCGTCTTATTTTAAACTCGAAATTTCTCTACTATTTATATCAAAATATTGTTAATCATTCATTAGGTGTTGATTGTTATTGTAACTTTATTGTTGACAGTTACAATATGACTCGGCTATGTAAATAAATTATTCGAAATTCTGTCCTTTAAAAGATCGAAGATGGTAAAGATTGAAGTTGAAGTATCATTTTTGATAAACAGATTATGCAGCATATATCGATCACTTCTCAATATTCTTAGAATTATTTTGAAAAAATTTTTCACAACTCATTTAGTATATATTAAAGTTGTTAAATTCTACATAAGCAATTTAGTTTAAAGTTCAATCATTTTGAGAGTGAATTATTAAAGTGTAAATTTTATTCTCAATCCTTATATATCGTTTAATCATCATTTTACAATCTTATCACAATTTCATCACAATCGCATAACGATCTTATACAGTCTTATGACTCTAATCTGTTACGATCTTATCAGTAACTTTAAATTTTCTAACTTTTAAAATATAATTTACAAAGATCAAATGAAATATCATTGAACGCAATAAATGAGAAAAAAGTTTCCTATTGTAATAAAAGAAATATTGTAACGAAAATTTTTGTACCTGTAATAACATTTCACACCTAAATGAAATCACAGTGACCGACTTTTTCAGTGCTTTACAAATATAAACTAGGTGGATAGAGAGAGAGAGAGAGAGATAGTCACGATCATCATGTATCATCACATCTCATCATCATATCATCCTCCATCGACATCATCATCACTGTTGCACACTTTACCATTTACCACCTTTCTCTCTGCTGTCATTCCATTAATCTTAATTTAATTTAATTCAATCTGATTTCATTCAATTTATTAATTCATTCATCACAGATATCATCGACATGGGTACATTCATTATGAAATTTAAAATTTACCATAAAATTTTCATAAAGGATTCGGAGAAATTTGATATATAACAATCATAACGATTCCTTTCCAATCTTCCATTTCATCTACTCACTTATCTCTTAGAAATAATTCAATTTACTGTTTTCCTTTCATTCATTTATTATCAACAATTTCGTGACAATTAAGAAAATTCCGGTTTTTTGAAATAAATTAAAACCTAAAATATAAGTTGGTTTCAAATTCCAGCATTTTATAATTATTGAATTTTTTCCGGAACAGGATCGAATTAACTATATATCACTAATTCATACAGTAATATCATTTCATATTTTCTTTCAAATTTAAAAATGTAAAATAAAAATATAGAGAGTAGAGTGAAGTTATTGGAAAGTTTTGTTTTGAAATTGCGAAATCTTTTAAAAATGAAAATTTAAGTTTTATTGATTGCTTTTTATAGATTACCATACTATTTTAGTTTCATACACAAAAACCTTACATCATAATATCATAAGTTCTGATTCAATCTTACTTGTATTTTTAGAAATTTTACCAAAGCAGACAATAATAGTATTGATAGAAGTCGAAATTATCTTGTTTATTTTGCCAACCATTTTGATGAAAATATGAAATACCTGTGTTACCTGATTTCTAGGTAATTATTAAATGATTGAAAATTTTGATATTACTAATAGAATATCATTTCTTTTCACTTCGCTTATTCCAGAGAAATTTCGATCGAAACTCTCGTTTATATTTCGAATTAAAATTTAGCGTTATGAAATGTTTCCCTTCTTCTCTTATATCTCCATTGAATAATACTTATCGGTTCAATTAAAATTTTCAATGCTTTTCAAATGTAATTAATTATAAGACTAAATACAGCTAGGCTATATTTATCTTATACTATCGTAAATTTTGCCTCATGCATTTACCTTACATTTACCTTTTCTTGCTCAAATCACTTAATGATATAAATTTTGCTTCATGCATTTACCTTACATTTACCTTTTCTTGCTCAACTTTCTTTAAAATATTAAAAAATTGATCAACCTGGATTTTAACTTTCGACATGAATGCAAATGCAATCGTTGTGATATTTATTAAAATATTATGTTTCATTAAAGAAACCTAATAGGTTTACAATGATAGTCTAAGCATTTATCCTACAAATCCATTCTTTGGAAGTAATAAATCAGATGAATTTTAAGGTGTTGAAAACCTTTGTGAAATTTATTTAAAAATGCAATTTTGCTTAAATTGCACGAAAACTTTCAATACCTTCAAATTTTTCTGATTTATTTATTTGTTACAAAATTTAATTAGAAATGGAATATTTTGTTAAATCATATTTCTATGATCGGTCGAGATTTAGAATGCAACAAATTAAAGTATAATTTTTGTTCCTTTTTTTAGTATCAAAAAATGATAATTGACCGTAATATTACAATGAAATTTATTTCCAACAAAATGATTCAGTTTAAAAGAGAAACAATCTGTGATCGATATATTTTGCTATTATAGCTACTAATCATTCATCCTATTTTTTATTATTCCGTATTTTATTTTATTGGATCAAATGAATTCCAATATTATGTATTATGATCGATAATATTGGATCATCAGCAGTGGCTAAAATTAATTTTAGTAAATTGGAAATATGAAGCCTAATTTAGGCCTTAAACAGATATTTTTTAATATTACTGGTACAATCATCGCTGGTTTTACTTTTCTCACTAATCGAGCTATTATTTATTATGAATTTATTAGATTAAAAAATGTACTCAAAAAATTACTAATGTTCTACTACATATTTTATTTAATTGGTAGAGGAAGTTCACAGTTCAACTCCAATTCGGTATCTTTTCAAAATAATCTCGGAAACATTTCCACTTCTTCTTCAATGACTCCATTTCAGGGTGAGATTATTTAATCTTCAAGAAAATATTTTCGTTTGTTTATTTCGAAATAATATACGACTGATAAGTGCATATGTTAATGACAGCGTAGAAATATTGAAAAATTGAATTTCCCATAAATCAGTAAACCGATATAATAATATAAGATGTTATGATTTTATATTATTATATCGATTTACGCTGGTTTATTACGATGAAGAGATTTACTATCATAATTACCTTTATAAAGCTAATTAATTTATACTTTTCTTATTATCCTAAAATTTAAAGTAAGAACTTTAAAACATTTCAAATAACAATTTTGATTTATCCTTTTTGTAGAAAACTTTCAAGAAGCGCTGCTGGATGATCCAAAAACGACTACTTTTGTTATTGACGATCACGTGGTAGGAAATTTATATTATTTTAAAAAAATAATTAAATTTACAAAATTTTAACGTAAATTTGCATAGAGCTAATAAAATAGATTATATTTATAAAAGGAAAAAAATAGATAAATAAATCTAATCTAATTTTATTTTTTTAGCTCGCGGATATTCCAAATAAATCTCAGATAATTCAAAAATTGGATACCATACGAACGAGGCAACTTGTTCAACGTTCCTTATCAACTTTACCAGATTTTTCAATCGAAAAAGATTCAACAGATCGCTCAACACTACTTACTGTTATTTTACCACGTTCTTCAACCGATTTTGGCCAATTTATTGCCAAAGTTGTTGATATTTCACCAGTCATGTAAAAGTTTTAATTCACACTTTTCTTTTATAAATTTTTAAAAAGTTTTACAGAAGTTAGGAATAGATAGAACTAAAAGTTACATTAAGCAATTCATTAAAATGCATTATTTGTGCTTTAAAATTTTAGTAAATAAATAATTTGTTCCATTATTGTTTTAAGTTGAAACTATCAATATTTTTCTTTTTGAAATGATCCGCCTAATTGAAAGAAAAAGATATATAATGTTGATAATTTTAGAGATTTATCAGAACGTGATATCAACAGGACATTTTTAGCGTCATCATCAGATTTCAAGACAATCAACATTCATGGCCTTCATCCTGGTCATCACTATAGGTTAGATAAAGACAAAGAAATAAGCAAAATAAATTTTAGTAAAATTTAATGAAAAAATTTTTATTCGTTAAATAACTCAATGATAACAGCAATATCAATGAGTTCAATTCCATTTTATTATTGTTGAAATTTGTTGGCTATTGTCTTTCAACTTCATCATATTAAGAGAATCCTATATGCATTATTTAAATATCAGTAAAACAAATAAATAAATAAAATAAATTTTAGTCAGTCAGGGTGTCAATTATTCTTTAATGAAAAATAATGTAACTCAAAGAGTAAAATTTCGTATTTCAAAAAGTTACAATATCCTCAACGAATCATTACGTGAAATGTAACTGTTGGAAGATTTAATTAATTCGTTGCAGCAAAAAATAATGTTTCAATCATTCATCAAAATTCTTTTTTAGTAATTATAATCATACTTAAATATAAAATTTAAAAATGTTAGATTGACAAATTTTGTTTTAATGACAAATAATTAAATCAAACAACTTTCAAAGCAAACTTTCTTTTTTGTTTCGAGAAATTCAAAAAAGTTTAAAGAAGTTTGCAAAATAAGTAAACGTTAAACAATTGTCAGAAATTGTTTTTAATTTAACATATGGATTTATATTTATATATAAATATGGCTGTCAATAAATCTTCTCCAAGTTACATTTTAATATTTGAGAATATTGTCACGTTCATACATATCTATATCGACATCCTGCATATGTAACATAACGTGTAATATCAAATATCCGGTCGAACAAATTACATTTCATACCATTAGGATTGCTTTGAGTAATCTATAAATTCGTCCAGTCGAAAATTTTCGGTTGTAGTTTTTGAGTAATAAAATATTTTACTATATCCTATTAATCACCACTAAAAGGAAACAAAGAAACTGAGATTTAATTTTATGTAAAATAACAAATATCCTTTTTCATATTTATTTCTTCCTCATTTACTATGTAATTTCAATTTCAGTCATTATATAATTAATGTAAATGCATATTTATTTGGCGGAAAATTTCGGCTATTTCATATTAAGAATTTTAATTTGTCATATCGTTAATTAGGAATGGAAAGACAAAAGAGAAATTATAATTTAGTTTTTACAAAGATTGAAAATTGAAAGAGCTAAATAATAAGCTTAAAAGAAAACGAATGATACTAAGTTACTTCTTTCGGTATGTAACGAATTTTGTATTCATTTTCCAACAAGAAAAATCATTCAATGTAAGAGAATTCTAATTTAATTCAAAATAATTATAGTTTGATATGATTTTAGTGTATCAGTGATTGGTAGACGAAAAGATCAATCAGAATTGATTAAAGAAGAAAGAGTGATAACAGATCCAATAGCACCAGATTTTGCTTCACGTAATGCAACTATCGTTTCTTATCACACCAATATTACTTTACGAGCATTGAAACCTGCAAAAGCTTTACAGGTTAGAGACAGATTTGATAAATGTTGCAAATTATTTCAAAACGATTTCATCCTAAATCATTGAAACTTTCGCTTATCATCGGAATGCGTTGATTTTCAAGTTGAATAAAATGTTTTTGATATTTCTGATAATCATTAATACAGGGGCTTGTTTTTATCAAGAATTTCGCTGCAACATTTGAAGAAAAATAAATGGAAGCTTAATCATTTTTCCCTTATATTAATTTGATATTACTATTGATTTGAAATTGAAAAATTAAAATATGCTTTGAAGAAATTATCATAAATATTAACATTATAGTATAGTAAAATCATTTTCCTGAATTTGAAATTGATTTACTTGCGAAATTTATTATAGGATAGCTATCAAATATCTTATGTACAACTTGATCCGTTACGACATTTTGCGAAACTTGAAGTAAATGATATTCCGGAACAAAGATATATAGAAATTTATCTTGGAAATTTAATGCCTGGACAAAATTATAATGTTTCAATTACGCCACAAATAAAGAATGTCGAAGGTCGACCATGGAATGGCATCTTAACAACAAGTTCATTTTTTATAACTATTACACAATTTTAATATAAGACAGCTTTTAACAAAAATTTTAATTTTTAAGCAGTAGATCGTAGAAGAAGAGTAAATTTTAAATTAACATTCTCTGATTGTACTTATTTTGAACTTTCCCATCTATTAAACTTTTCTTCTGATCATTTTTATTTGTACTTTTAGAACCGTATTCTCCGGAAAATTTAACAGTAACAGAACTCAATACTACCTGTATACGACTTTCGTGGTTTTTAACAACACGAACAGGTGCTGATTCAATTTTGATCAATTATCGTCTTGATAGGACCAGCACTCCGTTGATTGAAGTAAGTGAAATGAACAAAAGACTTAATTGATGAAATAAACAAAAGACTTTAATGATATCGGAAATTTAGATTTTTAGAAAAATTGGAAATTTCTAATCAATGAATCAAGTTATATTGCAACAGATAATCATTATTAATGATCGATCATTTCTAATAATATTTTCAGGTGATAGTACAAAGTAATCAAACATCAACTGAAATATGCAATGGTCTACAACCTGGACGAACTTATATTTTCATTGTAAGGACGAAAAAAAGCAATGAAATATCGGAAGATGTCAAGCTATTACATACAATGAAACCTAAAATACCGGAAAATTTGAAAATTTTAACGGATTATGAGAAACGAAAATTCCGGTATCATTTTTCCGTTTATTTCTTTCACAGTTTTATTTTACCAAGCTTTAATCTACTAACTCTTTTACTATAATAAACCATTTAAAATAGTTATCCTATTGATTTGATTGATTTGATTCGTAAATATAAATACGTATAAGCTTAAATATATTTAAATATGTATAATAGAAGTCAGCTCTGAAACAATTGGATAAAAAACAATACGTAAATTTTGCGACAATTTTGACCAGTGATTTGTTTTTTTTTAGATTAATTATGGACGTAGCATCAGAATCTGAAAGTCATGTAGAAAAATGTTTCGTTAGTTTAGTGGATGAAAAGCTAGACGTCATTGAGAGAATATCAAGTGTTGAAAATTCCAAAACTATCTCAGCTATCAGACAGTAAGTTTATCCGAAAATGTTAAATTGATATACAGCTCGATGAAGTTAATTAATCATATTGCATGAATATGTTTCGCATATGAAATCATTAAAAATTTATAATAAAAATTTGAATCAAAATTTAATTCAACTTTATCTTTTAAGCATTATCGCTACGATTGCTTTGTGATTTTGAATAAAATTAATTGATTAGTCCTATAAAGTATAATTGTTCTAATTAATATAATAGGTATATTTCAAATTTTTGTTTTATTTTAAATTTGTTAGAAAAAATATTATTTGACAAAGAATATTTTTTTAGATGTTCGATCTATGTTGACTTACATCCTGGTCAACGTTATGAAGTTTCCGCAAAAACAATTAGCGAAAATGCATCGAGTAATATCATTTCTAAAAGTTTTGCTTTACAACCAGCTTTTGATATGGAAACTTTTGGATTGCAACTATTAGTAAGTAAATAGTTTTTATCAGATAAATTGAATGAAAAATGCTTCCTGAATTTTTTTTCTTTACATATGACATTGTAAAAGTTTACTCAATAATTAACCGTATTAATTATTATATCTACTAATTAGCTTCAATTGCTGCAATTTGTTGTACATCATCGTGGATGTTTTGATCTAAGTAAGCTCTGCATTGATTGAAAAACATGAAAATGAATGAATTAATTAATTCTAATATTCATACTAATAAAAATTACATTACTGCTTCAAAATATTACTTATTTGAATTTCTATCAATGATTTCTTTGATCAATAATTTATAAATCATTGAATTAAAAGAATTGTTTTTTTTTTCGGAATCCGATGGTACTTTAATGCTAAAATGGCCTGTAGCCGAGATGGCTCGGGCACGATTGGATGATGTTTGGGAAAATATTGTTGGCTCTGATAGTACGTTGCATTTTCGTGTTGATCCATTGAGTAAATCGATTAGTGGCACATGGCAAGAGCAATCAAAACGTTTTGAACGTAAGCAATACGAACGTGATCCCTTAACTGTTCCCAAACTTCGACGTGGTGCTTGTTATAAGGTAAGACAGATCATTTCTTTTATCATTATTTATCACTAATAATTTATCATGGGAAATATGAAGTTTATTATTATTAAAGATAATTATAGACAATTGATATATCGAACAGAATTAAATGTATGATAAAAGTTAGTAAAATGTCTGAAGGAAAAAGGTATTATTTTGTACAAAATGGATATAGCAAGTTATTGCTATCGATAGAAATTTGTTAGATAGATTTGAAAGAAGCATCTATGAGTGATCAATTTTTAACGAATTTAAACTTATATCTTATAAACATATTTAGCTTATCATTTATAACTTTTCCTTCAGTTGTTTAATCTTCTCAGTACTTTAGTTTAGGTACAAATCTATACTGTAACAAAAAGTGGTATTGCTAGTGAGAAGAAATTTGAAGAATTTCTTCGAATCAGTGCACCAAAAGTGAATATAACAGCAAAAGAAATAGCAAAAAGTACCGCATCATTTCGAGCAGTTCTCGAATCACCGGTTATTTTCGATCCACCGGAATGTAGTTTGCATATTGTAGTGCTAGATATGCGTAATATGACTATTTATGATCGCACTACACCTCTAACACCAGAAATATCACCTGTTGTTCTAGAAGGACTACGATCTTATCATCGTTATATTATAAATTCTCGGGTGACATTTTTGCAACTTTTCTTTTTAAACATTAATTTTCATGATATATCTCAGATAAATGCATAAAATAAGAACAATAGATCTAATTTGATTAAGCTTGATTAGTTGTAATAAACTATGTTTAAATATTTAATTATATTCTTATCAGCTCATGCATTTAACATAAAAGAAACAAGTAAGAATTTCATGTGGAGTAGCTATTTGAAAGCAAATTATAAAATATAAATATAAATTTAAATTTGCAATGAAATGTTGCAGTCAATTAAAAATTTCAGATTATTTGTGGTAAAACAAATGATAAGAATTGTTTGCCAAAACTTCGAACAATGGAACCAGTCCTTTTTGAAACACGACAAGATCGACCAGGACCAGTACGGAATCTGATGGTACGCATATTGAATCCATATAGTGTGCAATTATTTTGGCTACCACCATCTTTACCAAATGGCATTATTACACATTATATCATTGGCATACATCCGATGGTTCGTTTTCTTCTGTTTGGATTCTTTTTTTTTACAATTTGAAATGATTTGAAGTTTTTAATTTTTTTTTTTGAAATAAATTTTAAATATTGAAAAGAATCTATTCTTTTCTTTGTAAAATGTAATTAGTCATTTCAACTATGACCTTATTTCATAGAAATATGAAATAAATAAACAAACAAACAAACAAACAATTATATTGCTTGCATAGATTGAAACGATGACAAAGTCTATCAAATGATTTCTTATAAATTTGAAAGAAATAGAATAGCATAAATGATTTTGAAAATTGAATGCAAGATTTTAAATCCTGAGAATCTATTTTTCTGTGAAATGCCATATCTATGCTATATCATTTCAACTATGACCTCATTTCATAGAAATGTGAAATAAACAAACAAACAAACAAACAAACAATTATATAGCTAGCATTGATTGAAACTATGAAAAAGTCTATCTAATAAAATATCAATAATAACAAAAAATAAAAATCAGAATGTTTCGAGCTTTCTGTATTTTTCATTAGAAAAAGAAAAAGAGAAATTCCCTCTCTTTTACAATTTTACATTGAATAATTGTGAATTTTTAAAATAAATAAAATTATAAATTTAATTTTAATTTTTTAACCACCTAATTTTTAGGAGGGAAAATATAATAATGTGACAATAAATTTTTATAGCATATTTATTATTTGAAAATTTTGAAGGTACGCCTAATCATAATAATACTTATTGTTTGACCTGTAAAGTCGATCGATCCGTCACTCTTTTCACTCTCATATTTCCCTTTTCACTCTAATTTTTAATTTGAATATTTCGAAAATTTAAATTTACTATTCTTTTCATCTCTCTATCCTCTCTTTGCTCTCCTACTCTTCCTTATTTCTTTTTCTCTTTTTATCATTTCTTTTCTTTTGCTTCATTATTCAAATTGATACCTTTCGTCCTATAATATTTCAATCATTTCTTTTTTCCACCGCAACATTTTTGATTTCCTATTTTTGATGATTTCAATTTCTTTTAATGCTTAACACATAAATAATCAATCAATACGCTCTCTCTCTCTCTCTTTTTTCTTTCTCTCTCTCTCTCCCTTATTTTCATCATTGTTACATTTCGTTTTTCATCATTAATTTACTCATTGCGTACAGTCTATCTTATTTTGTAAAATTTTTCATTTCACTATCTATTCACTTCCCTCTTAGCACACTCATTCAATCATACTTTTTCGTACTTTTTCGATGGACATTATATTTGCGCAATTATTGCACTGATGAAATTACCAGTAGCACAAGGTCATTGAACTAGTTTGACCTTTCTCGATAAAGTATTTCTTTTAGATTCTTTCTCTTTTTTTTCAAATCATTTCTCATGCAACAATTTTAAAAACAATTTCGATATTATTAATTAACATCTAATTACTAATAAATGCGTTTTGATTAAGTTAAAAAATACTATTTATCATCGTTAATATTAAATTGATAGTGCAAATGTGGCGCTTTTAGGATTCACTTGCATTTTTAACTTTATAAATTTCTATTGATAAATATCGCTTATAATTTGAAGTGTTAAATGTATATGTTGTAATATGTTGTAATAAATAGGAAAACGATCAAGAAAGTGATTGGTCAGTGAGTGTTGGTGTTGGAGCGCATTCGTCACCATTGTCCTTTTATGACAGTAGTAAGAGTAACAATAAACAACAATCAATTGAAGCAATTGTGGATAATTTAATTGGTGGATTAAGATATCGGATGGATGTTCGAGCTGTTACCGAAGCTGGTGAAGGTGATTTTAGTGCAGCATCTGATGCTGTATACGCCGAAATGCCTATTTTACGTTTGTTTTTCTCTTTCTTTTTTCTTGCTTATCATTTTTTGAAATTATTTCAATTTAATTTAATAATTTTATATTAGAAGAATCTCTAAATTAGATACATCCTCAATGATAGCAAAATTTAATATAGCCATTTTTTTTAAGAATCATATCAGAAACATTTGAATACTGAAATTCATATGAAAGAATTTCGACATTCAACTTTTTCATTGTTTTATTTCGAAACTCTTAAATTAATTTGTTTTCACTTTTAAAAAAAGTTATTATAAATAAATAGTTGAAGATGAAATAATATTTTAGCTCCACCACATCCTTCATCACGCATTGAAATAATTTACAATACAATTCATAGTACCGATTTGGGAATACGATATAGCACATCGATGTTCAATACAAAACATGGATATCTTAAGAAATCTGCGCTAATTGTTGCTGAAGTTAGCAATAACAATGAAAATACAATTAATCCCATCACAGACAATCACAATAAAACAATTGTAAGATTTTGCATTTGTTTAAATTTACACTTTAAAAATTATTTATGCTATATCTTGTTTACTTGTTTAATTATTTAATTCCTGTTTATTAAAATTATTGAGCTATCTTGTAATGTTTTGTCTTGTGAGGTCATTTAATACAATTGAAATATTAACACTTTTTGTTGTACTGTCATTTTAGCTAAATAAAATTATCAGCTTATTATATATATATATATATACGTATTGAATCAAATTCAGCTACTCATATATTTTTCAGACATGGGGTCAAGCTCAAAAATTCGATTTATGGCCATCATATGTAGCAATTGAAACAGTGATCGAACCATTGCGAAAATTTTTTCCGCCGCATTTTATTTCTGAAGTATGATTTGCATATGTTTTTTTTTAGCAAATTAAATTTTATTAAAATTAGATGGGACAACTGATTATTTTTATTCTTTAATGTAAATTTTAATTTTTTAAATCATTCGCATAAATTAGGATTACGAGAATTTTAAACTTTTCACATAAATCCTTTTGTGGCATCTGTGATGAATGATTTCATTGTCCCTCAAATAACACTTAAGCATTTTATCACATTCATCAAGTTATTCTCAAAAGCAGAAGTTGAAATTACCGCACTCTCCGTTTATTCATTCAGTTTAGTACGCTTTTGTTGTTAGTGATATTATTACTGAGTGTTAATATATAGTGTTATATTATTACTGAGTGTTAGATAAAGATCTTCTATAAAACTCATATCTTCCTGTGCTCTTTACTAAATCATTCCCGCAATCATCCACTGATAAAATATGCTTGATTCACATTATTTGATTAATTAACATTTTATAGTTTCTTTTTGGTTGTCTAGAAATTTTTAAACAAAGCTTATCAATTCTAATAAAATTATAAAATTAAGCAAGCTATTTCATTTTCTTTAGATTTAAATTAAACTTCAAGAAAAAAGAAAAGAACTTACAGATAATAGGCGCAGATGGTACATGCGGTGATATCGAAGTTGATACCATTTGTAATGGTCCACTTAAGCCAGCAACATCATATCGTTTTAAATTACGACTTTATACAGCACCAAATATGTGGACTGACTCAGAATATTCCGAAATTGCTACAACAAGTTCGTTCATTAATTTGCTTCTTAATTATCGACATATTTTGAAAAAAGAAAAGCTAAATTTCACTGATAAATTCAACTCCTTCAATACACTATTTTTATCTTTACACCTAAAAATGTGCGTAGTTTTACGCAGAAGTATAGGATACCTTAACGTGAGATTCGAGATGAATAACGGTTTCCTCATGATTTGCATACTATAAAAATCTAGGTATGATTCCTTTTATGCAGAAACAGTAAGATACCTTAACGTAAGATTCGAGATGAATAACGGTTTCCTCATATACAAAAAAGATTTGCATATACAAAAACTTATATACATAGGTTTATTTATTTCAAATCAATACGCATTTATGCAAATTAGATTGCTCTACAAAAGTCAGTGAAGTGTTTTTGTCTTTGTTAATATTACTAATCTCTCTTATTCACGCAATTGTAATTGTTGAAAATGCTTAATTGAACATAGCGCTTCTTTCCTTCTCATTTCACCTTAATTCTTATATTTTATAAGAAAATATAGTGGAATAATCCATTAATTTCGTTTCATCTTAAATTTCTTTGAGTTACAAAAAAAATTTTAATATTTCAATAATTTCGCAAATTTTGAAATTTCAATTTTGACTTTTGTAGAATTTTATAAAACTAAAGTGTATAGATCAGGAAAGAAGGTAGAAGAAAAAGTGATCGAAGAGTGGGAAATTTATGAACTTTTGTTTATTAATATTTTGTTCTTAGCGCAATCCATTTTGTTTTTCAAACATCTAATTTATTAATCATTGCTATAAATCCAATTACTAAATAAGTAAGCAAAAGTTTAGATAAAGAAGTTAGAGAAAATTTCCAACTATGTTGACATAATACAGTCAAGCTAGTTAGTTTGAAAGATTCCGTGAAGAAATGATAATTTTGAACTTTTACTTAGAGTGATTACAAATATTGCAAGGTATAAATTTTCATATTTGTAGAAATATGCATCATTCTTATCTAATTTTATTGATAGCTGTCATAAAAATGATTCTGAGATGCGTAGATTGAACCGGTTAGAAGTCTAACTAAAGTAATAAATCCGGAAAATATGCTAGTTTAATTTCATGGTGGCGCTATTATTAGGATTTAAAAAAATATTTGTAATTTGTAAATCATACCTTACACATGCACCTGCCATTTCACTCTTAAGACTACAAGAATTAAATAGCATAGATTTGTTGATTTATTATTTTTAAATTAATATCTCCGTATTCTTTCTTCTCTTCCTTTCGCTTTGCTTATCTTCAATTTAATTTCAATAGCTTTAAACTCAATTTAATTTCAATAACTTTAAACCTTATATCACATCCTTTAACCCATCCATTTTTTTTCAACCAAAAATAGAGTTATAATTGAAATGTTAAATATTGATATAGTGCTGTCACTATTCGTTATTTCTACTTCACAAAATAGCGGTGTCACTATTCGTTATTTCTACTTTCTATTTCTATTTCTATTTCTACAAAAAAAACGAAATAGAGGTGTAATGTGAAATGAAATTTTAAAATAAAAATTATGAATAATCCTTTGTTGACTTTTTTATTGGTTCATATAAATTTTATGTAAATCAATGATTTGTTTTGTTCTTTAACCGCTGATCTGTTTCTTTTTCAAAAATAGTTTATGAAATATTTTTCATTTCAATTTCAACATAATTATCATAAAATCACTTCTTCTATCTTACAACACATTTCGACTTGTAATTTCAATTTCATCAAATTTATAAACGATTGATTGATTGTTCACAAAAAATTTTCAGCACAATCATTGTCAAGCATATCATAATATCGTTCTTAATCTTTCTTTCTTTTTTTGTTGTAATAAAATGGTTTGGAAAAATTTTTGAAATATTAAAATAAAATGACAAATTGTTCTCTGATGTGTGCAAATTATTGATTGACTCTAGGACAAGCTAATAATTGAAGAGGATATGTTAGATGATAAAACTAGTAAGCCTTATTCATCATCTTATGGGTCACTTCTATAATTTCCATTGGCCACTTATCCAATCATCTTCCGATCATTGTGTATGTGTGTGTGTGTGTGTGTGTGTGTATGTGTAGTTAGGAGGTTGTTCAACGTTTGCTCAATCTAAATACTCTCTGTTATCAAAGAGCAGCTGTTGTGGAGAATTTGGTTAGTTCCTCCGGCATAGGGACCAGAAAGGGTTTTCCCATCGAATAGGAAAGTTGCGTTCATTTATATATTATTGGCCTCAGTATGTATCTCATTTGCTTTTTCATTTCTTATAGCTTCTCGTAGTTTTAGTTTTCGTTCTTCACTCAAATTTTATCGTATCTTAAAAATTGTTTTTTTCACCTTCTTTAATGCTTATTTTTATTGTTCAACTTCAAGTAAAAAAAACCAACCTTAAAAGGCCTTAATTATGGAATGATCTTTCTCTACTATCCATTTGTTGAAATTTCGTTAAATTTATCCAGTTCAATAAGTTTCATTCTAACAAACTCTCTCTCTCTCTCTTTTCATCATTCAAATTGTGATTTTCGCCTTGAAATGAGCTAAAAATAACCTCTAATGAGTCATAACTTCTGAAAGGTGAAAAGGTACTACATGAATATATTGTAAAATTTTTATTGAAATTTAACTTTTGACGCATTCCGTTTTGATCCTACAAAAATGTCATATTACAAACTTCGATGAGAAGTGATATTTCCTCTAATCGGTCATTATTCTATAAATTGTGAAATAAAAACGATCAAATAGTTTATTAATTCATATTTAATACTATTTATATATATTAAATATATATATAATAAATAATACATATAAATATATATATTTTTTAAAACACTTTCCTCTATTTATATTTTAAAATATTATTATCATTATTTTATTACAATAAAATCGATATCATAAATTCTCTAAGAGATTTTCTACACAAAATTTGCATATCATTCCTTGGAAACATTTTTACAATATTTCTTATTTACCTTTAAGACTTCTTATGATTACAACGTAAAAAAGTATGTTTTGTTTTTATTTACAGAAGCGTCACCGACATTGTTTGCATTTGGTAGTGTGGCAACAATACTGCTGCTACTTCTTCTTCTTGGTATTGCTTCATTAATTGCACTATTCGCTTGGAAAAAGCGCAAGAAGTCTTGGTAAGTTATGAATGATGATGATGATATATATATCATTAATGTTAAATTTAAAATTTGTCAAATTATCATTTGTCTATTTAATTAGACCTTTAATTTTCACCTCTAATAAACGATCTTTTTTGATTTTCCCTTTCTCCACCAAATTTTGTTTTTCCATCATTCTTAAAGTTTATCATTTCGATTATCCATTATATCACTTTTCACTATGCTATAATCCTTTAGATAACACATATAACCATATCTTTGAGAAACAGTAATCTTATAAAGAATTATCATCCAGTAGATTCTTTTTGTTTTTTGTTCGACAACAGATAGGTTTCAGTTGAAGAAGTAACATTGAATGTCTCACATAAACGATATGTTTGTAGTAATACTTTAACTTTTATTCGTTTAATGATCCATTCGTTTCTCTAAAATATACAAAATATCTCGGGAAATTTTATCGATTATTTTTCATCATTAAACAGATTACAAATCATAGCAGTGGAATTTCAAAATTTAAATTCATATCTGTATTATCAATTCATGCATAGTTTATCAATAATCATTTATCGTAAATAATTTCTAGAAAGAATGGATGATTTTTAGGGATTTTTTTTTTCTTTATAAGTTCAAAATTACCTGAATGCAATTAATATTTGTTGTAAGTTTAAAACAATCTGAAAGTAATAATTCAAAAAATTTTTTTTCACATTAGTTTCAATCCGTTAGGAACTGATTTGTTTTACATTGTGCAGAATTTCTACAGTTAAATATTACGACAACTATTATTAATAAGTACTTTTTCTTTTTCCCACATCTTACGCATTTCGTTTTTCGATAATTTCATGCAATGTTAAAAAAAAAAACAAGAATAATTTTTTGTTGACCGAAAATGGATGTAATCGGAAAAATTTTCTGTCGAAATGTTACACCGAAAGCTTGATTATTATTATTATTATTGGAAGAAGGAAATCATTTTTCTCTCGTTCCCTTTTTTGTATTAGTAGTTACTCTTTAAATGATGAGAGACGTTTGGAAAATATTTCCGTTCTGGTAAATAGAATGAAATTCTTTCTCTTCTAAATGATTCATTTCCGGAAAAGTGATCCTTTGCGTAAATATCACAATTCCTTGCTACTGCTACCGAAAATATCGTACCAGGGAAGTATTAAAATTAAAAAATTTTCAAGGGAACAACCATTATTATTAGTATAGTAATAAATAAAGGTCATAAGTTATACGGTTCAATTTAACTAAATCAAATCTGGCATAGTGGTTAACAGAGCAGAGTAAAAATATGATGATAGAATTTACAGGTGAGAACTTGGGGTATGTGAATTCGAAATCGAATTTCATCATTTGCATCCCTTACTAGTGGACAACTGTGTAGCTTTCAGTTATTTTACTACCTTATTTAAAAGTGAACTTTATTTTACCTGAATAAAAATTAATTTGAAAAGATGTAAAATTCGGAGTGTATTCAATTATATGAAATGTAAAATACATTAGAGCAGCAGAGATATTACTATTCTGTTAAGATAAACCATTCAAGTGATGCGCAATAATTCAATGGTCACTTTTCCCACTGTGATAACGCTTCCGCAGCATTTTCATCGTTCCCGCATTCGCATATATGAAGGGAACAACACCTATTCATCTGCCAAACACACCGATAATCCTGTGGACGGGGAAATGTGTCACTAACTCCATTGCTCATATTGCCCGCAATAATTACCACTCCGTTTCACCTCTCCGCAACTATCACCCCCTCCATCCATGTGTAGGTGGCATACTTTTTTGAATGGATTGACGGAATATGTGTGTGTGTGTGTGTGTGTGTGTGTGTGTGTGTATGTGTGTGTATGAATGTTTGTGTATGTGCACAATTCAATGGCATTGCGTAGCTCTGAAACGGCGATATACACGGTGGCAGTGATGTAGTCGATATCAACGATCCGTTCTGCAATGTTCTTTCAGTTTGTTTCAGTGTTTCCATCGGCTTACATCCCCTTTCCTCCTCCCTGACCCCGGACTTATCGTGGCGTGGGCTTTATTTCGAGTGAAGAAAATACAAGCAGGTTTCCATTTTAAATTTCATTTCACTCACAGATCCTCGTAGAGATAGATACCACTCTAGCGCTCTTGTCATTTAGCTGATTTCAAAGACTGGATGACTATTGGCAGATCATATTTAATGCCTTCATTAAAGAGCAAAAAGAGCAGAATTTGTCTTATATGACTGAAAAGTAATTTCTGATAATTTGCGCCATCATATACTCTCATACATGTCTCCATGTGTCCACTTCTCTATAAAACATTTTAATTGAATTCATAATTAATCGTAACTTAACTTTAATTTACCTGAAATTATTCATTTCTTAATATTACATAATAACACCAAAATAATTATTGTTCACAAAGATATACATTTAATACTCAATATTCTTGACCGATTCGAAATTAACCTCTTGTTTTAGCTTTGAAGACATATATCATCGTAATCTGAGGAATGAAACAATACGTTTAATTTTGTTATTATTATTATTATTATTATTATTATTATTATTATTACTGCTACTACTATTATTATTGCTACTATTGTTATTTCAAATCATCAAAGTTCCTTTTCGAACGTTGTGATTATCATATAATTCACGTATCATTTTTGTTTAATTTCTAAAATTTCCATTTAATACTTATTTAACAACTACTGTATAACACGAGATTACTGTATATCGCGACAGTATTATCTGAGGTTTTCAGGTGTAGATTTATATAAATTGATAAAATTAAGCAAATTATAAATAGTACGAAATTACTAGTTATCATTAATTAATATTTGAAGTAATTCAAATCCTGCCAGTATATAGTAATATAGTGATGATAATAGTAGTAGTAGTAGTAGTAGTAGTAGTAGTAGTAGTAGTAGTAGTAGTAGTAGTAGTAGTAGTAGTAGTAGTAGTAGTAGTAGTATATATTATATAATTAATTCCATATAACAAATAATTAATTCCATATAACAAATGGAAAAAGAGACTACGATGAAAATTTTAGAAGTATTTCTTTTGAAATTGAGAAAATAATATTTGATCATTTATTCTCATGGGAATATTTTAAAAAAAAGAAATAAGAATAAATTAGTGCTCTGTTTAATTATTCTATTTCGATTAATAAGACAAATATAGAATGTACACACACACACACACACACACGCATACATACATCAGAAATAGAAATCCCAATGGAATTTTGTTATTATTCAATTTTTTGTTATTATTATTATCATTGATAATCATTCAACTTAAGCCATTCTATGCTAATCTTATTGATCGCAATAATGATTAAATAATGTTAAAATTATTATAAGATAATTAGGCATAAGAATTATCAAATGATAATAGCAAAATTTGAAGCAATAAAGTTATCAGTTGTTATCAGTTTTTGAAGTCAAAATTAATATTTTGTATATGATAATAACAACGTTTGAAGCAGTGCAGTTATCACTCAATTCTTATTTACTTTCGAAAAGATTTCAATTATTTCGTCAGATATTTTAATGAATTAAAAACAATTGAATTGTTGGATGAATATCACTTACTAAATGTTTCCATTGGGATTGTTTAAAGAAATAAAATATATTAACTTTTGAGTTTCAAAAAGATTTTAGTATCGGAAATGAGTAAATTTTTCATTTGTGAATTTGAACATATCTCATCCATTCACTGTCACTACTTATATTTATCTCATTTTCCAGTTAAAATTAACATCAAGGTTTTTCAAGTTTTGAAAATTACTAGTATACGAGGTAATAACATTCATGTACATTTCATTTATTAGTTCATAAAAGTTGCACCTGATAGGTAGGTAAGTAGGTAGATAGGTAGGTAAAAAACTTCTCAATTGATGCTATCAATTTACTAGTATACGAAGCAATAGCATTCATGTACATTTCATTTATTATTAGTTCATAAAAGTTCCACCTGGTAGGTAGGTAGGTAGGTAGGTAGGTAAATAAAAAACTACTCAACTGATGATATCAATTTTTCATTGACATGATTGTATACAATATAATTTTGACTCATTTAACGTCTTTACTTATTATCTTTCGTTTTAAGTTTACTTCTATCGATCGTATTTTATTATATAAAATTGTTTTCTTTAAGAAAATTTAAATTGAAGATTTAAATTCTTCAAAGTTCTAAAAATTTAAGAATTTGTTGGGCTTGTAATATTTTTTTGACACTTTTCCGTTCAAGTATATATATAATATATATATATATAAGTATATATTATATATAGTATAAGTATATATATTATATATACATGCAATATCGAAATGTAATATAAACTTTTCAACTTTGGAGTGGAATTTTTTATTGGAGTGGAATTTTTTATTTTCAAAAGACTTAAAATCATTTAATTTGACCTATAACCTATGAGTGATACAACAATACATCGAACAAACATCAACAGTTACTTTAACTTTTTGCATTTCTGAGCGAAAATGAACTTGCTAACATCCGATTGTTTTATTCCATGAAATAAAAAATGCATTTTAAGATTAGAAAAGAATAGGTTGCTAAGATATGTTTTACTTAGTTACAGCCATAGAATTCTTTTCTTATTTACTAATTCTATTAATTTAAATGTTAAGGCTTTCATTAGTTTTGGCGTAGGAGGCAAATCAATCTCCCAAATTGGTTGATACTTCTTCCGCCTATGATGCATTAATTAGCTGAGTGTTTTGTTTTATCTTTCAAAACAAATAATGCGTGGGAGGAAAGACGAAAAAAAAGTAGCACTTATAATTAACATTTCAATTTCCCAAGCGGTTTTCAAATATTTTTTTTTAGCAATAAATAAATCTAATGAATTTAATTTAATGTGAGCGATTAAAGATTAAGCCTATGTTTGATATAATAGTTGAACATTTATTTGAAAACTTTTCGAATAGCCCTAATTCATATTTCCTCAGATAGGACAATCTGCAGAGGAAGATTAATTAAACTGGTAAATTTAATGATTGAAGAAGTTTCTAAAATCTAAGCTTGCAGTTTTGCTAACATCATTGCGATAAATACTTAATTAATCAGGCATGATTTTTGATAAGTTCCAAATGGTGTTCATTGAAATTTGGACTTACCGAATGCTTTTAAAGGAGCTGAAGAAAGAATACTTGACTAATAAGTAATCACATAATCAACTTCAAACGGATGAATTATGTCGCGTATGAAATGCAGTTTTAATAGACAATTATATAGATGGAAATATGGTGAATTAAAATGAAGTTTAGAGTAGAACAGATAGTAGAAATTTGAGGAAAAAGAAAAAAAGGGGATTGTGACTAGCGATCTTGTTGACAGTCATATTTTATTGAGAATTTAAATTATTATTATTTTAATTGAAACTGAGAGGGTTATTTTGAAAATTAAAACATTGAAATATGAGAATGGATTTGAAATATTACTACTACACACAGATCATTTGTTATGCATATTGAAAGAACGCTTTCATTTAGATTTACAATTCAAATGCTTGCCATAATATTAGTAAGTGTAATGATATGATTATTAGAGCTTGATAATACGTTTAATCTGAGAGATTGTATTAAAGCATTAGAAATATAAAATATAATAGTTTAGATCGGTGAAGAGAAGATTCGGGTAATGTAATTTAGTTCCGATAATGTCTGCTTTTCCGACTACTTTCTATCAATGGATCAGTCGTAAATTTTTTCCTGAATTTATCAATGAAGATTATGTAGAATCACTGAACAAATTGTAATCTTATCAATTGACCAGGCAATATTTCTCATTTTATATTTTTGTTCTCTCTATGCTAAATTTAATTTAACAGATGAATGATTGATTATAATATCACATGTATTGTGTATTAATTTCATTATTATATTTTTTCTTGACAGTTATTAGTCTTGATTTTCTAACCATTCTAAATGTTCCATAACATATCGCTTATATATGAATGTTTAAATATTAATTCTGCTAATTTGCCTTTATTATTTTAGTAGTATAGGACCTGAAAATGAATGAAATCTACAAATTGTGAATATTTGCCCATATATTATTATTGCTTATTTTAGCCCTCGAATATACGGCAGTCAACAACATCCGTATACCTCTTATTCACAGCAATTTCTTGGCTCTATTGGAGAAAGAGAAGATAGGGAAAGAACAGGAATTGGAATTGGAATTGGTGTTCTACGACCAAATTTTGCTTATCCATGTAATATTATTCTTCCATTGTTGTATTTATTGCTATTAGTTGAAGGATAATTGTTTTATTTTGTTTTGGCTGTAGAAAACAAAAATCAGCAAAGTGCACATTTTTTTTAATTTGATTTTAATTTGTGGATTATAAATCATTAAAATGATTTCATCGATTGATGTTGATCTTATAACAATACTGATAGAGTAAAATAGGACATTTTGTTTTGCTTTAGAGATAAATAGTAATTAGATTATTGAAGCTAATAAAACTAATTTTTCATGGATTAAAATTCAATGATAAATTACGGTAGGAATGAGATGATGAGATCATTAGTGGCAATTAGAGAGGAAATGTTAAAATGTCTTATATTCACCTAATTTATTTATTATAGCATCTGCGACTAATCAGCATAAACCTGAACAAAATATTACCGGTAACGGCGAAGTTCTCTCGCACTGGGCAGCTCTCAAGATGATAATGGCCGAACGAGCAGCCCAATGTTTAGCCAAACTTGGTTTAGACACTGCGACATCTACAACTACTGCTAATACAAATATTTTACATCCGCAGACAAATCAACCCCAAAATACTACTACTACAACAGATTCGGCTGTTATAATTTCTACAACACCAAATGATTTGGTAACAACGTCTGGACATCATCGAAGGTATTTCTGGATGTTACTTGCAATAAAATAAGTAAAATCATTTTGAACAATATTTTCTTCTCTTACTTTAATAATTCTCAATACACTATTAGTAAATATTAAGTTACAGAGATAATTGCAATTTTATTATTTTCCGTAGCATATTTTTTTTGCTTTAGAAACATAATAATGTTCCGGTTATGTGCTACACTTCTGTTAAGGGATGATTGAAGAGTTATGTATATATATGTAATTCAGTGGTTAATTTCAAATAATGAAGATTTGGAATATTGAAGAATCAACAAAAAATAACGAGTATCGACTATGAATTAATGATGAATAAATCTTTCTGATAATTTTAGATCTCGTAGTTTACGTGAACGTACAGGTGTTGATCAACGTTTAGAGCGGTTACCTAGTGGACCGATAACTTTACAAAAATTTACACCACATACAGTCATTCCAGGAAGTAATATTGAAAAAAGGTTTTTTTTTCGATTTATTAAAAAATGTTTATTTAATCCGGCAATTTGAGTAATACAGGTACAGTATTGTTTGCAAGCGCTTCCTGATAATCCTGCAAATGCTTCAGCTAATCGAGAAATCTTGAGAATATATTGATTTTTCTTAAATTGAATGTGTATTTTCGATAAAGTTAGGACTATCTGCGAACCGGATTAGAGAAGTTAGCAAAGATTTAAACCGGATTAGAGAAGGTAGCAAAGATTCAAATTGGATTAGGAAAGTTAGCAAAGATTCAAATCGGATTAGAGAAGTTAGCAAAGATTCAAATCGGATTAGAGAAGTTAGCAAAGATTCAAATCGGATTAAAGAAGTTAGCAAAGATTGTTAATAAAATAGGAAAGGTAGGAAGGAATGAAAGGAATTGGAAAGAGAGTAAAAAGTTTGAAAAAGAAAAGAATTAATTTTTCTTCAGATTAAATTCCTTCCATATCAATTTCTCATTTTTTATTTATTAATTTTTTATCCTTTGTTTTATTTTCTCTCAGTGAAACATCAAAACGAATTAATTGTCGTAGAAGAATGATTAGAAGTGGGGAGGTTGCAATAAACAGTACATTAAAATGCCTTTGACGGCTGACTGTAGGCCGACATCTTGCGTGATAACGAATTACATTGTAGTTTAGAACACTAAACGTTGTCTTTCAAATTTTATTATCTCCGTTGTGCCGATGAACAAAATAGAAAAAGTGAGGAGAAATAAAAGGAATTGGAAAATGGACACTGTTTTTGCTAAAAGATGAATGCTTTCAGTAGACCGGTACTTATTCATAATTTCGCTGAACATGTACGACTGATGTCAGCTGATTCAGATTTTCGATTTTCCGAAGAATACGAAGTATGTTTTATGGTAGAATTCACTTCTAATTAAGAGTGCATATTAACGTCATTGTTTAAAGCATTTGTCATCATTTTAAAACATAATTGTGAAATGTCTTCATTTATTATCGCTGTCAGCATATTTGTCTTAAATTAATGAAATTTTGATCCGAAACTTTAGGATTTGAAATTGGTAGGACATGGACAAACATGTATAGCAGCTGATTTAACAGTGAATCGTGCAAAAAATCGTTTCACGAACATATTGCCATACGACCATTCTCGTGTAAAGCTTATACCAACTGATGATGACGATGGCTCAGATTATGTTAATGCATCTTATATTCCTGTTAGTTGAAATCTTTTTATCAAAAATTTTTACTCACCAAACTATTAGAAGGTTCTTCATTTATAGTGAATAGTTTCCGTTTAAAAAAATAGTTGTTTTATGACAGTTGGCAAGAATATGTTAACCATTGTAAGCAAAATGAGAAATGTGAAATAGAATATGAATGCAGTTGTAAATGGTAGTTCAATATTTTTTACAGGGATTCAATTCACGTCGCGAATTCATCGCAGCACAGGGACCTCTTCCTTCGACACGTGATCATTTTTGGCGAGTTGTTTGGGAACAACATTGTCCGGCAATAGTTGCTCTAACAAAATGTGTTGAAAAAGGACGTGATAAATGTCATCAATATTGGCCTGATAACGATCAGCTCAGCGTTCTTTACGCTGACATTGAGGTTTACTTTCTATGATCTATATTATAAATATGCTTTATTATTTACTCTTAGCTTCCTATTATGAAATAAATTATTCAAAAACTGCGTTTCATCTTCAGTGAATAAAGTCTCGGTTTGACAAAAACGTACCTTTTCGTGATTGGTAAACCTTTTTTCAAACTGTACTGTTACTTTAATTGTATGTTTTTATTTTCCGAATTTATAAATTCGTGCTTTCAGGTGACGTTAATGAACGAAAAGGTATACGAAGAGTTCACAGTTCGTGAACTTAGGTTAACAAACATGAGTGAATCAGCGGCTCCTCCTCGGACAGTAAAACATTTGCATTATATGGCATGGCCTGATTTTGGCGTTCCTGAATGTGCTGCTGGCTTAGTGCATTTTGTTCGTCTTTTTCGGACTCGACTACCACCTTCACCTAACAATAAACCAACCATTGTGCATTGCAGGTTTGATATTTCTTTTCTTGTTATCAGAATTTCATCAATCACTTCGAAAAGAACTGATCGGTAAAATTGAAATCTCCTCGCAAGAAAAGCTAGCCTACCAGTTAAGTTAAGAGGAACATTTTAACACTAAGTACCATTAACAATTTTGCTATTGTAGTTACATCATAAAATTTACAAAGAGTAGACCTTTTCCGCAAAACTTAAGTCTGTTATTTAGCATTGTTAATCATTTTTCAGTGAATATCTTTATCGGGATTATTTGTTTAGACTTAATAAATATTAAGATATTTATTATAACAGGACTTATACATTAAATTTAATGGAATGTCATAATAAAAGTATGAAAAGTATTTTGATTGAAGCGCTGGTGTTGGTCGAAGTGGTACATTCATAGCGCTGGACCGCCTGATACAATGCGTTGCAAAAACTTTGCCACTCGATGTTTTTGGCATTGTTTATGAGATGAGACTTGATCGTTGTCATATGGTGCAAAATGAGGTAACGCTTTTCTACGTTTCGTTTTTCCTCTTTACTTTTCACCAGAATTGGCTAGGTTTGTGATGATCCCATATTAAATATTTTCTGCAGCATATCCGTTTTGTTGGTTGTTTAGAACTTATTGTTAGCCATTCGCCGACCACGATGAATTTTTGAATCGTTCGGTCGGCACAGGTCAAAAAGAAATTTTTACTTTTTAATCTAAACTTTACTTTCAGCAACAGTATATATTCATTCATCATTGCCTGTTATATGTTCTGGAGGCAGAATATGAAACGGCTACAAATTTGATAGGCAACAATTTATCGCAAGTTGGAAGTGAGGAAGAGTCTGTGACTTCGACTTTTCTCAGGGATAATGTTATCGGCTTCCCAAATAGTTTCATCAGTAACGATGTTGGAAACAAGTTGGGTGTAGGAATCACAGGCGGAGATGTCCAAATAATAAGCAATAATGGAGGTACCACATTTATTGGAACTTCACCACAACATCAACCCAATACTACATGGATTACCACCCCGCGCGTCGAAGTGCATTTAAATCCAGCTTTCGATGATGATGAAGGTATTGCTGAATCTGGCCTATGATAATTTTTTCCTTGTTTTAATATCTTGTACTAATTTCCTACGGAAAATTAGTGAACGGAAATACTGCATTGAAATTGAAGGACGTCATCGTATACTTTTGATAGATTAGTACTTACACTGTTTGAATAGCTGGAAGATAACGAAGTTCAACTTCCTCAACGATAGAAAATTAATGAAATGTTCTAATACATTTCATTAATTTTCTGCAAACCTGACTGCCTCGTAACCATTTTTGAATATACAAAGTATCAGTCAAATTAAATGGTAATGAATTCAATAAAGCCCAATCACATTTTAAGTAAGCTACCTCGTGGTATGATTATTATCTGTCCTGATGTTTTTATGAAACGAAAATTTCTTCTCATTCGTGGAAATTTGAAAATATCGTAAAAACATGAAATAATACGGGTTTCTCTTCCCCACGATTTTTTGATGTTTTGTGAGAAGTAATGTTTCTGCTTCAGTGTTTTTGTATATTGTTGTTTTTTTGCTCAATAAAATTCAAATTTAATAATGTGATATATTTTCTCCTCCTTTGTTCTTATTTAAAACTTTTGCCGATATAAAATTATTCTATTTTTTCGGGCAACAGTAATTTTTTCTACTTGGCGAAATTTCTGAAATTATTTAAACAAATCATAATATATGCATTGTAATAGTTAGATTAATTAACCTTCGATCACATAGTAGTATGCAGTCGGGTAGAATGCGTTTTTTTTTCCAGCAAAGCAGAAGATAAAATGATAATAGGATTCAGAAATCGTGTATCTGAATGATGAATTCGTCCTTATAACATTTGACATAACATTTGACGTTTTACAAAGCCATACATTATTCAAATATAACTGTCACAATTAAATTTACATAATTTACTTATTCTTTAAAATTTATAGTTTTTGGAAAAATTTCATTCCATTGACGCATAAATGATTGGGAACGAAATCAGGACAATTTGCTTGGACGTGAATTTGATGGGTATGATTTCCGTTGGCGTTATCATTAACAAACACTTTGAAATTTATCATACAACCATTGTTCTGATTTGAATTGAAATCTACCACACAATCATTATCCTGATTTGAATCCTGAAAAAAAACTAAAAATTGTATAGGACTGAAGTTTTTCTTGAAAGAGGAAGTTAACAAATCTCGACTGAGTCTAAAGTCTGTTGGGCTTGGGTGTTCTTTGAAATTTGCATGATTAATTTTTGTCATTTGACAACGCATCGTCAACATCCATTGGGATGATCATTCGAGAATCAGGGTTTTGATATTTCTTCTTTTATAATTGATTTTGATTTTTAAAAACCCGGTAATAGAATGATGAAGATAACACTGGTTGGACTGTTTTGTTATGGATGATAGAAGAGATTGATTATGAAGATCATACCTGAAATCTCTTAGTTCTTGTGGTTGATTTATTTACTGGAACTGTTTCTTCGGGTTTTATTATTGGATTTATGCTTGCTTTTATTGTTGGTTTAGTGCTTTTTTGAGATGATGAAACAATGGTGGATGAATTGCTAAAAGAATTGCATGAACATTTGAAAAAAAGTAATGGCAAAAATTCTGATATTAAATGAATTTAAATTTCAACAGATACTATTGTCCTTTTTACTACTGGCGTACTATTTTGCAAAAGATATCTGAGCGCTAAAATTCTAAGTTGGAGTTAATTGAAATATTTGAAAACGAACGTTACAGATTTCGAGCTTCCTACACCATCATACTCTCTAATTAACAATAATCGTCTATTGTCATCAGTCATATAAATGCGATCTGTTTTTAGCAAGTTTTCTTGAGAATTAACAGGAAAACGAAGCAAATCCTCGATTCGATCAGCCGAAAGAATCTTTTTGGAATCGATATCCTGTCGTGACGATATTCGATCATGCTAAAATGGAACTAATTGAGGCAACTATCGATTTCATTAGCTCTGAAGTTTTACCACTTTAATTGGAATATTCAAACTTTATAAAATTGAACTAAAATTTGGAATTCCAATTAAAATTAAATTGCAATTCCTGAAATTGTAATTCCAAGTTGGAATTCCAAGTTGAGTTTTTTCCAAAGTTGATTATCATTTCATTTTAAAAATTAGAAAAATTTACCTCTGTTTTTTTAATCTTCTCGAATTCTTCAACGATTTCATCTGAAAGAGAAAGAGATTACATTCGCTTAACAAATTAAATGGTTGTCTGAAAACATTTGGAGATGCTACTGATAAGAGAATGCGATTAGCGATAAATGAAGCATACCTTTAGTAGTCGTTGTCATTGTTATTCCTGAAAATTCTTCCTTTTGCAAATCATTGAAAATTGTAAACACAAAACTGAATCATTAGAAAAATTCACTCTTTTAAATTTTATGATAACAAATAATAAATTTCTTATATGGAATACATTTTTAAATACTCCGTAAACTACAAGGTAACCACGCTGACAACCGTACTTCGCTGGTTTTCGGCTGTAAAATGATAGAATAGTATCATCTTTCGTAATATTTAGACTATTATAATATTCAAATTATTAAGAATATCACATTGAAGAGCGAGCAATTATCAAAATCTTTTGCAGGAAATTTTGCTTCCGTTACCATTTTAACACACTCTATCCAATCTTTTACGTACTTAAATGCTGCTGATATGTATTTTAAGTCTTACGGTTAGTCAATATTTAGTGATAACTTAATAAATGTTCGACACATTTAGCTATCCGTCCACCTACGCGTTGAGACACGTCTACAATTCTCCTCAACTCTCCCTTTCCGTTCATTTTTCACATTGTCGTAATTTCTACATTCACCAAATCTTCAAAGTCATAAATCCAAGGACACCAAAGAACGTTGCCATTTCTAAGAGCAAAACTCAAAAAAAAGTTCAACAATTCGGTACACACGTGAAAGATATCAAAAACAAAATTTATTAATTATTAAAATAAAAAGTAGAAACCAAAACAATTCATACATAGTAATTGGGAGAGATAACATTTTGTATGAAAACGAGCAATTTCTGTATCACTTCCTTTTCACCTGTTTCAATCATCTTATCATGATGTGTACGCAAAAATGATCGCAGTGTTTCTGTTACCGTATTCTGCAAATTCTTTTAATTTTTAAATGATTTATTTCAATAACTAATCAAATCATTTAACTGAAATTGAATTGTGATTCAAAATCATCATCTTCATACGTTGTCATATGATATCCATTTTAATTTTTCTTTTGATATCCGAACAATGTATACACAAAGTAAAGTAATATTGCCAATGTGAACTTTGATAATATTTAAATTTCAATTTAGAATCTAGCAAAACAAAGCCTTCCTCTAATTTCTAATAACAAATAGTTGGATGCTTACACGTGTTAAAGAATCAGAACCGATGCCAAGCCGGCAATATTTTGGTATCATATCGAATACCAATGATGGAATAGTGAATGGAAAAGCGCGAATTACCGCCGATAGAGCCAATACAGCGCCATGCCTCTTACTTGGTACATTATGCTTCGTATGCTCGAATAATTCCTTCTGATAAATTATTTTTTTATAGTTTATAATCGCTTGAATATTGCATCGTGTAATTTTACCTTATTGATAATAAAGTCTTCTGGATGAACTTACGATATAACAATTGCTAAGCGATTGAAAACCGCAGTGTATCAGTGCCATCAAACAATCAGCAGCCTCTCGTCGTACCTCAAGTTGTGTATGACAAATTGCATTGTAAACCATTCGTCTATAATTCTACTTATTATTCATTATGAAAAAATTTCACCATTTCAAAATTAAAAAGTCGGAAATGAGATGAAACTCTTTTAGAGCTCTCTTTGTGTAACTTAAAGAAAAATTGAAGAATTATTTTTATTTGATTACTTGTCTATACTTTTTCAGAATATGAAATTAAATCAGTGCCTAGCATACGAAGCGATAAATATGAGATGAAAATACATTATGAAAGATAGACCTAAAAATTTCTTTGAAATTATAACACTTATTTATCTTTCGTCAATTTTTCAACGATGCAACAAATAGCGCTCCCTTCGTTAATATTTACGGATCAATAACGCATCTTGTCTTTTTATTTTAAGTTTATTTATTTTCAATTATTATGCATGCCACATCGCTATAGACTGTTCCTTACTACCTATACTATCATTCCATAATGCACTTTGATACCTATAGACATGTGGTCGTTTAATTTAGGTAGCTAAAATGTTTTTTCTCAGAGAGAAACTTACCGCACAGTTTCAGGCCTATTTTGCTTCTCGCAAACAAGTATGTTTGAAAATATGAATACATGAAGAAATTTCATTATAGATACCCATGCCTTCCAACTGGTACTCTCATTCATCGTCTATAATTGCAATTTAAACTTTTTAATTTTATTGCAAAAATGATCGGAAAGAAAAAATTATCTGGAATGATTTTTTTGCTGAATCACTCTTCTATTCTTATAAATCTAAATTCAAGTTAAATTTTAAGAAATGTAGAAATTTTGAATTTAAAGTTTATTCGTTGTACCCGTTCAACACATTTTAACATCTCATCAGCAAGTTCATCACACAGATAAATACCGGACCATGACTGAAATAATACATCACTTGCATCAACTGCTAAATCAGCATCCCTTATCACTTCTGTCTCATCCATGCTAAAATAAAATAAAAGTTTGTGATCGCTAAAAAACAAGAAACATTTCACAAATATCTAACTGATTACGTTAATTAGAATTTCAAATAATAGCATAAGTATTGAATCAAATTTTAAAGGAATGAAATGAAACAAACTTACTCTGCTGTTTCTTCATCAGCTAGATGAGTGATAAGCGGAAAGAATGATATGATAGGCGATGATAAAGCTATGAAACAAGACAGAAAATATGCATTCAAAAATCTTAGCAAAGTTTTAATATATAATTGACGCTGAAAGAATTTTTAAAATTTTATTTCGTTTCTCGAAATTAATTAATAATATCAAAAAGTATCGCTGATTTAATAATGATATGGAACAATGCTTGTGAATAAAATTCAACAGATTTTCAAATCATTTCTTAAAAGCTATAGGAATAAACCATAGCAAATGTAGCTAATTCACCCTTATGATGACAGTATTCCGACTGATAGCAATTTGATCAATTTGATTGTCATATTTATCTTTAGAACATAGTGCTTTATTTTTCAATAATGTAGATGACGGTGATGATGATGATGATGATGATACGGTTATCTGTTTTGATTGTACTACTGGTGATAATGAATTTCTTTTGTCCATTTGTTTTTTACGCGATTTCATCATTTCTTGAATCTGCAGAAAATAAGTGAAAATTTTTCAATCGTAATTAGATTTAAGTCATTTAAAAAAAATCACCAATAATATTCGAATTAATTTCAAATTATAACAAAAACAAAGAGGTTACATGAGTGTCAAATATATTATTCATTATTTCCCCCAACTTTGGAAATCTATACTTCATCGGTATATTACTTTCATCACCCATTGCAAAACCATAAACAGCAGGAAATGAAAGTACGCTGAAAAATAACTCTTTGTTTTTATATCAAATGAATGAGAATTGATTGTTCTATATTTCTATGGATTTAATCATTCTATCTTATTCCACTAGATTCGATCGTTATATCTTGTTTCTACAGACTTTGATCGTTCTATCTTGTTTCTACAGATTCGATCGTTCTATCTTGTTTCCACCGATTCGATCGTTCTATCTTATTTGTTCTATATACTTGATCGTTCTATTTTATTTCTGTGGATTCCGTTATGCTGTTTTTACTAAAGCTATAGATTTCATTATTTTGTCTTTACCAGTTAAATCAGTTAAAATATGAAATGCAATCACAAACTGCTGAAATATTAAATGAAGTTTGGTAATTTAATCAATAGAAATTCATATTAATTTGCCATAAAAGTTTTTGAAAGATCTATAATTTTTCAAAAATTTTCATTTAATTAGAATTAATTAAAAAATTCCAAACTTTGCGATTTGATCTCTTTCCGGTGCTAGCCATGCTTGTGAAATCATAATATTTGCAATATTTATGGCACGATTTAACAGTTCTGTTGTTCTCCAACCTGAGCATGAAGAAATGTATTGTATAAGACCCAATCGTCTGAAAAAATATGCTTTAATTTAATTACTCAAATTTTCTTATGATATTCTGAAGAAAAAGGAAAATGGTAAGGTTTTGATATCTTATTTAATCCTTCTCAAACCGCTTTACTCTATCATTTTTTTCATATTTTAACCTTAAACTTAAACGAGTGAAAATTTACTTACACACATCGATGCCATGTTGTCGGTGCAGGCCTTAAAGCAATTTCAAATATTGCTTCTGCAAGCCAATGAAATCTTCTCACATCACAAACATCTAAGCAAAACTTCAACGCAGTATCCCAATAATTTACTGTTTCCGACATCAAACCTGTAAACATTCAAATATTTCTTTGAAAAATTTTCCACAAAGAATAATTAAAATATTTAAAATTAATTTGAAATTCTCAAGTTACCCTCAATTTGATAGACAATAATAGGTTTCAACCAGGTCCACATTTCTTGCAAATCATTAAAAAGCCAATTTCTTGAGCCACGAATAATGCCAGCACAATATATTGCCGCAAGTTTCGTCTGCGCTTGTCGTACTATCGGATTCTCGTTCTTTAAATAGACTTCGCATTTATTAATTGTAGCATAAAATTATTTTATTGGATTCATTCAAGCTAATTGCCAATTGCAGCTAACTGACGAATTTTCATTTAAATACAACAGGCTGCAAAAGAATGAAGAAAAAGATGAAATAAAATGAAATGTTTTTACCTCAGAATTGCATAATGATTTTAGCAACATTTTAAATTGCGATGTCAATGATATACCGAAATTTCGAAATAAATACTAAAAAGAGAAATGAAAAATCATTATGAATTTCAAAATTGATGATAGCATTTTATTATCCATAAGAAAAGAAAGTGAAATTAAAGAATAAAATTAAAACAATAAGATACTTTAATGAAACGGTATTCGCTAGCATAGAATACATCGCTGTCTTCTTTTTCCTTTAATAAATTAGCATGCCAAAAATTAAGAAATTGTTCATCTTTCATATATTCAATTATTAATTTCTCAATATCATTGAATTCTGATACGGAGCGTTGCAGTTCTGTTTGTGTATTTGCTGGAGCTGGTACCATCAATTTCCTGAAAAAACTGAAAATATATCAATCAATTTAGGAAAATGGACTTATAGCGCATACCTTAGAATATCACATTATCATAAAGCATTTGAGCATTATGTATAAAATTCTATCAATGCAGCAATTTTAATCTTATCTGCTCTACTCTTATCATTTTAACCTCTTACAATCAAATTTTATCAATTTTAGATTAGTATAAAAAAGAAATAAAAGGATCGTATCACAATATAGGAAACAAAAGCTGACAAATTGAGCAGCTGATAGTTATTCAAATATGCGGCAGTCTCAAAAACTTCAATATATATGAGTTGTTTACCTTGGCCATTGATATGCGCCCCAATGTGGCTTCGATATAAATATTGTTTCGTTCCAAGTTTTCTCATCATTTGGTAATCTATCATGATCATAAACGATGCATAAATTATCAGGTCTTAAACCACATGCATATTTGAATTTCGGATCAATTACCTAAAAGAGCTACGATATTTAGATAACAAAACAAAAATAGCCTCCACAAATTTAACATCTAAATAAAACAAATTATAAATTTTGTAAAATATTAAAATAACCTTATCAGGTGGATTCCATAATATTCTTTTTGTTCGTGGCTTATTCCATTCTAAATAACTAGCGATACATTCAGCAGCAATACGTCGCCATCTTGGACGAACATCAACTAACATTTGCAGAAATATCTAAAAATAATTTTACATTTAATTTTATTTCATTCCACCAAAATGAATATTAATTATTAAAATAATATCAAAGGAAGTTTGATGCAATCACATATTAAACTTTTCAAATTTGCATAAACAAACTTCTGCCACTTCAACAGTGAAAAGATTCCGATAAAAAGTGAAAAGAAATGTTCGTGCTGAATCAACTTGTCGCCAATGATATAATTGTCCTTTATTTTTGCAAATTTCAACAAGTTCCTTGCGAACACTATCTATTCGCCTATAAATAATAAATGGATACATAATTTCCCACACGATAATGCTTAATTTTTGTTAAATAACTAGCGATACATTCAGCATTTTCTTAAATTAAAATAGCTAAATGATAAGTTACGGTAATTTGTTATTGAAATTTTTTAAATAACAAAAAAAAAATGAAATTATAAAATATTCTTCTCTTCCTTCTCTTTTCTGATGACAGTTTATGAATATTAATTAATTTGACATACTGCTGATTCTTTTCATATTTTTCATTAAATTTATTTTCTGACATAAGAATTGTCTGTGAATGAGATAATTCTTGATATTTAGTATAAAATATTTCATTAGCATTATTATCAGTAAACATCCTTTGCCCGGTTATACGAATATTTACTGAATTCTGTAAACAAATTTGTTGAATTTGTTGATTAATAAATTAATAAGTGTTTCCTAATTAGACTTTCTCACCTATTATAACCCTCTTTCATATTTTTCTTTTCTATTCTCTTAAAATGTTGTTAAATTACTAAAATTATTTTTGTTAAAAAAAATTAATGATACAAGATAATTTAATCAAAAATTGGAAAATTTTATCAATAGAATTATTAAAGTAATATATATCAGTCATTTCATTACGAAGCATTAAAATGATAACGATAGTATATTTTATCATAGTTTTATCATAGATAGAAAAAAACTGCATTTTATCATTTCCATTCGAGACAAAAATTTATTATGATAAACTCTTATCATTGAGTGTTGTAAAAGTTTAAATGATATAGTGAAATTAAACAAATAGAATTAACAATAAATTTCCTTATTGTTTTTATTTTAAATAAAACGAGCAAAATTTTGAAAAAAAAAAACGCTATAAAATGAAAAATGAAGTGATTACATTTTATTTTGTCGAAAACTTACGACATTTTTTTGAAGTGGCCATTGTTTTATGGAAACAGAACGAATAGCATGCTGTACTAATGCAATAATGGATGGCTTCTCGGAAACTTTAATTTTTGCAACTGCTAGCCAACATTTACAACGAACAGAAATTGTATTTGAAATCAAAAATCCACATTTGATCAAAATATATAATGCTCCCTAGAAAATTTGATCAACGATGGATAACTTGAAATGTTGAAATAATTAAAGCTTAAAGAGGGAAATAACGAATTCGTAATTTTTGTAATTGAAAGAAGTTTGAGAGATACATTCTCAAACAATCGAAATCATTCGTTGATATTGAAGCTAACAAATTTATCTTTTATTTCAACTCAAAAAAATCAGGTTTTCCTGAATTACCTTCATTTCTTCATGACTGATATTACGTTTTGGATCTAAATGCTCCAACACATCATCCACTAATAAACATTTCGAATTTGGAAATTTCATTATTAATTTGTTCAACGCCGTTTGAGAAACGATACGTACCTTTAACGATCAAAATTTGTTGTGAAATAAATAATTTTAATAGAAAAATTTTTTGTCTTAATTTCAATATATTTCTAAATGTTACATCGGTGAAAAAGTTTGTTCCAAGTTTTACGAGATCCTTCATGATTTTCAGATGTGATTCGGTGAATTTGGAATTTTCGATGGACAATTCCTAAATTTACTTGCAAATTACAATCAATTTTTTTTAATGTCTAATTGATAACATAAATTATTGATAACTATTTACAAATTATTGATAACTATTTAATTATAGATATCAAATTTTTTTCATCGTAAAAATATGAGAACAAATGTTATGTTAAATGTTAACAAATGAAATGTTAAATATGTTATACAATATATAATATTATATATTGTTAAATGAATGTTAAATATGTTAAATATGTTAAATATGTATAAATTTAAATTTATGTATAAATGTTAAATATGTTATACAATATATAATATTATAATTAAAATATATAATATTATACAAATGTTAAATGTTAACAAATGTTTCATCGGTCACTTCATCATATTTACTTTGGACTAAAAATTTTTGAGTAAGATGCATTTTCATTTTAAATAATTCATTTTATTAATGAATAACAAACTTTTTGATATGAGAAAATCCGCCGTTCAAAAATATCATACAATTCAGCACGACGTCCATTTATCGGATCGCTATAATTTATTCGTATATTCTTCCGGAGAGCTCGAAAACTCGGCATTGACTTAAATACATTTGTTAGCTTACTTCAATTTTAAGAAATAGATGAAGTATTAGAAATTATTCATAAATGTTATGAAATTAATTGAAATACAAGAAGTTGATAACTTACTTCCTCAGTACATAACGTTTGTAGAACGAATGAAATATGCAAAAGATTTTTTGATTGATCATCCTGTTGATTCAATAAATATTCCATTAAATTATGTATTGTAATACGAACTCGTTCGCGAATATTTTCACCATTAAAAGAAAACACTACAAAAATTCTAAGTTTGTAACTAATTAAAATATTGTTTAATTAACATAAAATTTGAAAATTATTTATGAAAAATAATCTTATTTCTTTTTCAATAATTATCACCGATTTTATTTTAATTATTAAAATACTTAAAAATATCATATAAAACACATTAACTATATTTCTAATTCTTAATTAAAACAATAGTATGCTTTACAAAAAAAAAAAGTTGTAACTTTTCATGCGTGGTGATACAGGTAATATATGTATGGGATTCATATCAACGGCTGTCTCGCTTAGTTTAATTTCTTTAGTGTTAAAAATTGGAAGACGATTGCCAATACAAGATAGTAAGTTATCGATAATAAATAGCGAACGTTTGATTACAAACCTATTATGTTTATAGTTTCAAATCATTTTCAATTTCAGTCTTCTTTTTTGACAGACAGAATTTTGTTTGAATGAATAATAAAGTATTTGAGTCACATATCAGATTCAAAAATGATTCAATAAAATATAAAGTAATATTGAGTGGAAGATAATTTGAAATGAAACAAACTTATCCATATTTTGTGGTGTTGTAAGTAATTGAATCTCAGAATAAGCAAATTCATTTAATAATTTTTCCGCAAAATCAACTTCAGCATCTGTTGGAATATGCCATTTTATTGTTACAATATCTTTGAGACATTTAACACCCCATTTCTACAACAAAAATTTAACACTTCCAATGCTCCTCAAAATTCATTTATCGCTATCTGTTCATGCATTAATTTTCTTTAAAAGAAAAGAAAGAACGCTCTCAAAATTAACATTCATCGATGGAAATCATTGTGAACCGTTTTTCATTTATTATTATTTATTGTTATTATTATTTATTATTTACTATTATCGTCATCATTATCGTTGTCATTAATATTATTATTGTCATTATCATTATATTACTATTATCGCTATTACTAATATTATTGTCATTATCACTATTATTGCTATTGTTATTATTATATTATTAGTGTTATAATTATTATTATTATCATCATTATTTTCCTTATGTTGAATCAAACTAATGCAAAAAAAAAGATTATTATCAGTATAACTTTTTTAAAAAGTTTCTTGAATTGAATTGAAAATTTACCTTAATGGGCAATGATAAATGCAATGGTAAATCTAAATTATGTTGTCGATCTTCCTCCGATATTGGATAAATTTCTGTTAATTGTGTTAGAAGATTTTTAAGTGACCAACATGCTCCCTATAAACAAAATCCCCAAAAAAGACTAATGAAGAATTTTTGTGATAAATTTTGTGATAAAATATCAACAGGCAAAAAAGAAATGATTTCGGGCAAAAATCTTTTCCAAAAATACAGCAGAATAAAGTAAAATTGCTACCTGATATGCATTAGAGCAAATTAGTGAAATGGTACATTTATGCATTTGAATACATTCATCCTGATATTTCAATAGCAAATCACTGGGAACAGAAAAGATCATCTCCGACAAATATGCAAACCACATCGTTGTTGCATCAAGTTCTTTCAACATTTTCTTCTCTTCTCAAATATGAAATGATGAAAGAAAGCGCAGAAAATTCTTTTATTCTTAAGAATCATACTTATACTCATACTTATGAAATATTCTTACATTGAAAATATTTGTTAGGTAAACATCCAATTTCTAAAACTTTTGAATTTATATTCATTTTGAATTATTATAACTTCCGAAACTTTCAATCCCAATCACCTGTAATATGCTGTTTTTGCTTCTTCAATAAGAATTCAATATACATCGGAAAATAACGGACCGGATTAGCCTAAAAATATAAACGAAATTAATTTATTTTAGCTGAAGCCGAGAGAAAGAGATGATAAAAATTTAAAAACTAAATGAGATTTTTCTACCACCCTCGATGACACAATCTGCTAGCGTTTATTTTAATTTTTCACACTTTTAATATTGGAAAAGAAATATGTTTGAATGATGAATGTATACTGACATAAGTGGATTCTTGGATAAGTGATAATGCAGCATCCGCAGCAATCACATTTTCAAATTCAGATGTTGAAATGAATTTATAGGTTTGATCACCGATTAGCTAAAAGATCGATCGGATCATATGATTAGATGTAAAATTGGAGAAAAAATCCATTACGAATTGTTTTAGATAATTTAGAAGGCGTATTTCACTCTTTATCAAAACCAATAATAATTCTTCCTTTACAGATAAAGAAAAAGGAATAGGTATTAATATTTACAAGAGAAAAATTACAAAATAGATGATCACGGAGTGGATTTAAGACAATCATGGGGTGAAATTACAGGACAAATGATCACGGAGTGGATTTAAGACAATCATGGGGTGAAATTACAGGACAAATGATCACGAGTGGATTTAAGACGATCATGGAGTGAAATTACAAGACAGATGACCACGGAGTGGATTTAAAAAGCTCAAATATAAATCTATCAGTTCATGAACTAGATGTTGTATCTAAAAGAATTATGAATCCGTAATATGTGCTCAACTCATGAGTATTAACTGAATTAAAAAATAGATTAAAATGAATCTTGATCAAGTATAAAAGTTGAATTATTGTAAGTGTCGGCGTAATTTAATTGTTTTTGATAATGAAATTTCAAATTAAATTACAGAAAAGATTTAATAAAAATTATTTATCACAAAATAATATCTCATAATAATTTAAATTGCTAATTAAAAAAAAATCAAACAATTAATTCGAATAGCTATAGCATACCTCAACAAAATTTGATGAACAGTTAGAGAATAATGCATGAAAAGCGCTTTGAATACTTGTACTGATCACAATTTCTTCACTTCCAGTCATTATTATCTCCGAGTTATCACATATCGAATCAACGTATGATATGCCATCACTTGGTGCAGAGCTTGACAATTGTGTTATCACTTTGAATACTCTAAAATAAATAACAAATAATGTGATCACATGAAAATGTGACAGTCATTATTATTATATAAATAACATGCATAAGAACATTCCAACTTTTAAATTGATACTTATTTATAAAAATAAAAGTTATACTAATTAGAGAGAATATAAAATGATATTTCAATAAGATTTTAATTTATTAATTTAATTCTAATAAGATCTTAATTTTAGATAGTAAGATTTTAGATATTAATTAATTGTAAGTTAATTAGAATTTTATACAGTAATACTTCCTTCTTAATATAAGAAAACACATAAGGATATAAATAACTTACTTATTCACAAAATTCTGTACAATACTTGGAAATCTTCCTGTTAATTTACAAAGACGTTTTTCCTCATCAGTTAAATTTGCATATTGTTCCATTTCAAGAGCAGCAGAACAATTTACAATTGGGATTAATTGAAAAATAGTCTCAAGAGTCTAAATTTAATACTAATTCTAAACCATTTTTATACTTTACAAAATAAACATTAAAATAATAAAACTAAACAAAAGTCGAATTGAATAAGAATATGATCATTTAAAGGTGATAGCATAAAAACTTTAGCGATGATAATCATTTAAAAGTGATAGTATAAAAATTTAAAGGTGATAATCATTTAATTAGTAATGTAAAGATAATATATTTCTTATATATTATCTTTACATTGAATAAGAATATATTTACATTGAATAAGAATATGATATATTTACATTGAATAAGAATATGAGAATATGAATAAGAATATGAATATATTTCTTATATATTATCTTTACATTACTAATTAAATGATTATCACCTTTAAAGTAAATAGCATTTGAATGTTTGTGTATCTTTTTCCTTAGCAAATTTTGATCCATAGCCTTAGGACTAGAATTCAAGTGCTTTTTATCAGTTTAAGCCAACCCTGAACTTATCATATTGAATATTTAATAATTTGTTAGTCATACTGATAGTACTCCAATCACTGATAAAATTTAAATATATCGCTAAATACATTACAAAACGCTCTTTTGTTTTCTTTCATATTAAGGAAAATTAATAAAATTTAAATTATAAAATTTGCCTGCAAAGAAAGCGAAAGTTTTTGAAAATCATTGATATCGATAGCTTCAATCAATGGTTCAAGCAGAAAAATTGCATGTTCACGCAATGGTATTCGACAGTTATCAGAACGAACTTCCGAATCATTTATAATTGACGACGACGATGACGATGACGATGACGATGACGATGACGACGACGACAATTTATCATCTTTGTCCTGAATTTTTTTATAAATAGCAAAACAGCAAAATTGTATGCAAAAATTTGAAATTAGTGTTCGATAATTAGTGTTCTATTTACGTTCGATCTCTTCATTGGATTATGGATGGAAGAAATGATTTGCTGTTTCCTTTTTTAGAAGTAGTAGTATTAAACTTAAACTTATCAGTAATATTAAACTTATCAATACATTAGAATAAGAATTAAAATATATTAATAAGGAAACTTATCTTATCTGTATAGTAATGATAAAGTTGTTAAAGGAGAAATATTATTGTTCATGTAAATTTGTCATATTGTTAAATGTAATAAGAATTAACATCAGGTACAAGATATTAATTGCATTTAAAAAACCTTCTTAGTTCGACATCAATCATAAGAGATCAATAATTACCTCTTTAATTTTACTAACACTAAGAATCCAATCTTGCTTACAAACATTATATGTTCGATAGTTATAGGTACCATCATCACGTACCAATGGTACACAAATTTCGACAATACATTCCAATGACTGCTTCAAACGATGTGGTTCTGTAATTGTTGATAGCGATGGATAAATTCTGAAAAAGAAATTCTAATAATAACTGAACTATTTCTTTGCTATTTTCAAAATGACAAATTATTTTGGATTATTTGAAATGAGTTTCAAATTTCTCATGTTGTAATCCTAAAATTTTACCGTTGATAGTATTTGAAATGATAATTGCTCACATAATTATTCATTTAGCTTACAGATTTTGATGTTAAAATATGACAATTTTGTGTTCGATATTTACTGATCGCTTTATCAATCATACATTATCTGATTGAAATAATCAGTTAACATGTAAACTTACAAGTCAAGACATTTTGGTAGGACAAGTTGCGGTGAAAGGAATGCTAAATTTCGCATAATATTAGACACTGATGTTTCAGTCGTTGAAAATACTGAATAATGCACAGATGGAAGTAATGTGTTGACGAACCATTCAATCTGTTCATCGGAAAGGCGCATTTTTAAAGGTACCTACGCATAATTTAGAAGATAAATTTCAGGACAATCAATTAATAATGTAAATTAAGCGGAATTAAAAGGGAGCATATAAAATCGAAAATCATTAATTTTCAAGTACAGAATAAAGGTACATCTACCTTATTTCTGGTTTTTTTACGTACTCGCTCAATGCGAACACGTCGCACCATTTCGTTAACAAGAGAATCTAAAAATGACTGTAAAGTTGGCGTATGACCACCTTCGTGCAATGGATGCAGAAAAGATTCGACGCATTTGATCAATCGCTCGAAACATCGATGAGCACTGAAATACGATATAGTATCGATGATCGGAAATACTACCAATTAAATAGGAGGAATTGAAATGTTGGAGGGAAAAATAAAGAAATATAAGGATGATCTCTTAAGATTCACTATTAGCTATGAATTTGTAAATTAATTGCAAAATCAAGAGAAACCTTTCATTTACTCCACCTAACATCCATACGATCCATTCTGCTCCTGAACTTTCAGAACCCATTCCCGTTCCATCACCAACTGCTACTTTATTATATCTTACACTTAGATTTAGTGTCCGCAAAAGTTTTGAAAAAATGATTGTATGCTTCGATGACCAATCAATATATCCTGGACAATATTCACTTATCCTGAAAATTGTTGAAATATATCGGAGCTTCTCAGCCAATGAAAATTAATCTAATCAGAGTTATCTCATTGAATGAATATTTATTTCTCATTCATCAGATAATTTGATTCCCATCTTTTTTTTACTTCACCTAACATCCATACGATCCATTCATTTTACGCCTGAATTTCCAGCGTATATTCCAATTCTATCACCAAATATTACGCCAAAATTGCTCATCACCAAATTATCGATTTTTAAAATTGATGTGTTTAGATTTATCAAAATAAAGAAGAAATTATGTCCACAAGTACGCTTTTGAGATAGAGCTATTACTTATTACAGAGAGATAATATTTTTTGAATTATATTAAGATGAAATGAAATTGAATTGTTCATGAAATGCAAGAGCAATGTCATAACACTATTGGAAAGTTGATAATCAAAGATTTATTATTTCTTATTATTTCTAGGGCTACGGATCAGAAATAAATATTTCCTATTAGCAAAAATGAAAACATTATCATCTTCTATAGCCTTAAGGTCAAAGGTTAAAGAATAGAACTTATAAATTCCTTGATAAGCTATGAGATTAAAGGTCAGAAGATAGAAATCTTGTAATTTTTATATCAAATTCTTGCTTTTTTAATGACTGTAAATAAAAAAATGGAAAAATAAGCATACGCGGAGAATATGTGTTGTATGCGAGTTTCCCACGAGCTGTTCATTTCAACAAAATTATAAAAATACCACATTTCATCATACCATAATCCAGCACCATAAAGGTCATGTTCATCATTGGACATTTTAAGTGGTATAAAAGCTGAGAATAAATTCACAAATTTAGTCATAGCATAATCGTTCCATACGTCAATAAATGGACGTATCTAAAATGTTGCACTATAATTGACCATTACTTTAGCTTCATTTCAATCGATACTTTCAGAAGTAAACCTCATCAAGAATTTCCTTTGTTGCTGATAATGGAAATAATTCTTTGACAGCTAAAACTGCTGAACGAATGTTTGATTTGTCCAAATTTTTAATATTTCGTTGATAAGTTACTTCGATGTACAAATCATAAATTGGTCTCCAAGGTAAGGTTAAATCGTTACGCTTAATTATCTCATCACTAAAATGATAAATAATGTTGATTACGAAAGAATAATTTAAAGGTGAAATTAACACTTAATATATGTAATAGTTGCTTACAGAATGGATCCCTCATAAAGTTTAATCACAGTTATGAAAATCTTTAAACTCGAATTTTAGGAATTGTTATAAATTTATGAATTTAGAGAGAAGCTTCTCGACAGATAAGAATCACTTAATCAACGTTTTGATAACTGAACAAGCTTTATGAATAAGCCTTCGATCATAATCTGGCTCCAATATAACATTATAAATGAAATTGATTAATTTTATATGATCGGCCTTAGAGAAACGACAAAAGAAACGATTTAAATATCTGAAATAGTTTAAACTTTTATTGCAGCAATTTATTAATTGTCTAAAAGCGCTTCATCAAATGGATGAAAAAAATGAACAAACTGGCTAAGTTCATTCATCCAAAAAGAAATTCCTGAATCGGCAGCATATGATAAGGTGGAATTAGCTAGGCCTGCTTTTATTTGCTCCAACCAAAAAGAAGCATTCCGATTGATATTTTCATAATACGGTAAGTAGGAATATTCTCGCCGTGTACGTTGAAATTTTTGTTTATCACGTAAGTAACCTTTTGCACTCGTATAAACATAACCAATTTTTTCATCCTATAAAATGAAAAGAGTAGTTTATATATTGCTGTGAATTGCATTCTTAGAATTATTTGATAAGTATCTGGCAATATCATTGATAATTTAATATAGTGATAATGCAATTATCTTACTTCCAATGCTACTCGGTCAGAGGATGGATGTAAATGCAAGTATAGAAATCATCTTACAAAGGTTGTAGTTTTTCCTATTATTACAGTATTAATTTGTAAAGAGAAGTAAAATAGGCAATAATAGAAAATATCAAATAACGAGAATGATTAACTTCTTCCTTCAACGTTTTCGCTTCATCTCTGCCTATATCATTCATTTGACGCATTTGGCGCATTTCACTCAAACCGATGACTATAAATAAGCCGCTTAGAATCTTAGACAATAACAGGAATGAATATTACTTTCAATATAATTTATTATATAAGCAAAATATCATTTATATTTTGCAACCTTTTGCAATATTCGATTTTTGAAAAGACAACCGATACAATTATCATTTAGGGAAGAGTTTCGACTTATCAAAAATTACGCTATCAGCGCGTTCGTATTTTGCATATAAATATTTGTACACATTTTATACAATATTGATTATTCACTTAAATTATTAAGGTTAAATTTTTAATAGTAAAAAAGCAGAGAAATAAGTGACGTACGTCTCAAATTCACGTCAACTAAGAAAATTTATAATTTATGTACAATTGAATGAAACTATAAAAGCGAAACTTCAAATATAAATTATTGATTATTATTTCTTAACTGCAACAGTCAATAGATTTAACACTGATAAAAGCTAATAATGAACAGTAATAATCGACAAATGAGCTCCATAATCGGAAACAGTCCTGATCATGATATCGATGCATCTAGAAAACTATAACTGTGGTACGCATGTTGTTGTGGGATTACAAATATACAGTTTCTCTTATCTTTAATTCAATTTTCGTTGTTATAATACATGTTTTAAATGTCGCAAAAGCTGGCATGAATTATCTCACTTCATGATATGATATTCTTTGGTAAATTTGTGTTTGTCTTAGTGATAGATGATGAATTTTTATCTTTTCCAGCTTTAAGAGATACAGGTTGGAACTTGCCAGCTTATTCCCACTTGAATTATTTGATTCATTTTCTGTTATAATATATTATCGATCACTCTAATAATGACTTCCAGCCGTTTTTTAATCAAATATTCGATAATCGTACTTAAGATGAGTTAACCATTTAAGTTATTGTATTGCTATGAATTTATTTAATAATTGCTTTCATTTCATTTATTTATTTTAGTATATCACATTTACACTTGCAATTGGAATGTCTGATCGATGTATTATCCCGGAAAGACATTCAATGTTTCCACAATTTGTGGAACAAATAACGGATGATCGTACTCATTAAGTTGACCCTTGAATGTTAATACGGATACTTCGAAGGACTGCAAGTATATTATGTACTTTCCAAATTGCATGCATCAATTATATTAATAATAATAATAAATTAAGATAACGTCCAATTAATTCTGAATTATCATTTCGAAAGAGAAAACTCAATACGACATATTAAATTTAAAACTCTTTGTTATTTACCTGTTCATAATTCATTTTATAGACTGTTTCCGGGAAAATATTTTTACACATCCATTTAATCAAATAATCCAAATCATTCACTGAACACATAGCAATTAAACCTCCTAAAATAGATTTTACTTTTGTTAAATTGAAACGGAGAGTATAAAAATTTCCTTTTTAAAAGAATTCTCTTTTTAATTGAATTATTAACAAAATTTATTATTCTTCTTCATTTACCTGTCTTCATATTTCTTGTCTTCAAATGTGTATGCGTGTCAAGCAAAAAGATTGCCTTGCATTCACGCTCATAGATCAGTAAAACGGATCGTTCAAATACAATAAGTATCATGTAAATTTGTAAATGATCCTTGAGAAAGTCACTGAAATAAAACAAAGATCATTGGCCTCATTTCATTTTTTTAAAATTATATACATCAACTGATCCGGATGTATTTTTCGTTATAAATTTTTTTCTTGAAACAAAAAGTAAGTACCGGGTAGAATCATGTACGGGAAGTGAAGTGAAGAAGAACTTTACCTGCCTAAGTGATACTTCATATTGAAAAAGATTCAGTTTTTTCTTAATTAACTGTGATATAGAAGAAGGAATAGATGAATCTAATTCGAATTTCAGTAAAGAATTAGTTTAATAAATTATAAAAAACAATAAATTATAGTAATTGCTACAATTCATTAATTACAAAAGAAGTCCGATGATTTAAAATCTGAACTATATACATATATGATTAAGAAGGGAGAAATTATACGTAATACCTTCTTATAGGCATTAGCAAAAATGGTTTCAAATTATGAAGAATTTTTCCACGTACAGTAACAAATTCAATTTCTTGAAATACATTACCACATCCTTCTAATGCCTACAATATTATTTTATAAAAGTAAATAAATTTATTTTAATTATTTGTAATTTTAATAATATAAAAATCAATAAATTAATTATCGATTAATTTGATATCATTTGTTAATATTCTTTGAAATTATTAACAGATTAAATTTAGAGAAATTCTTTATTGTGTGCAAAAAAAAAGAATGGAAATTGTTAATCGATCCATCTTCTTATATGTGACAGCTTCGTGAGAGGCTATACCTGTGGGATGGTGAATGTTTCCGCATGACGATCGTAACAAGAACAGAATGGACGTCGTTTGACCATTTGTTGCTCATGTATTTCATTACCCTCAATAATGGCATTAATGAACGCATTTAATAGTTGTGCTGAACAGTGCTGTAAAGAATTAAATTTAGTTTGTTGATTTCTTATTGTCATTGTTGAAGGGTGTTTAGGCGCAAATATATCATTTCTTCAGATGAATGAGCAGCAATTACTAATTAATTAAAGATTATAAATTTCAAGAAATTAATGATTTTGATAATTCATTAATAATTCCAATCTTTCGGATCATTATTACCTTACATCGTAATGGCAATTTGAAAAAAATATTTATACCATAATTGGTTGCACTTTTTCAAATTCGGCAAATATTCGTGATGGCCATTTTCGGAATCGTGGACGTGACTTGGAATCATTTCTTTTGCTTGATAATAATATTTGAGTAGGACGTAGTATAATACCCTCCCGATAAATATATTCAATCAATTTAACAGCAATTATTGTACAAGCATTAGATGGCTTATAACGACCAGCTAATCGTGATTGCGATATTTCAATTGGCATTCGCCATACTGTTACATGACCGCCCTGCAGAAAAAAAGACATTATTAATTGCTTTGTGATATAGAGAGGAATATTAAGGCTTATTTTATATTAATGAATCTATTAAAATAAGATATAGTAATATTTACAATAATAATAAGTTGAAGAGAAGAAAAATTTTGTTCAGTGGAAATTGCTAAACATTAGGACATCAGTAACTCCAAATTTATATTTCTAGTACCCCCTCTATTTACCTGTTCATATGTAGCAGTCAGAGTTGGCAGTAATCGTCGTTTGAGTTCATTAGTATCCTCATAAATATCACCATCATCCTTATTATCACTTTCTATTTCATCCTGATTTGTGCTGTGAATATTTTGAGTTAATTTTGTATTTTTCCAAGTTCCTTGAACCCTACCTGACCACTTTTGAAACATATAAATATACGAAATGATAAAGTAATTCGTAAAATTTTGTTTTTAAAATTTTTTGCAAATTTTATTTTATGCAAAATAAATGATAATAAATCATAAAAGGTCTGTTTCATAACAAACGTTATGAATGTGTTTGCAATTTACTTAATAATTTATGCTCTTGAAGAGAGTTACAAATCGATACTAATTAATATCAAGGTATGAAAAACAATTGTTGTAGGTATAAGTAATAATAAAACTATATTATTGATTATTCCGATTTATTCTCTTCATATTGAAATCGAGTGAAATTATTTGGTGTATGTCATTTTCAGCTTCAGAAGAAGTAATTAAATTGTTTAATAATGCTTTATTTAAATTTGAACTCATGGAGGCTAAAGCCTATAGCTTTTTAATGTGACAGCTAATTGTGATAACAAATTATTATTGATCAACATCTAATCTGCCAGTTTTGTTAGCGATGATTGCATCACTTGAAAATGTCACCATCAAAGCAGCAAAAATGATCATAACAATGGCATAAGCGATGTCATTGATAGTTGTACCGCCCTTCGAAGTTGCCTTGAATCTTAAAACTGTCACCAATAGCACCATCATTAGTAGCATCATTCGTCAGCAATATTTGTTAGCTATATTAGTGCTGTTAGCAGCAACAATTTAATCATGTCGCAAGAAAAAGGAAATCATCGTCACCTGGCTAACAATATATTTGGTACAACAACGAAGCAATTTATTGAAGTTGAAAAAATTTTCAGGTAGGAAAATATTTAACAAATATTTTATTTCTAAAAAAATATTCATAAATTTATAATTGCAAACGAAGATAACATCAATTTGAACTTTGTGAAATGTTAATTTAAATTAAACAAAAGAGCTTTTTGCTAATTATATTTGAATTCATAAATAATGAAATAGTGTTGGAATATTTCATATTTAATCCTTAAAATATAACGTAGAATTTAAAAGTTAATGAATAAATTTTATAAAATTATTTTCAAAATCGATTTGTTGTAAAAATTAAATAATTCTGATTATCACAAAGCTATTTCTTCTTATCTGATATTATTCATTTAAATGAAATTTAATATAATCTAATAAATGTAGCAGATTAATTTTACACCGTTTTTTTTAAACTAAAAAGTTATTAATTTGAATTATTTTAACCTTTAACCTTCAAGAATTCATTCATTGCCATCGGTCAAAAAAGCCGATGAAAACATTAGGAATATCAAAAATGTAACTTAACATTTTAAATTGTTGAAATTTGTGAAATAGCTTTCAATCAGCTTAATTTTAGAAATATTTTGTTTCATTGCAAATAAACTGATAAGTGATAATTTGCTTGGGTGAAAAATTGATGATACGAGAAAGATGAATTTCAGTTCTGAAAGTTTAATTGCAAAAAATATTTGATAAGAATATGATAGTGAACCAATCATATAATGGCTATTATTCTTATCTGTTATCGTTTCACCTCGTTTTTTTTTGATCACACCGAGTAGATGAAAAATTGATAAAACAAATTTTATTTTTTTCATAATAAATAGCAAATTCTTCTTTTGTTTCAGGTTAATTATTTTTGTTTTTCCTTCTAATTAACAAATTATATTATATATTATAAACTATAAAATTTATAATATAAAAATATAATTTGCCTTTTTTTTTTCTTCTTCAAATTAATTAATTACCAAAATTTTTTTTGTTCTTTTTCTTTCTAATTAAAAAGAGAAAAAAATGTGAAAAATTATAAAATTCATTGTTTTCCGTTCAATAATTTATTTTCATTCCTATTACAACTAAGTCATTAAAAATATATTATTGTAGAATTTATTAAACTGGTAGCAATTAAAGAAATTCAAACTTTTTCTTGTTGCGATTTGCAAAACAAGTTCTTTTGGTACTACAAAGTGTAAAAATTTGATGATAAACAAAATACAAACATCTCATAAAGAATGATTTTTATCTTTCAAAATAATAAAATTTATTTTATTAATAATCAATCTGATAAGATCGAATAAACGAATTATTATTATATTTTATCATAAAAACGAATACCTGGCAATTAATAGATTATATAAAGGTATGGATGGATGGTACTTATCATCAATTTTGATGGATGACACTTATCATTAATTTCTTAATGTTATTTGTGATAATTATCTCATTAATGATTTTTACAAACAATGAAAATATTTGATCAAGTGAAGTATTCAATAGAAAGATTTTTTTTGAATTAAATTTATAGTTAAGAAATTCGTTTTGGTGTAGCAAATTATTTAGAACCTAAAATGAATTAATTACAAAGCTCAATTATTTCATTGATCTCAATTAATAGGAAGAATTTCATTGATGGATGGGAACGGGAAGGTGCAGCAATATCGATATATCGAAATGGTGAATTAGTGGTTGACTTGCAAGGCGGATACGCTGATGCGAGCTCACTTCGTCTTTGGACATCCGATACAAGAACTGTCGTATTTTCTGCTACAAAAGTTTGTTACCATTTTTTGGTATAAATATTCAATATATATTTTTAATATGATATTAGAATTGAGTTGTTATATAGGCAGTTGGCGCATTATGTATAGCAGTATTGGTTGATCGAGGACAATTGCAATATTCCGATCGTATTTGTCAATTTTGGCCAGAATTTGGTCAAAATGGTAAGGAAAATATCACTGTTGGTTGGATCATGAGTCATCGTGTAAGTTTTTCATTTTGTTGTTTATTAGTAATTCATTAGACTGAAACTGAATAACTATTTGTGGAATATAAATTTTTTTCAAGGCAGGTTTGGCAGCTTTTGGTGAACCAATTACTAAAGAGGATGCATTTGATCATAAGAAAATAGCCGAAATTATTGTAAGACAGAAACCGAATTGGATACCAGGTTAGATTAAGTGATATTTCGTTCCTAAAGAATTCAATTGAAATTTTATTGATTCAAGAGTGAAATTAATCTTTACTTGCAAATGTTTGATAATGGTTAGTTTTGCGCCAAAATCACATTTTCTTCAAAACTGTTATCGCTTTTGGTTCCTAAAAGAAAGAATTGAAGTAATGTTTGAAAGAGGTAAAATGAAAAATATTTGAATATGAATTTGTTGATTAGTGTAAACAATTATTACCGATAAAGTTGTAAGCTTTACTTACCTTTACTCAATCTATATCATTATTAAAACTTCATGAAAAATATTTTCTTCAGTGTGATAATACTTCAAGTAAATTATCTCTTCAAATTCAGGTACTAAAGCAGGATATCATGCAATAACGTATGGATGGCTTGTTGATCAAATTATTCGACATGTTGATTTAAAACATCGTGGTATCGGAACATTTTTTAAACAAGAAATTGCTGAGAAATTTGGTAAGTTAAATCAAAATTATCGATTATCGTTCTTTTCCTAAATTTATGATTTAAAAGAAGTTTCATACTAACATCTAATCTACTTTTCAGTAGACATATGAACTCCTCAAAGTTTTCCTTAATAATAAATTCAGTCGTATGGTTCATTTTAATCCTCAAATTTTTCTGATACAACGAATGTTTTTCCATCTTTTATACCTTTGAATTGAATTAATGCAATAGTTATCAAATCAATAATTAATTATTAACTAATCTTCCAACTTAATCTTCAACGATTTTTGTATGAAAAATAATAAATACAAAAAATTATATTGAACAATAATATTTAATTATTTTATTTTAGGTATTGACTTTCATTTTGGCTTACCATCAGAAGAAGAATATACCGTATCTCGATTAACAGCACCACCATTTTCTTACAAATTGAAAGAGATTTTGTATGATCCAAGAATTTTATATTTGATGAGTATATTAAATATGAGAGCACCAAGTTCATTAGCACGAAAAATTCGAGAAACAACTAATTGGATGAAAATGGATACAGTAATTTTATCTTTACATTAGATTTTTTCTTTATACTCTTTCTTCAAAACTTGATAGTAATACAAAAATTTTGTTATATTTATCTTACGATAAACTCTAATAAATAATATATGGCCATTTTTAGACAGTTAATACATTCAATAATCCCGATCTTCATCGTATGGAACAAGCAGCAGCTTTGGGTATAACAAAAGCAAATGATCTTGCGAAATTATTCTCACTTTTTCTACAAGGAAAAATCGTATCGAATAATTTATTGGATCTTTTTAAAGCTCCAGAAATATCATCTGGTTTAGATGAAGTGGTTCTTGCACCATTACCAAAAGGATATGGTTTCATGTATGAACGTCATCCATTTAAACCTGTATGTTATTTTATATTCTAACTAACATATATGTAAAGATTCTTCTAATATATGAATTAGAAATTTAATTAATTCAATTCTGATTATCATTTTTAGCATCAAAAACAATGTAAGTTATTTAATGATTTTATTTTATAGGGTCATTGGCTTGTTGGACATGCTGGTCTTGGTGGCAGTACGATAATGATGGACATGGAGGAAAAATTGGTGCTCGCATATGTGACCAATGGTTTAAAATTAGGTACTGGTGAGCTTACAAGAACTTATCGATTATTGAGAAATGCCGCTTTACGAGCAATGAGATGATCTCTGGATTATATAAAACTTTTAAACAATAATATATAGCAAAATTATTGCTTAATTATCAAAATTACTGTTTATTATTCTTCTTGCGGCTCCTGCATAGGTCAGGATAAACCATATATATGACACATAGACAACCTTACTGATTATCAGGATATAGCTCTCTCTCATTTTGTTTTGGAATCAATGTATATCTTTGTGATAAGGAATTAACGATCATCTGCTCTAACGTATAGTCGGTATTTAATTTTATTATATTTGTATTTTCATATATCATTTGCCCCCTAACTTTCACGGCAATGCAAAATTAAAACAGATCGATAATAGTTATGAAGCACTGGTATAGTTTGAAAAATCGATGAAATCAACATCATCATAGTATTTCTGCCGTAACGCATATTCAATCACAAGTAAATGCAACAATACATACTGTTCCGGTTTTGTAACCGCTTTGTCACGCTGTGTTCTGACACGAAGTACCGTATCTCGAACATCCACTAATACATTACCACTTATTTTTTCGGTATAGTCCATTTTATGGCAACAAATATCCAATACAGCCAATGTACCACTTCTACCCGAACCGGTTGTACAGTGCACAACGATTGGTGAACTGGAAATTAAGCATATCGTTTCGTTCCGGAAGAATTTATGTTCCTTTCTATTTCAAACAAATTGAGGGATGGAAAATATTAAAATGAGATTTTTTAGATCTACCCTAACTTATAAAAGATATCAGATTATAACAAATATTTAAGGATGAGAGTAAATATAGAGGGTAATCCGATTTTCAAGATTTGTCTTAAAAGTAAGGAGTGACATGCATTAAAAACATACTGTCCACTTTTTAGCCAGCCGCTTTTTTGTGCTTCGTTAATGAACAGCTTTTGATTGTAATTTATATCGGCCATCAAATAAAGCAATTCACTTGGTCTTTCTGGAGTTCCTTTGTCATGCCATGCATAAAAGCATATATGAAGGATTTTTCGCTCTTCATCATCTCCTTTTTTTCTCAACTGAAATTGACTGTCCTTAAAAGCATCGTTATGCAAATTCAATGATTTAAGCCTTAAATCAATTCGCACCTTAAAAAGAAGCATTTCTTATACACGTAAATATAAAGAAAAATTCCTTTTCTCACCCGATTCAAAGTCATTTCTAATACTACAGTAACTAGTGTTATCATCGATATCATCATCATTAAAGCATCGTTATGCAAATTCAATGATTTAAGCCTTAAATCAATTCGCACCTTAAAAAGAAGCATTTCTTACACACATAAAAATAAAGAAAAATTCCCTTCCTCACTCGATTCAAAGTCATTTCTAATACTACAGTAACTAGTGTTATCATCGATATCATCATCTTATCGTCATACAAAATCGAACTGCTAACAGTAAACCATTGATAAGTAAACAACCTTTAATACTGACGCTTCGTAGGTATCTCGAATTAATTGTGATCCGCAAAATTTGATAGTATAGGGTCCGAATGTGGCGGTAGTTGACCGTTTTAGTGGAACATACAAAAATGTTTTTGCTGGATATAAACTGGTCACTCCAACAATTTCAACCACATTCTCCTGATAAATCATCGCCCAAAATGACTCAACGGTATTTTCCATTGGTGATTGCGTTAAAATAAATTTCTTCTCTTCTCGAAATCCATCCACATAATTAGCATTGATGTAATCATGCGTGCCTGATGTATGCCTGAAATTTTTGAATAAATTGCGCAATCGAAAAGTTCACCAAAAGATGGTTAAGGTATGTACATAAAATTTTTTAACAATATTCATGAATTGTGGGAATCAAAATTTCAAGATTATATTTGTAGAAAGTATCACAAGTAAAACAGACAATGAAAATAAGTTCATCAAAGTATAAAGATCACTAACGGGACTATAACTCTAGTCTGATCAAGACATCGAATATCCTTAAAACGATTTAATGCTCCATGCTGTTCACAGACAACCGATGAATCCTTGATATCCTTGGAAATAACAGTGGCATAATCAAAGAATAAACCATAAACAGTCATGGAACATACGCGTCGTGTGAAATTATAAAGCGTTTCTGATTCTTCAATATCATGCAAATATTCACCTGGTTTTAACACATATCTGAAAATGATTTCACTAGACCTGAATAGAATATGTACGAGAGGTGTCTCAATATTGATGTCAAAAAGACAAAATTTCAATCCACTAATCTTTCATTCCAGCCAATATTCCACCTTCAAAAAACGAATTTTATATTAAATTAGGGGCGAATACACAAAAATGTAGTTGACTGTCAGATTAATTCAGCGTTATTCGATCATCTTGATCAATTATCCGGTTTCACGTTGAGTTGACTGATGCACCGCTATCACGTCATATCATGAACAATCTAATAGACCATTCTCTAGTCTTGTCTTACCAAATGCAATATTATCACTTTCTTTACTCAAATTCTGCTTTCTATGAAATAATATCATTCTTTGATAAATCCAACTACATTTACTGTATGTGGTGAGTAAAGTAATTTCCACGGTTCGATAAAAAGTTTCCATTTCTCGAGCATATAATTTATTTTTCTTAAGTTTAAATTTTAACTTGTTCATGTTTAAAAACTAGTTTCATAAACGAAATTTATCAGTTTCATTAAAACAAGCCTTGCAGGAACAGCAGGCATAGGCGAGGAAAATGAAGCTGTTGCTCGGGGAGTGCTTGTAATTTCCGAGCTTTCCGAAAACGATCCTTCAGAAGTGACCATTCACAATTTGATAAAAATAAGCGGAACAATTCCTATTACACACTTCAATCTCTTCCAATCAACTTCTTTACACCAAACACAATAAACTAAATGAATGATACTACAACTGTTCTATATTCTTATACCACTTAAAATCATCCATTAAATTTAACTTAATTTGAATATGCTCCAATTTTTATTAATTAAATAACTTCAGCTCTTTACTGATAATATTATCCAGCATTTACAGCACTTTTCATTTATTATAACAACAAATATAATAAGTTCATCCGTGCAAAATTAAACGCATATAACTTAAATGTATATTTCCAATGAAATGCATTATCGAACGTAATTGAAGAATGAGTAATTCCATGTGAATTAAATAGTTTGATCGTATCAGTTGGTTATCTCTTTCAAACTTTTCAGTGAATCTCAAATATAGAAATGAATTGTTTTTGATGACCACTATGAAATGAAATAGCCAACACAGAAATACTATCATATCTTCTATCATTTGAAATTTTTGAAAAAATAAGAAAAAAGGAAAGTATGACTTATTTCATATATTTCATTGCTTTACTTCTCATACTGACCATTGGGTCATCATACTGACCAATTGACAATAAAGCTGTTCATTTCTATTGATATCGATTAAAATGTGTCAGGGAAAAAAACCACAGAATATGTAGTGAAATAGCGATAAGTGTATCGATAAGTGATAAATGAGTAAGAAGTGAGAAATTCTAAAAAAAGAATTATAAACTTCTTTTTCCTAAATGATGAGAACTATGAGAGAGATGTAATTGTTGAAGAGAAGCATAGATCACAAGGCATACGGAGAAAATACGCTTCAATAAGGTTAAATGAAGAGAAGAGGGTGGTGAGTTGACAAGTCAAATTGAAAGAATATCTTTCTATCTTTCTCAATATAGGATTTATTCATTTAATTCAGGTCATTTCGGGTGAAGAGGATATCAACACTTGTAAATGCATAATTGTTCACATGGAACGCTGTAAGTATCCCTTCCCCTTCCCTCGTTCCTTGTCCTCTTTCCTAAGTACACAACGGCATTCAATTTCTCATAGGGATAAGGTACTATTAGCCAACATCATTTGGTATTTGAAAAAATTTTGAATTAACCGATTGGTACCATTTACCTTTTAGATTTAAGTATGTTGCAAAGTATCGAGATTTTTTATTTTCTTTATAGCTCAGCGATGATGCTTACTTTGGCCAGTTTATTTATTATAAACTTCTTCATTGCTATTGTTGAATCGAATGTAAGTATTGGATGGTTGAGGAAGAATGGACGAAAGCCAAAACCTAATGGATATGGAAATCGACCACGTGGAGTTCCATTTGCACGTTGGTATTTCCGCTAGTTATTAGCTAATTGTTAATAAATTGTAGATATTAAATTAAGATGAAAACAATCAACTATGAATGAAAAGGAAGAACGGATAACATTTAGTAGCAATGTCATGTCTTCAGTATCTTAAATAATTTAAGGATAAATGAAGTTGAAAAGTTCATAAGGAATGATAAATGAATTATCGTGAAAGATTCTTTAAGGTGGGCCATTCTATGCAACGGGTGAAACATTTGCATGTGTGGACAATTCCAAGTCAATTCCATTTTCGCAAGTTAATGATGATTATTGTGATTGTCCTGATGGAAGTGATGAACCAGGTTTGTGTGCTATTACCAGTTTTTTTTTCATTATTTTCTCCAGTCCACGAACATATTGAACGATTGAAAAATTTAGGAGTAAAAAATTTCTAGCAGCAATTTTAGTTACAGATTTATGTCCAGAATCCAGCTAGCATTATTCCATATTTTCGATAATTGCAATGTTGCACCACTTTCAGAAAGATGTTAACCTGGACATAAATAATTTCTTGAGTTCAAAATTTTTTTTTCAAAGTTTATCTTCTTTTTTTATGGAGCGGTAAAATCACCGATGAGCTGATGGAATTTACTCTCATTTGATCTTTACTTCTTTCTTAAAAATAAAATGTGGGATTAAAGTGAAAAGTTCTTGTTATGGTAGCTGAAAGTGATTTTATTTTTTTCCAGAGTAAGATAATTAGATAATTAGAGTAAGAATAATAACTAAGGGAGATGTTTTGGAATCTGAAAAATAACTTCTTAATATTTTTATTCAGGAACATCTGCATGTCCCAATGCTAGGTTTCATTGTTTGAATCGCGGTTTTAAGGCTGAAGACTTACCATCAAATCGAGTGAATGACCAAATATGCGGTTAGTTGATCTTTAATGAGCTAAAAAATATTAGCCGGATAGTGGTGTGTATATTGACGCGAGCAATGACTTGGGAACAATGAAAAATTGTTGAGCTTGCGTATTTTGATTGTTTTATTTATTTGTTTTTGTAAAGAAAATAATATCAGCTTTCTCACTTCGGTCGTCCTCACTTTTCATTTCTCTCTCATTAGTTTTGTGGCAACATGATTTTGGAACAATTTGATGACTCAGGTCAGATTTATCAAATTTAAAAAGAAACTTTCATTTCTGGATTGGCAAAAGACCCTTCCTCTGACAATATCTTTAGATTGCTGTGATGGAAGTGATGAATGGGATAGTGCAGTTGATTGTCCTGACATATGTAACGAATTAGGGGCGAAGTATCGAGAAGAAGTACGCCAAAAAACTGAATTAGCGAGGCAGGTAATGCTGCAACAATGATTTAGTTAAATATTAAGTTATGCAGTCTTCTCCCTTTTATTCATTGCATCTCATGAAAGACTTCTGATATTTTTTGACAGTCTCATATAGGCTAATGCATCTGTATAGGAATAATCAACTGATTGTCAAACCTGATCATTCCTTTAATTCTCTTGTGGAGTGCGATATTGTAGTTGTACCAATTTTTTTAAATTATCAACAATGTCATATAAATCGGGAAATGATTTCCAGGGTTTTTTAAAACGAGTGGAATTGATCGCAGCAGGCCAGCAGTTGAAAGCTGAAAAATCAGAAAACTTGAAGGCTTTAAAAAGGGATATGGATGAAATAATAAAACTGAGAACTGATGCGCAAAAAAAGATGGATGAGAAAGCCAATCTGGCCGCAGAAGCAAAGAAAAAGCATGAAGAGGCTTGGGAGGGTAATTCAGTTTCAATTAGAGTTAGCTAATCTAAATGACGGTTCGCTCTTTTTTAAATACGCTGGGAAAAGGGAATAGCCTTTTTGCTGGGGGTAATTTTTATGAATTTGTTTTTAACACAATCACAAAGCAAATTCTGCATGCTCCTCGATGTGGGATTTCAGTTTTTCTTAAACATAAAATGAACCTCTACTGTCACTCATTTTCGTAAGAAATGGCAGAGTAGTAAATTATAAGCAGAAAAAATCCAGTTTTCAAAAAAGTGCCAGGTAGACGTTTTATAAATCAGTGTTCCTAAAATTTCTCATGTCAAGGGCTGCTATAAAGCAAAATAATTTTGTTTCTAAAGTAATTTTATTGCAGAAGAAAAGAAAATACTTAAGCAAGAATACGTGCAAATACTTTTTACCGCATTCGATTCCAATAAAGATGGGAAGTAAGGCATTCTCTTTTCCTCGTATACGAGTAAAAATCCATGTAGAAGTATACAGAACCTTTCTCCAAAAAGTATAATATGTTTTTTGTTTAAACATCAGTTTTTGTTTCTGTATGGGAGATAAGGGCATCAAACTTGACGATATTTCAGAGTTACCTTGGAAGAACTGAAACTGGCTAAAGAATTTGATACAGATGGGGATGGAGTTGTTTCCGACGAGGAAGTCAAGGTTTCTTCTTTGAATGATGCTAATCCTTCACAGTTTTAGTACGTTTTACCTGATAAAGTGAAAGATTTAGCGGATAATGACTTTAATTTGTTTTCCCATTGCTGAAACTTGATAACCTGTGGAGAATTTGGTTATAAAGCACGAAAGGTTCTTTTTTACTTTTCTTATTGGGATCTTAATTTTTCAAGTGAATTAGTCGTTTTAGCACGTTTTACCTGATGAAGTGAAAGATTGCGACTTCAAAATGTTTCTGGAAAATGTTTATGACAACATAAGCAGTCTTTTTGAAAAACCAAACGAAATTGAAACAGAAGATGAAAACGAACTGCAGTCCGCCTTACCTACACCAATAGAATCTAATTCCGGTAGTTTATTTTTGGTATCAAATTGTGGTTTGAAGCGGAAACAGTTGAAATACGGGTGGAAAAACATTGGAAACAGATAAGACATAGAATGAGATGCTGAAATGAGATATTTGACAATCAAATAATATTCAGAAAAAAATGTAATCATACCGTCATATTGGTTCACTATGCTTCACCAATAATGCAGAATGAGGCAGAATATAATGATAGAGATGCTTACGGTATCAACATATTTTTTTCAAACATATACAATTTATTTATAAAGTACTGATGGCCTTCGAAAGTTTATAAGTTTTGCAATAAAATTTGAATTTATTGGAGATGTATGTGCCTCCAAGCAATGTTAAATAAATCAGGGATTTATTACCCAGGAATAATCTTTTAGGAAAGTAAGAAGTGCATACAGGACTATACCGATGCAAGTATCTTTTTCAAGGTGTCAATTAAGATTAATTTATAAAAATTCCAGAATTGCCAGAGAATAATGGAATTGATACACCATGGGAAAGCAAGCCAAATGAAAGTGAAAACATTGGCTTGGAAATTCCTCGAATCCCAAATATTAATTTAAAGCAACCAGCTTTTGATGAAGAAACGCAAGCAATAGTGAAAGGTTTTGTACTTATCATTATTCACCAAATAAGTAGCGGTCAATAGTAAGGTTATATATGGAAATTAGATCTGAAAATTTGAATTTTGCGTCGTCACAATGCTATTTCAGAGGCCCAGGATGCAAAGGAGGAATACGATAATATTGATAAACGCTATATAAGTCTCGAATTATCCATCAAGTAATAATTTTTTCCTAAAAACATATAAATAACGTAAATAGGTGGAGGAGATTGGTGTACGAAAAGAGAAAAATGAGGAATGGAGAAAAAAAGAACAAAAACGAACAAGTTGAGAGAAGTTAAATAGGATATTTGAACAGATATGTTCGTGAACTACTAAACTTGTATTGGCGGACATTTTTGTCTGAGCGGTGAATTAGATATAAAATCTTTTCAGAGATGCTGAACAGTATGAAGGTGATGATTTTGGAACCGATATGGCTTGGGCTCCGCTGAAAGGAAAATGTTTTGAATTGGATGAAAGCGAATATATTTATAAATTGTGTTTATTTGACAAAGCTGTGCAGAAGAGTAAAAACAGTGCTGTTGATACTGATTTAGGGTATGTTGAAAATACTCAATAATCATTGGTTGTCATCAATATTTTTTAAACAGTAATTAGTCGCTTTATAATTTGTAATTGGAACATTAATCGATCTTAAAGTTTCGATATGTTTACTCGATTTTAGACTTTCGAAACTACTTATCTTTTTTATAATTTTTTTAGATATTCTATGCAGCAGTTTGAAACATTCTCCGTAAAGTAAAAAATTTGAGATTTTTGCAGAATTTTTGCAGTTAAACTTCTTATTGCAGTAAATGGAGTGGTTGGATTGGGTCCGAACCAAACAAATATACGCTACAAAGCTACCAGAAAGGCACACCGTGCTGGAATGGACCGGATCGATCCACAAAAGTAATCATTGAATGTGGAGAGGAGACGCAATTAGCGGAAGCTTCAGAACCAAGCAAATGTGAATATCTATTTACTTTGCGTTCCCCTGCTGCGTGCCCAGATCCTGCAACTATTACTGACCAACATCAAGAACTTTAACTATTTGATAGGCATGTTAAGTATGATGTTAAATTAAGAAAAGTTCTGAATTCATTGTTTTAATGGACAAAGATATGGGTTTAAAAGTTGAAATGCACGAGATAAGAAGAAATGATTTTCATTGTTAAAAGTGATTTCAAAGTTTCAAGAAACCTTTCAGATCCTTTTACAATTTTATAAGCTTTAGATGGTGCCATGTCTCAATGCAGAAATTTTCGGTTGCTATTTAAAGTTTCGATGAGTTCAAATCAAAATTCAGATTTTTATTCGACTACTATCCTTCTGCATTTAATGTAGTATTCAAATTTAAAATCTACGTGTTTCAAGAAGTTTAGATTCATGAAAAACGAGAAATGATTTCATGCACAACTAGAATCTGTAGATATATTTTTATCATCACATTTTATTCAATGGCTCTATACCAAGTAGACGCATCCCACTATTCAGGATTTTCCGCGCAGTTGACAACAATAAAAATCTTGGTATTGCTATGTCCAGTGGTTCATTTGATATTCGAAGGATGGAGGAAGCAGAGCCCACGATGTTTGCCAGCTGCAGTAAGTATACGGTTAACCTACACGGTTCCATTTCTTGATAGCTACCATACAAAACATCAGGAAATGCTTTAAACTGCTTCAAAAGACGCCAACTCGCTTCATTCGTTTCGAAATCCCCTTCGAATCCCTGCATTAGACTCTGCTGCAAGGCATTATTCCGTTCCTCGATTGACATTAGCCGGCTATGCTTCGTCTGAAATTAACAGTGAAAGCTGTAAAAGAATCAGCTTAGTTATCATCGACAAAACGCATCGAAATGTATATTTTCAAACATTGCTAGCATCAATAGAATTTTACGAAAACATATCTGGCGATATATACTGCGAAAGCAAAAAATGAGAGCATACAGGAGATGAAGTCAGTTGAGTACTCTAAATGTTTGTAAAGGGGATTGTACCTGCAAAAGAAGCGCATTATTTTGATTCACTTGAAATGCCTTATCGAATGAGAATAAGTAATCAGTGGATCGTGCTCTCTTGAGATCATCGACTATCATTGTTCCAAGTGACAAATTAGCTGCGACTTCTTAAAAATTCATGTATGTTGGATCCTATTTTCCTAAATACTCAATAAGTTCAATAGACCACCATTCATGTACAAACGAAGTGTAGCAGCAACTTACGGGGAATTTCATTCTGGCCAATTTTCATCGTTCTAGATTTGGTGACGAAAGATGTTGCAAGCTCTAAACCATGATCCAGTATTTTACTTGCTAGTACAACTTCTCCCAATCTGTAAAGATCTATGAAAACAAGGAATCTAAATCTTTAAAAAAAAAACTACAGGCTGGACAACTATTCTCGAACAGCAATGAACTAGAATGATGTTGTTAATTAACAACTAACACTCCATTTGTAAGTCCTTCAGCAGATTGAGATGAAATTTTAAATGGCAATATGGAACCGGCAGCACCTAGTAGAAAGACCTTTTACGCGTCCAAATGAGATATGTTGTATTTTATCACCGATGTCGTTTCGTCCGATGGCATTCAAAAGGCATTTCAAATTGGTGAAATGTTGTCGTTGTGCATGATCAACCACATACAAATACTCATCCGCTGCGTATAACTGCTCCCGTGCCAAAATCGATGCTAAATCCCTGAACTTTTGAAACTTCAGTCAACAAATTATTCTCTCATAATTTACATCCAAGTAAATTAAAGTAAACTGCATACAATTTACAATAAATTAGATGATTACTAATTTTAATTTATTATTAATGCAGTTTTGCATAAGAAAACAGAAGTGGTTACCTGGACAAATACAGAGTAGTGTTATTGGATCTTCTGATGATGATAGGCCTGTCTTGTTCTTTGCATTTGACCGAAACAGCACCATCACCGCCGTTTTCTGCTTGTCCTTCTCGCAACATACGATCAATTAATTGATGAGCAGGGAAGACAAAGTCGGATTCGAAATGTTCCACATCCATTGATAAGTTGATACGTCTGTAACTTTTTTATTCGAAATGATATCTGCATTACAAACATTTCATATTTATAAGATCTATCAGAAATCCGCAAACTATATTCCAATCACAGTGTAGGATGTTAATCATTTAAATTTCTCATTAGTGTAGTAATTCCTAAGTTTGATTCCAATATTTTGTAGCCTTCTTTACCTAATAACAATACTAATCATTTTATGGTGAATGATGTGTAAAATGTGAGGATGTAAGATTTAATGAATATATACTTCCCACAGTGGTAATATGGAAATCAGTTAGAAGATAATTCTCGGAAAACGAGTAAAAGCCAATCAGATACATCATATCCCTCTAGGCGCATTAAATATAACCACACTACAAATGATCTTGTTATACCTGTAAAAATTATGCAACTGTTCATGTGATAACTTTCGTGTATTTTGCCAAAATAACAAATGCTCATTGGTACTGGCAGTTAGCAGAGAGCTTTCCATATTAGCAAGAATATCATGAGCTCCTTGTAGAAAACTGTTAGAATGCTCAGCTAATTTGTTCGCTTCAATATAACATTTAGCCAAAAGGGTAAACTTTTGCATCATATTCCATTCAGACCATTCCTAAAAAGAAGAAAAATTACTTCTATTCTATACAACTAGTAAAAAAAAATAGATGAAGTGAGGTAAATATACCTCTTCGGAGGGTTTTATCATAGGCCAGTAAGCAGCAATCAGTGCAAACTGTAATCCCCAATCACCAATGTAGTTGATAGATGTGACTCTATTACCCGCAGCCCTATTTATTGTATCGATATAGCGCCCAATAATAGTGGATCTGTAAACAAAAATAACAAAAATATTTGGGGAAAAAAATGTTTGAGAAAAATTTCAATAGCACTGATGAAAAACATATAATTCACAGCCATTAAAAGCAATTAATGAACTCTGATAAAATTAGCAAGTATGAGATAATTTAGTTCTCTAATTGAAGCCAACTTGTAACAATGATTCCCATATTGATCTTTGTCTTCCTTAGGATAGTAAAAATACCTAACTGAGAAAACGTATAAATTTAGCATTATAATATCAAACTGCAGCACTCACTATATTAATACTTTTATCTAAAATTTCTTCCGCATGACAAAATTTCGTTGTTAAAAGTTCGTACATAAATTATCATAAACTGTTAAGTATCAATGCAAGAAACTACGGTGCGGCAAAATGAGGCCAAAAATGCTCCTTCCTTTCTTAAAAAAAAATCCCAAAAATAACCTGAAGTTGCCAACATGAAATTGTTTGGCAACATTTGGGGATGAATAATCAATGACAATAGATTTCTTATTCTTGACACGTTTTTGAAGTAACGTTGCTGCCAGATTTTCATCACGCCATATCTCATATACAAATCGTTTCATTGATGAGTCGATAACATGCAATATCGAGTCTTTTTACAAACTGAAATAAGAGGAATTTTGAGAATGAAAAATTTACATTCAAAGCAAAACTTGCAGTTATTTTAATTTAGATATTACGAAAATTATGGAAAAAATATTTACTACTGCTGGAAGAATCAACAAGTCACTAACTGAAAGTGACACCGAAGGCCTAACAGTCTCATTATAGTACAGCGACTCATTCTGGTTAAGATCTTACGACCAATTTAACTGGTATATCGTATGTCAAGTGATTTATGAATAAAAATTGGAAGTGTTTTAAATGAATGAACGAACTTATTTTTCTTAAGCATATCGGGAAGCAGAAACCTCATATCATTTCTTCGAAACTTTCCTTGTTTCAAACAAGAAAAAATCTATCTCTTCAATACCCAATACAATTCATTCAGTTATGTCTTACTTGTCGATTATATATACATTGACATATGATGTGCCAGTCAAATATCTTAATAAAGTTTATATTCTGTTTGTATTACAAGTTGAATACTTTCATAATTGTATTCTTATTTTTGTAATTTACAAATGTAAACAGTAGATAATCAGAGTGAATCGCTCAACGATTATTAATAGATCATTGACACATCATTGGCTAATGTATTATTATCACATTGTAAACAACAAGTAACAATACTTCCCGCTAATGAATCATTCATTAGTAATATTCCAAATAAAAATTTCTCAAATTTACGCTATTTTCTTAATATGAATGGATATTGACAACACTTAATGTTATGAAACAATAAATTCGAATTATTTGAAAGTTGATATTACTTAAAATTAGCAACAAATCTGCAAACCACACGACAGTTTCAGATGATGAATCAACACTAAGCTAAAGTTGAGAAAATATCTATTTCTAAATACTGGACACAACACACAAAATGTCCAACATATGCTCCCAAAAAAATATTTGTCCACTGTTAAATCATTTTGATCAATCCAACTCTTCCCTTTTATGGTTAAGAAAAGTGGTTTTTAGGCTTTATTGAAATTTACGAAAACATATTTCATTCTATGTTAAATCATTGAGTCATTCTCACACCCTCCTACAAAGATGAAGCGATTTGATTTTGTGCAGTAGTAAAAAAGATAATCAATATGGAAGGTTTCATTTCCTAAAAAATTACCGCATAGAAGACATCAAGCCTCTCGATTATAACTTCCCATTAGTCTTTTAAAATATAATTAGCATTTAATGATGGGTAATTTCGACAAGTTGTCAGTACAGCGTATTACATAATGTTTACTGAAAAGAACGCAATTCCTAGAAGGCTGTTCGAGAAGTAGTGCTGGAACATCTGAAAAATTTAGAAAATTTCCGTCAATAAAAGTGTGTCTAAACGGAAATCAGAATTAGAGATATCAAGTTCATTAAATTTCTGGCATCGCAAAACATCTCAAATTGAAAAATATAAACAAATGAAATATTAGAACTTACAAAACACTTCTACACTTTTACTATGTTGGGCGGAGAACCATAATTTACATTCAAGAAGGCAAAAAGCAAGCATATAGTAAGTATATTGTTTTTATATGAATCTCCAAAAACTTTCCTATGCTTAACAGCTAACGTACACTGGATCACATTTTTCTCAAATTTATTACTCTTGGTTGTTTCGGTCAATTTCTATATGAAAATGATAACAAAGAATATAATTTAAGCCATGAAAGAGCAACAACTTATTCATTACATGGATTTTTAGTCACCATAAGTGGCTCCTCTGTTGAGAATTAGTTCAATAAGCTGACATAGAGCCAGTAACAAGTAATTTATCAGAGGTTATGCTAAAAGATGTTAAAATTTTGAACTAAATAAAGGATAATTCATATCTCTAGAAAAAGTCCGGACAACTAACTGACAGAGAAAATATTGGTAAAAAACCATACTAATGCTAGATGGCAAACATTACGTTTGATAATTTCTTTCTCGAGTAATAATATATACATCATATTATTCGAAACATAACAGTGTACAATGAAGTGCATAGTTTTATAAAATAATTTCATAATATCTTACACATAGACTTATATCTAACTTTACATTAATTTATGAGTGAAGGAAAAATCGCACGCACAATATTATGCCACGACAAAAAATTTATGAATGTTGTTGCTGACTAAATTGCAACTGTTTATACAACGTCATTGTCATAAGATAAGTAGAATTCATCAATGTTCAGATACGAATTTGAGTTGTTGATCCATAAACGAATTCTAATTTCTGATAAATTAGAATATTCGCAAACTGAGGATTACTAACTTTGTTACAGGTATTTGAGATAAGTAGTAAGCTAATAAATACTATAAGAATAGGAGAAATGATACAATCCGTGCGAAAAGCAAATTTAAAATATAACAAAAATATAATTTTTAAAAAGGCATAAAAATTACCTCTGGAAATAAACATCTGAAAAAGTTGATGTGCCACATGAATTTCCTACGAAAAAATTCATTATAAGAACTAAAAAACAAATATAGTCTTTTTTATTTAAACTTTTAAATCACAAACACTTTCGAATAATCGAAAAGTCATCTATTAGGCGATAAATTGAAGGAGAAGCAACACTACATTATTCATTATTATCTTCGATTAGTGCACTGCCATCAGCAGTAATTAAGTCGATTCCCCAGAATGATATACAGCAACCAGCCAACTTATTATTCCTGATAAGAGGTAATATCTGAAATATCCAGTTCAAAAAGTTTATTAATTTGCACTCCTCTTTAAATCAAAGAAATCAGCAGACTTGTAGAGAGAAAAACTTTACAGGTCAAGGTGCCAAATAAAACTTCGACAAATCAAGTCCGAATATGTTTCAGCTTTTGCAAAATTGACCGATTTTTTTAAATGAAAAGAAAACTTACTTTTTGGCGTAAATAAGGTCCAAAAAAGATGTCGTTATAAACAAACATTCCAAGAATGAGCAGTGCAAACCCGAGTAGCTGCAAACAGAATATGAACGCATCTGTTCTTGTCCATCTCTCAATGAAATTAACATGCTAACAAAAAAAAGTTAAGGTATAATCAATATACCTGCAAAGGAATGAAGTGTTCATTAAAAAATGGAATTGACACTAGCCAAATTAACAGTATTCGAACGCTGTCAAGCACCATCCTTGTCGTTGCTGACAGTTCCTTGGTGACAGAAATGCCAGCAAAATTGAAAAATGCAATGCTAGAAAAAATTGTTGAAAGACAGGGAACACTGTGTAGGAAATAAGTATCAAATATATAGCTGACGCAGACATTTCGGAATAAAGATTATAAATGAAAGAGTAGAAGTGAAAACAAAAAATTTAATGAATCTACCCAGAATTTCTGAAATAGAAATGATTCTTCTATAACAACCGTTGTTGTTATAGAAAGGGACAGTAAGGCTTTTTGCCCAAATATTAAAACAATAACAAAAATAATCTGCTAATATCTATTTATTGCCTAGAAACATGTTCCATCCATCGACTATCGATCAATTTAATTCCCTAATCAAGGCATCTTCAAAAATTAACTGAATAATTGTTGCTACTCACCTAATCATAGTAAGCAGCAAAGCAAATCCAATCCACGGGTTGCTTTTTATTTCTCTAAATGCGTCGAATATGTCTTCCAACCGATGATAAGGATTTGTTGAAAGAATGGATGGCACTTTTATATAATACATTGGAAACAGCAAAAATGTCAAAATTGCTACGCCGAAGAGACCTGCAACAATTGATTTAGTGAGCCTTTCAGGCAATAGAAAGAGCTATGTATTTGTTTACTGCATATATGTAATTTCAGACCTAATCAACACAATTGAAGAATGATATAGCATGAAAATTTCATGCCGAATAACAGACCTTCCAGACCAACCGCAAGTAAAGGTGGTGAATTATATTCAGAGATGATTTTTTGTTCAATAACCATTTGAAGTGCTACTATGATTTGAGCAATAATGATCAGCAAATCGCCTAAAAAATATATAATCAAAAAGATTGCAAATCAAGACATACATCAATCTTTCTTGCGATAAAGTTTGGTGTTCATTTTTTTCAACATTTTATTTAAATGGAAAAAGTATTAAACCAAGAGCATATTTTTAAACACCACATTTCATTAACGTTTAATCTTCTCAAAATATTCATAATTAACGATTATTAGAATAGTTACTCCACTCATACAACTCAAAGCATTTCTTATTTAACTATATTATATTATACAAAACGCTCCAAATTTGATAAATGCAAGTACAGTCTGGTGCTTCAGATATATTCGCCTTAAAGCTCACCACTCAATATTGTTTCAGCATACTCCTCTTTACAATTATCTTTAAAACTTTTTAAAACTTACAAGTTAATTATAATGGTGACATGATTTTATGATATAAAGATTACTACTGCATTTTAATTTTGATGCTGATTTTCTGTGATGCGACTTGTAAATAAATTTGGGTTTATAATAAAAAAAGCAACTTCATCTATTTCTGAAAATTTGCTACTCTTTTCTCCTCTAAATAATGAACAAAACCTGTAATAATTCCATTGATATCATGTTTGGAGTTTTCATCGAAAATAATATCGCTCACTCCAACGATAGCGAGACCAATAGTAATAAAGCCCATACCTAGCCAACGGAAACCTTGTAGATTTGATCTTAAGAAAGCAACCGAAAAAAGACCAGTGAATATTATTACGGCACCTGAAATAAAACAGATTTGACGTAAAAAAAAACATGCTGCAATCTAATTGAAGTAGCAAAGGCAAGAAACAATAACACTATTAAGTATCACAGAAGACACGTCTTAAGATCCTTAGGGTTAACATAGGTAATAAATTATGAAAGATAAACATACTGCAAGGAAACTTAATCGGAGGATTAGAGAAACAAAACAACTCTGACGAACTGACCTCTAAGCATTTGGAAAGATGAAGCCTGCGTAAGGTTTATACTGATATACATTATCGAAGTCGCAAGAACATCACAAAATGCTGGTACCGCGAAGACCCAAGGATTAAATCTCAAGGAATTTCGTCCTGTAAGAATAGATGTGTCGCATCCACTGTCTTCATCACCATATAGTTTTTGAATGTAACGTGCAATGAAGTAGACAAATAAGCATGATAGTTCACCAATAAACGCACAAATTGCCTGAAACATTCACCGATTACAACAGATAACTCTTAAGAACCAAATACATCATCACAGCCTATCCAATCAATTCTATAATAAAAACTGAACTTTAAAATCTAAAATTTAAAAGAACAAGTAAACACTGCATAGTTTACTGCATTACTTTCATTCTAAAAAATTTTACAAAATTCTTCCAAAAATAAGACTTCAGAATAATGTAGAATTACTATATCCACTATATCCTAAGTGATGGTAACAAATACATATATTTAATCGACTTGATTTTTTAAATAAGTTTGGTTCCCTATTAGCAAAGGAAAAAACCATTCAATAAGTTAAACAAGTTCATAATGTAATTCCAAATTCTACAAGCTTAGAAATATACCTGAACGAATGGATGATTGAAATGTTTACTATCAACTTTCATGCTGTCAGTCCACCTGCAATGTGTTGAGAATTTTGAGCGGAAATTGGCTACTTACCACTAATGCTATTTTCTGCAATCTTATCAGCAGTACAATAAGCTATTAGTTAACTATTTATCCACGAAGTTAGATGAAGAAAAAAACGAAAAAATTTTTAAGAACCTTAAAATGCACATTACAGTATGCCGAAATACGAAACAATACATAATAGCTCAGCCTTATGATGGCCAGTATAAAATTTGAATGAAATTCTGAATAAAAAAAATCTTTGAAATTAAATTTTAAATTATAAATCCTGTAATGACTCTTACTTTGCAACGATAGTATTAACCGATCCAGTAATTACCATCACCAGGCCAAGCAACAAAGGCTTCAATACGTGAGTCCTATTAGTGTTCACCATCCTGAAATTCAGAAAATTTGTTAGACAGAATTGAAAACAAATTCAAGACGTAGACATAGAGTTCGGTTACGGACAACCCCAGTCAATATTTTCCTTTGACTTCTTCATTCTTCCAACTGAATGCTTTTTGCATGAAAGATTACCAAAAAATTATGATTTAAAAAATCAAAGCAAACAATCAAGTCCTTTTAAAAATTATTGAATTATTTCCACACTAATGCATATCTGCTAATGTGATAGATCCGAGAATTTAATACTCAATAAAATCGCTTTCAATTTTAATCAAGTTAGATTGACATAAACCAAACCAAGTTGAAAGAAATCAAATAAAATAAAATTAAACTGATTTATCTAAAGATAATTTTTTAGCTATTATTCCAAATCAAGCCTATTGTTCCAAATTAATTAAGTCATTAAGTCAGAGAATAGCTATCTTTAGATACTATCTTAGCTATCTTTAGATGCTATTCTAATTCATCTTTAAATGCTATCTTATGGCTCTCAAAAGTTAGATCAATGCTCTCGAACTACCCTATCCTAACATGATTGTCAATTGTTTCTCATAGAATCCATTGTTAGTTTTAACGAAATATATAAATAACACTAGTGAAAACGCAGTATAAAGCATATAAAGTACTAATAGCTCAGGAATTGATTAGAAAGTTTTAAATACTTAAAAATGAATGAATTCACATACATGCTAATAAACGACGAAACATTTGAATTCACCGAAGCACTGTCCCACACAGTATGAGATAAGAAAATAAAAATTTCACGAATGGAAGGATTATCAATTCGGAGCCTAGAGAACGAAAAGAGAAGAGATCACCAATATTGGTCATAGTCAGCGTATATCACTAGCTCTGAACCAAATTTTAAAATCTAAAAAAAATTAAAACAAATTGATATGACTTGCAAAACCGAATGATACGCCGATAATTCCAATAGATTTTAAAGTTGTGTCGCTGCGGTTAATAGTGAAATGAGAGATGAATGAAATGTGAGACTGTTCTGGTCATATAGACATACATACAAAGAGCCCAAAGCGACGAGCATAATAATACAATAAGCATTACAATAATTCTCCATAATGATGACATCGAGGGACGTATGAGGCCTTTTGTCAAGCTAATATTCTTTTTGATATCTTATGTCACCACTACCTTGAAGTGACACATCGATAAACGTCACAATCCCTTGCTTTCATTGCCTCTGAGCACCTCCATTACACACGAAAAACCCGGGACGGGATGAGTATTTTCATTGCTGGCTAATTTCAATAACGCGATGTTGCTTGGCGCAAATCATGTTCAGTTGTACCTGCTATTACTGGGATGGGATGCTGTTGGTTTTAAGCGAGAAGTAGTGGACTGTAGATAATAAATGACGTGTGTGATGGCTAAGTTAGGAATATGACATGTTTGTAATTTTACAGGAGGAATAGATAGATGAAGGTAAAAAAGGTAAAAGGAAAGAAGATTGCTTCGAGCAAAGGGAATGGACGCAAGGGGAAATCGATGTTAAATAGTACCAAGCATGTCGCTGGAAAACCTTTGATGAAATCTAATGGACAGGTAACTCTTCTACTTCTTACTCGAATTCCTCTCGCTCATATATCAAGAACATTAGACAGTTATATGGAGTTTGATTTGTTACCCGGTATATTTTGATTTTGTTGAATTTTTCAGAATGCATACAGTTTTTTATGCAGAAAATGAATTGCTAAATGCTTTTGAGGCATAAAATGAGTAGAGAGGTGCATTTTTTAAATTTTTTCTCCACTCATGCAGTTTATACAGAAAAGGAATTACTTGCAGGTGGAAAATAGGCAGCAAGAAAAAGAGTTTACTCATAAAAGACATGGGAGCGATAGCACGAATCTTCTGAAAGCGAAAAAGAAGCGAGTATCATTTGCCGCCGATTTGGAAAGGATGAAAATATTTGATAAAAGGATGAAGCTAACAGTAAGTGAAACTGTTTGAAAATTTGTCCATTTGCATGAGTTTTACGAAGGTAGCACAGCCACAATGTATGGTGTTTATGCGAATTGTCTCCATGATATTCGGTAAGGGAGTCGTGAAGGGTTTATGGCTGTACTCAGATAGCTAATCGTCACAAAAGTCTTTATAATTCAGACGGAGTGAATGTGCATGGTGTTGTGAACACATTTCAGATTACGCCATCAACTGCTAATCCCGGTCGAAGCATTGTTGTAAAAAAAGATGAGCCGAGAAGTTCGCCAAGTTTTCTTGTAACTCCAAATTCTGTGGATAAAATCTCAGCAAAAAAGAATGTGCTTACTGATTTGACAGCAGGAGAAAATCACATTGAAGCTACAAAAATAGATCTCAAGCAGGAAGCTTCCATGAATTCAGCAACGAAAGTTGCTATGCCAAATTCGGAAGGAAAGAAGACAAAAACATCAGGAACAAGACAACTGCATAAAATTGGTCGTAATAAAACTGGGCCAGTCAATAGAAAGAGAAAATTGCAGGTTTGTAAATGTTTGTCCAATTATTCGCAGATTCATGATTGTGTTTATGTTAAGCTAAATTTTCTTTTTGGCTTGTGCTTATAGCATTATCAATGCCTTATGAGCAATATTGCATAGAAAAACCTCCAGTTTCCATTTTCTTTAGTAAAGTGAGCCCTTCTTTTCAACACATCGATTTGAGAACGATTACCTTTGTCAATCGCCATTTAAATAAAAATGCTTGAAACTGTATTCTTTTTGCATTTTAGGTAACGCGCAAAGTGAAACAGAAGTTATTGAATATGCCAAAGAAAGACCGTAAAATGTATATTCGAGAGTTACGAAGGAAGCACAAGCCATATTTCGATCTAGTACTTAAGTGCAAACATCTGTGGGAAAAGCTACGCTGGTAGTTCTCGTTTTTGATTTGAAAAATAAACTATTTTTCGAGAATTTCTTTAAGAAACATAAGAAAAATTTAATCGCTGGTTTCTATAATTAAATCAACGTTTGCAGCGGAAAAACGAGTGAGACTGAACGGAAAAAGCTGGCCATCGAAATTTTTGGAATAGTGAAGGGAAAAGTGAGGGAATTAATATTCGCGCACGATTCATGCCGAATTGTGGAGTGTATATTGACAAATGGAGGGAGTGATATACGAAATGCTCTTTTTGAAGAACTTGTACCAGAGATCATTCGCATGACGAAGTCAAAATATGCTCGTTTTTTCGTCATAAAAATGCTCAAACATGGGTGTGCTTTTAATAAATTATTTTTGATAAATTTATCGCATTGACAACGGGGTATCAAGAGAATGAAGAACATAAAGAATTTCTTCAGTTATTTAAAATAACCTCTTCTGAGTTATGTTCATTTCAAGTAAAAGCAAAATAAAAATTTGGTAATGTACGTATTTCAGACATTTTGTTAACATTCTGCTTTATTAAACTTTTATTCAAATAGTTTCTAGTAGCTTCAAAATGTTCGAAGTCAGTAATTCTTTCTTAAAACGGTTCTATGAAAACGCGAGTATATTTGACACCCTTCCTACTGTGTGTATTACTGTATTAATGAAGGGAGCTTGTGTGAGCTTCACATGAAGTTATTTCCTGATCAGTATTTAAATATTTTGATTTAAGATCTACGGTTCAACGTCAAATAATATTTGATGCATTTCGAGGTCACTGTGTGTCGCTTTTACGGGTGTCATCAGCAGCACAAGTTTTAGAATCAGCCTATAATGACTATGCAAATGCACAGCAACGATATAACATTATTATTGAGTTTTATGGAGTGGATTTTGCTTATTTCAAGGTCGTTGGTTATTATTTGCGAGTTCCCTCGTTTTTTCACTTTAATTATTCAGTTAAACAAAAATCATTTTCTGGATGAAGTTTGATTTAATTTTTGAAATTAATGTACTCTTAAATATGAATTTCTAATTTGTTTTAGGCTTCTGATAACAGAATACGCACACTGAAAGAAATAATAACCGACTGTCCGAGCAGAAAATCATCAGTTGTCAAATATCTTGAAAATATCCTCGTTGATATTGTGGACAGGTAATTACTGATTTGGATTTCGTTTGACTATTTAAAAAAGACAACAGATTAACTGATTTCGAATCTTTTCGTTCTTTCTATTTCATTTTTTTGCTGATGAGGAAATTCATTGCTTATAAATCATACTTGCTTGTTTTTAGACCTCAAATAAAGTTAAGTCTGACGCATCGTTTGTTGAGTGATTTTTTCGAATTCGCTGATGACAAACAGTTAGAAGAAATGATTGATTCATTAAAACTTTGCATACCTCAAGTAAGGCCCTCCTTCAACTTACAACAAATTGTATTGGCATTAGAATTTATTAGTATTGACGATTTATTAGTGTGTATTGTTTAGTATTACGAATTTTAGTTTTGTGAATATTTCATTTCGTATGAATAAGAGAAAACGGGAGAATTATGTTGAGAGAAGATGAAGAAAAAAAAGACGTTTCACGAATATTCGAGATATTTTGAGCAGAAGTTGTAAAAAGGTATAAGTTTTTAAAGGAATTTGCCATATTTTAGATCGTTCACACAAATGATGGCGTGCGCATTGCAATGAAGTGTTTATGGAATAGCTCTGCAAAGACGAGAAAGGTTCCTCACTTTTTTAGAGAAAGGATTTCGAAGATGTGGACATGATTACATTAATAGACATTTTTTTTGCTTCCAGTTTATTTTCAGTACAAATCAAGTACTTATTATAGATAATGCTAAAAAATTTCAAAGGACTGATAACGAAAACTTGCTTGGAGGAGTTTGCGCATCGCTTTTTAATTGCTGTTTTCGATACTGTAGATGATACAGTGTTGGTTGATAGATATCTTTTAAAGGTTGGCTTGTTTTCTTGTTTTTTTTGTTTTAATCTTATTTTGAAAACTTGAAAGAGCGGAGGAGAAAAAGGATATAATCAATTTGAATCATTGTTTTATCGTGAGAAGAAAGGCAAGCTTAAGAGTTATTTGCGTTTTTTTACAACAGTTTGATTGCTTTGAAAATGGTTACATGATACCAGCCTTTCCAGGAATTGTTGAATAACATTGCTGAAATTATTAAAAGTAATTATGGTGTAAAAATTATGCATCATTTAATTCATCCAAGAGATCCTCGCTTTTATTCAGCGTCGCAGGTTGCGATTTATAAGGCGGTTAGTTTATAATTATTTAATGTTAATTTATGCTTTAATAACTTAACACAACAGTATATTGTTGGGAATTTGTAATTAAAAAATTTTTCATTCATTTCATGAGATTTGCAACTGTTTCACTTTGTGAAATATTTAATTATGAGGTTTTAGGGAGACGGGAATCCATACAGCAAAAAAGATTCGAAATTACGTTACTCAGAGTTATTTTCATATGTCCAGAAGCCATTTTGCAACTATTTCGCAGCAAATATGGATGCATTGCTTTTTGAGAGTCATGGATCATTACTTGTTTTGGATATGCTGGAGGCTCCAAGTACGCTTAATCTGCAATAGTTTTGCTAGTTGTCTGAACTAATTTGCAAAATCGAAATGCTTTCTAATAGCTAAACATCTCACATAAATTACTGCTTCCGTTTTTATTTGTTCTATCTCTATTAACGATGATACTTGTTTTGTTATAATCAATATTACATTAAAATTTTTGAGCAAGAGAGAGAGAGGAACTGGAATGAATCCTGCTTCCTATGTTTTCTTGAAGTGCCTGGTTTTAGCCTTTTGAAAATTTTTTCAGCGATAAAAAGGTTTTTTTAGAATGATTGTAGACATGTCTTCTTCAGAAACTCAGTTTTTTAGCCAATTTGGATTTTTTCGATCGGAAAGTGAGTATTGAAGACCGTGCAGCTTGTTATGATGCAATTGCTTCAATATGCACTCGGGAATTCATACCGTGTGACGGAGAGCAGCTTCATCCGGTTGAACATCCTCAGGCGCATTTTGTAATTTCTAAATTGCTAAAAAGTGATTCCAAATTTGACATCAAGCTCGGTGATTTTATTGTGAAACGATGCAGAGATCAATTATCATCCTGGGTAATTTTTGTTCCTTTTAAATTTCTTCATCAATTTATGTAACCTCTCAATGAGCAATTATTTATATTTTATGAAATTTTTATTACATTAATATTTTTTATATTAGGCATTTTTGTTTTTCCTAGCTTCCAGTTGAATTATGTATTCAAAGAAAAGTTGTGGCAGAGACTTATTGTTGTGCTTGACTTTTTTCTTATTACTATTTGTGAGAATATTAATTTCAGCTTGCATGTAATAAGGGATGTTTCATACTTCTGCATATCCTCGAAAATGCATCTCAACAAACTCAAGAATTGGTGAGAAATACATTATCCTTAGCAGCAGTAAAAAGGTATCACACAAAAGGAGCTACTGTGTTGATGCAGAAATTGAAGTAATATTAGTTGCTGTTTGTACTTTTTTGCTATGTCATGTTTAAATAAATTGTCTCTTCGTTTTTTTGTTCAGCTAAAGGAAATAAGGAAAGGTGGTCAGCAAATTTTTTTTTCACGAAGAATGATATGAAGTCTAATAGTCGGAACCATTTCGGTTTGTATTATGCTGTAAGATTTCAAAAGAAATTTTTTTCTTATCTAATATTTTTTAATAGAGTTTAGTAGCTAATGGCTTCATCGTAACAAATGAAGAGACGTGCAGTGAACTGAAACAAGTCAGGTTTCAATACGTTTTATCACTTGTGGTTTTACATCGAATAGCAAACATAATAGAGCATAACCTAAATACTGCACTAAATATGACATTTTTGCTGGTTATGATCACCAAATTAAAGTCAGTTAACATATTGAGTGGTTTCCTCAATATCGGAAATATTTCAAGAAATGAAATGGTTTTAATATCGATTAGTGGCAGGAAGGTAGAATTTTGTAGATGGGAAGGTTGCAATTTCTTGAGGAAGTCATTCAAATTTTTCGGTATTTGACATACAGTAATAAGATAAATTCATATAGTGGCATGGGTCAAAATAAAACAACAAGAAATTCTTCTACACAGTATACAAACGATAATATTACTGCTTCTTTGGAAGCACACTTTGGGGATTAATTACATAAAGAAAGTCATCGAATGCATTGAATTGCAAAGGTTTAAGCTCAATTTCTTCATCGCAAATTTTGCCACTCCGGAATGGATCATACGCTGTCGTTGCCTCAACTGCATTGTTTACTGGTATTGATTCTATAAGTGGTACGAATTCTGTTTCTCGACATATTTTTGATCTTGTCTTCAAGCATTCTGATTCCAAATTCGACTTCGATCGGCTTCTTTTTCTCCGCTTTTCCAAGTGCGTAGTTTCTGATTCGGTTCTAGAATCAGTCAGTCGTTTCACGAAAATACAATTCATTGGACTTTATGATAGCCATGACAATTTCGTCTAATGATGTGATAATTTTTAAAAAATTTTAGAATGATATTTGATTACCAGGAGTACAGGAAATGATTTTTTTTTTGGGAAAGTTATCAATACCGAGAAGAAGTTTTATCCAAACAATCATTTGTTTGTTCTGAAGTAAGTTGTGATGAGGACAGTGAAGATCCCGACAACCAATCCAAGCATTTTTCTAAATCTATTTGTACAGGATCATGGATGAAGTGACATTGATCACCGTAAGGACAGTAACCAAATGTAGTGTATTTGATACACAATGCAGTGCGATAACGAGGATTGTTGAAAACTTTCTGAAAAGCCAAACTAAAATTTCATTGCATTTCTATACAACTGGCGTAATTTTACAACTTTTTGAAATGCGAATTAAAGAATACAAACGCTGAAAAATACTTTGATAGTTTTTGAAAAATCGCTAAATATCGTTGAAACTAAAACATTCACTGGAAAAAGAAAATGCACACTACTGAAATCTTGCTAACCACTTCTGCCTTTGGCATTGGTCGTAACTCTTCTGGACCATGTGCAAATTTACAACGTTTCCCGTAATTGCAGCGACCAGTATCTTGCCAGGCTTGACATGGTATCGTCTAAAATCTGCATCACCATTAATGTGCAAGAATTTGAGGATAACTTGAAGTAATTTCGCTAACCACAATCAACATTAACTTACAATACGATACAGCATTTTATCAGTAGTAATTTGTTTGTGTTGATAACTTAAGAAATAAACAAGAACTATTTAATACAATTGTTATTAGCTAATTCTATTTCATGCCAAATTACTTTTTAATTTAAATATATTTTTACTATTATTTAAAGTCGTGTTTTACAAGAAGACAATAAGAAGTGTCGATAGATCAATATAAAATGATTAATTTTATATTTCTATTATCATATCATTTATTATATAATCTTTGATTTAATCAAAAATTGAATTCCATAATTAAAATCCAATAATCAATCTTTTAGCACATTTATGTGTCTATCATCTAATTCCAAAATGTTTTGTCAACATATTTTGACGAAATATTAATATTGTATATTTATTAAAATATGCTGACAATTTACATAATAACTCTTATTCATTAAATATAACTAACATTGATGAATGCTAACCTTATGCGTTTCAGCTTTCCGTTTTTGTTTCCGTTCAGCTAATAGCAATTGTGATTGATAAACAAACTGGGACCATTGCCAAATATATAAATCTCTATTATAAAAGTTTGGATCGAAAGGCCTTCGTTTCAACAATTCTCCTTTCATCACTGCATTTATAATTTATTGCTTGAAGCTAGCTTAAAATGATCTAAATTATTTCTAAGATGTAATAATGTTTGAAAAGGTAAATTTATATTTATGAATTTGATCATCATAAAATTAATTCTTCAAAATGAAACCATTAATATAATACTGAAATGAAACTAACCCTCCACTTTCAATGCCAACAGTTATGACTTTTGCTTGATATAAGTTTATCATAGTAATTCTAAGCTCTTCAAATGGGCATTGTTCTACGGAGCGCTTTAGAATAAACTCAATTTGCCGCCATTGTTGAGATTTTTCTCCATGGCAAATAAGTTTGTTGAAATAATAGCAAATGAAATTTATTGAAAATAATAGACATTATGCTGAAGACAGAAATTTATGAGTTGAAGAAATTATTAGCGCAATTTTAAAAAATTCTTTAGTTCTTATGATTAATAGAAGAGAAATATTGATAACAATTATCAACTGATAAATAGTAACAGAGTTTAGACATGAATGAAACCTTTGAGCATTTAATTTAAAATTATTTCAATATTGATATGGATGATAAATTCAAAAATCTGGAAATTCAAGGATAGCTATTCAAACAAAATAAGTAAATATACATTTATGCAGAAAATATTTATCTTGTAATCTCTATAATCTCTTCTTTTCAGACATAAATACAATTAAGGACTATTTTACTTTACCACCTGAATTCAGCACTATATCAATTGAATAATGATTTGAAAATTTATATCTTTAATTTCTTTCAACAACTTTATTCATAATTGATGTATAGTACAGGAACAGAAGTGCTACACGGAAAGAAATGCCATCCTGACAGCTATAGAATATTATTAACGTCTCATTTCATTTCATGGATCGCATTCTGGTAGTACTAAAATCAGAACAGAATAAAAATAGCAGAAAAAATCTGGCTTGTTAATTAATAATTTTCTATAGCTGTCAGGATGACATTTCTTTCCGTTTCTTAAATAATAAAAAGTTAAATGGAAATAAATTGCATGCTTTTATTTTCAAAACATTTATTTTGTTTACTTTTCCTTCTTATAGCTATCAATTGTTTTTTCAATTTTACACAATCACAATCATCACAATATCTCATCTAAGTTTATGATAATCCTAATAAATTAAGCCTAGGCTATTGTGATAAGCTTTTAATAACGCAATATGAATATCTTTGATTTATTAACCATACTGGTAATAAACTTTCCTCAATTTTTACTTTTATATTTTTACTACTATTTAGAGGCATGTTTTATGTTAGGAACTGAATGATAAGGCACTGAACGGACAATTGGTGATTTCTTGGTAGGATTAAATAGATCTTAAAATTCTACTTGATTTTCTCTATTCTTATCTTCATATTAAATATTTGAGTAAATTATTAAATTTATCAAATCAATTAATTATTAAATTAGCAAATCATACATTCAGCTTATTTTTATTTTTAATCTTTGATTCTTCTCTACATTTTTCTCTTCAAATTAAAACTTTAGAAAATACTTCAGGTAAATTATTTTTTAATTAAGTTTGATAATGCAAGAATAGATTTAAAAAAAGATGTCAGTTTGTTTAGAGTTATTTCAACCTTTCTAAATATTTCAGGTCTTAAAACGGTCGAATATTCCTAATTCAAAAAAGGATAATATTCGTCGATCTTTATCAATCCATAGATTCGTGATATCCCTTTGAATATTTTATCTTCATCAATCCATAGATTTGTGATATCCCTTTGAATATTTTATCTTTATCAATCCATAGATTTGTGATATCCCTTTGAATATTTTTTAATATGCTTTTTTATCTTGAAATGGTGTACATGACTACTTTTTCCTATTTTCATTACTTAATTAATAAACAGTTCAAGAGTTAATTCTTTTTCGCTAACAGAATTTTATTCAATTACAAAAAGTTAAAAGAGCAATTAAATAGCTAATGTTAAACTGTGATACTGATTGATGAACTATGTCAAACGGATCAATTTGTTTATGTGCAACATAGGGGTATCTATCATATTGCGGTATATCATTATTCATAATGAATGTGTAATATTGAATGTATAATTTGCATATCTCTCTAATCATACATTTTACCATAACAAAACTTCTCACAGCGTGAAAACAGTATGATCTGTTTAACATAGTTCCTCAATCAATACCACAGTATTTTTTGTTGTAATGAAAAAAGCATTAGACCATACACTGTTCTGATCTTTGTAAGTGAACAAATCAGATACTCACTTATCTAAAGGAATTTTTAATGATATATTCAAATATAAAAATTTTATCTCTCTTATCTTAAATTGATTGATTGATTTAATTTAACAGTCAAATATGCAGCATATCATGTTATTAAAAGAGTTAATAACGAGTTATTAATGACAGTTAAGACAATGACAGTTACAGACGATGACATTAATGATATTAATACAATGACAATGACATACAATGACATTAACAACAGACAATGACATTAATGACAGTTAAGTTATTAATGACAGTTATTAATAACGAGTTATTAATGACAGTTTGCACTACCTAAAATCTCTTCATACCTGAAGATACCTGAGTTAATTGTTATGCAACAGAGAAGAACGAATACTTTTTATTTGAATATTTTTAACTTTTAAAAAATCATAGAAATATAAACTATATAATAAAGTAATATTGCAAAGTAATATTTTTGAATAAAATTATTTTTTTTATTGTCTATTGATCAGTCATTCATTAGCAATGGATAAAAGTAATCAAAGGATAAATATTACATTGCAGCTATTTCATAACAGCACTGTTGTAGTTGCTGTATCAATAGATTTATAATGATGATATGAAGCAAAAAACGAATTTACTTGTCTAAGTCAATTTCAATTAGCGATAATTAAAAAGTTTAAAAACCATAGTCAACAAATGCTCGTTTCGTTTTCACCGGTTCATTCCACTTTCTGCTATTATCAAGTTCGTGAAACAAAAACTGTTGTACGCGATCCCACATTTTTCGTTCACTATATATACCCTATAAAACATTGTTCATAAATGATTTTTCCAACTTTTAAAATTAAATTTATTCAAATTAAGATAGTTTTACTGTATAGTTCGAAATAATTACTTTCGAGAATTTCAAATACTTTTAATGCAAATAAAATTTTCAAAATTGTTCCTTTTTTGTTGCATTCTTTGTACTGCCAGCTTTCCCTGAGATATACAGAAGATAGTGAATGTTATTTTTTTGAGATTTAAGTTTAATAAAAATGTTGATAATATTCTTACCCGATGTGTAGCATTATCAAGAAAAAATGGTTTTGTAGCATTTGGTAATCGACTTTGCAATATAACACTGTGATCGATCGAAACGATCACATCCTTCATTCCATGACAGATTAACGTACGATAGGGTATTTTTGATACTTTATCAATGCTATAAACCTTATCAGTGTAATATATTTTTAGATGAGATTTTTAGGAAAACAATTTTTGATAATATTCATCAAACGAAATGACAATTTATAGATAAACGTGAACATTCACAAAGTAAAATATTTAATAAAAATATCAGTATTGATAATAATTTTCTTCAAAATTATCAAAATTGTCTGATCTTCTTAGTGCATAATTTGGTAATCAATAATTAACTTATAAGAGCTACCAAAAAACTCTGTCCAGTATTCCATGAAATTGGCTGAGATTAGCAGTAAAACAATATTTTGAATTGTTCATTCGTTAATTAAACTATCAAAGTTTAAATCTCAATTCAAATAGAAGAATTTTTTGACTTATTTGAAGCTTGCCGAAATATGGTTTTTGTAATTGCTGCATTGAAATGAGAAGTTCAACTTCCTCAAAATGATCTCAGAGTAATTGATAGTTTTCTCAACTTCACTCTGTAAATAGAATTTACAACAATTATCAAACAAAATCGATACAAAAAAACTAAACCTTGAAAACTGATCCAAACAGCAAGTCTCTTTACAATCCGGTTTCCGTCGAAGAACACGTAACAGTGATGTGAAAGGAGCAATTAGAATCAATCCTGCTACCTGAAATACTATATTTCATTTTTTTAAATTTCGATAATTAAATATCTATAATAATTACGTCGTTGTTTTTCGACATTTATTATGTGACAGCGGGATTTTTTACATGGATATGAGATGTCAACCTCACATTTAGGATAGTTAATGGATTTAATGATTTATTATTGTAAATAAGTCTAAATTAACAAATTCAAAACGTGATGTTTCTTTTGTAAACATATTCCGCTCTATCATTTTCCTTCTTTTCCGTATTCTGATAAACTTTTTTTTCAGTCGAAGTATTGCAACGAATTGGAAAAGTGTAGAAACTTAGCGGAACTTTTTCAAGTGATGCCAAATGAATGGCAACTGCAGTACCCATACTGAATCCAATCAGAATTATTTCATTTGGTTGTGCTTTCATTTCTTCAATTAAATATCTGAAATGATAAAAAATCATATTTAATTTAATTTTAGTTGAAAAAATTCTTCTAATTAAATGTTAATTGGTAGATAGCGTTTGTATCCGCCTATAATTGAAAAGTTTTAATCGTTTCACAGTATCATTACACGAAACATATATTGGTAATTCACCATTTCTGTTTGTGTATATGAAGAATGAATGATAAGCAATCATATCTTTCGGGTAAAATCATTCAATATTTTTCTGTATAATCTAAAGCTAACATGGGAATTGTCTATTGCTATTTTATTTTTGCAAAAACATAATTTATCACGAAATAAACTGAACTGATAAACCGTTTCTATATTCTGATAAACATTTTTTTCAGTTGGAGTACCAGTACTCAAACCAAAACCACTGTAATCAAATGCCATTAGATCACATTGCAAGAAATCTGCTATATCGACCTGAAATATTAAGCAAAAAAACTGAGCAATGGAATATTGGATAATTAATGATCAAGAATTTAAGGCAATTTTTTTAATAATTAAGGAGTAAAATTCAAATTAAAAAAAACTAATTTTATTTAAAAATAAATTAATAATTTGAAATCCTTCATTAGCAACCTAAATTTTATGTTGTTTTTCCTACAGATACAATGGGAAAAAGTGTACCAAGTTGGGATCGGTAAGCATGCATGATCCAACATCTGAACTGTTTGGTTGAGCGAAAAGTATTATATAAGGCGCTGATTTCTTGCATCGATATGATTTCTCACATCGGACATATAGCGCTACCAGGGTGTCACCATTAGTTGATGTTATTAAATGCACCTGTTTGTATTAATTATTTAATTTTAATTTGTAAAAGTCTTTTTTCTTTGAAAAGAATTGATTTCTTTTTATGTTCAGTTTTTTTGCTTTAAAGCATTGAATAGATTAATTATATTTGTTTTGGGTAGTAAATTATTTTAGAAATAATTAACCTGGAAAAAATTATTTTTTTCAAACTAAACTTTCTATCTAATTTAAACGATGAATAAATAAAATTTCATATAATTTCAGAAAGAGTTAGAACAATTACTTATTATGAATGCAATATATAATTATGATAACTGCCTGTTATGAATGCAAAAAAAATACAATGATAACAAGAAGTCTGCTTGTATCATAAGGTGTATCATAAGGTATAATAATTCTAGCATTTTCGTAAATTTTTATTTTCACATAACAGTAATTAAAGTTATAAAACAAAATGTAATGTAATGATATTTGAAATTGCGTTATGTTAAAAATTTTGTTGTAAATAATGAAGAGAGGTTCAATATGGTTCAACCTCAATTCGCAACAACTGATCTGCAACATCTGAATTTTTAAATTTTGGCAGCAATAAATGTGGCAAGCAAATAGTTAAATTAACACTTTCTCGAGCACTTTTTGCATCAAAAAAATGTTGACGTTTATCAGCCTAAAATTTTATTCAAATTTTTGAGCAGATTTTTGAAAACAGAAATAAAACGTTAAGGAAAAGAATGCCATTACAAAGATTATCGATAACGCATTATTGCGATTCGAAATATCTTAAATAATTTCTTTCGAAATTATCAGAAATTATCGATATTTGTTTGTTTAATTTACTAATTTAAATATCCTCTATTGAATAAAATTCGAAATGCAAATATTTAAGAAGGCTTAATTTATTGCACGAGAAATTTCATTTTTCCAATGATACCTTTTTTAATTGATTTATCAAAGATGTTGCTAAGTGATCGATGAAAAAAATATATCAATGATAAAAATATGAGAAATTAAGATAAACTGACAATTAAAATTTTTCATGATTTCTTGCATAACTAATGAAGCATCTTTACTAATTCTATTTTTACAGTACATTTATTTGCTTTAATTTTTATCAATTTTACTTCTTTTAGTTTCACTACCCAATTATATTCATTGTTATTTGATATCTTTTTTTCTTTTTTTTTTAAACGAATTACTTACCTTTTCACCAATTAGAAAATAGTAATGACAATGTTTGGGAGGATGAAAAGCAGCTTTTCGGATCATTAAATTTGGTAATGGTGGGCATAGGATATAACACACTTTAGTTGTCCATTTAAATGTATAAAATAATCTTTTCCATCTTGTCATTTCATCTTTTGATATTTCTTCACTCTATCAATAGCGGTTGATTGATACATATGTCAAATGAAATTTCAGCAAATGCAGTAAACGTGGAATTCATTGCTCATACTCATTAATATTTGAAATCTAAATCAAAATACTGGAAAAAATTGCAGTTTTCCACAAATACGATTAATTCTCAATCTGTCGGATATTTACATCCTTACTTGTTGATTTTCTTTAATAACATATTCGCAAGTTCCATTCGATTCTGCAAGAAATTCATTGAATAAAACTGAATTCTATGACAGTTCATTGAACAAACTGAGTTCATTTAAAAGTGAACTGCAATATCTGAAACAAACCTTCCAATAGTGAAATAGGTGATCCAAATATTTCTTCATCACTGTCCTAAATTTTTCTTAATTATCATATATTACAAGTTATTCAATTAATCCTTAATTAACAAATTGGAAACACTGATCTGTAATTAAGATTTCTTTGCAAAATTTTACTTGTTAATTGAATATCATGTTAATTTTTATCCTGCATTCTGAACTGTATTTCTGCTTTATTATACAAAAGTTGATTTGTTAAAAAGAGAGTTTGAAGTTTTGCAATCATTGAAAATCTTTCCTAGAAACGTTGAAATCATCATACATGTTGAAAATTAAATTATTAAGAAAATCATCAAACCTGATCTTTATTATTGATTACGCTTACGCTTGACTCATTTCCAGATATACTGTGAATTGAAAAATTAAAACTTTCAGAATTATTTTAAATGAGCAAAACCCATTCACAATATATAATACATCGAATGAATTTAGACTATTTATTTTTCTGTAATGAATTAAATAATCTGATTTGATACTAATTGATGATAATCATACTTCTACTAAATGAAAATGAAATTTTATCCGAAATTAATTTCCGTTAAGCAAAATAAATGCGAAATTCCTACTTTGGAAATAACGTGTGATATTGCTGTCGAAGTATTTTGCAGTAAATTTAATAGAGTTTTAAAATTCTGTTCTACTTAATTATTGAATGAAAAAGCTATATCTCTATGATTGCATATCTCTATTGTGATGTTGAAACTGATCATCTAATTAATCACTTCTGATATTATATTTTGAAATTTGTGGAAATCCTATTTTAGAGATAACGCATGATATTGCTGTCGAAGTATTTTGAAGCAAATTTAATAGAATTTTAAAATTCTGTTCTACTTAATTATTGAATGAAAAAGCTATATCTCTATGATTGCATATCTCTATTGTGATGTTGAAACTGATCATCTAATTAATCACTTCTGATATTATATTTCGAAATTTGTGGAAATTTGTTGCATAGGTAATTTTTTCGGAAAAACAAGAAAAATTTATCATAATCCTATAAGTTTATAATATTTTGATACACTTTTTTATGTCTTACAGGTTTCATAAAAATGAAATTTTAGTTCACTTCTCTAATAATATCAAACATTTTGCAAATCCATTTTCCTCCATCAATAATAACAATTCCTAAAATAAAATGCCTTAAGAAAAAAACGAAACTTTATGATTGCCACTTGTTCCACCATCACTGCATAATGATAGAATTACCGAAAAAAGAACTTTAAATAATTCCTGTTGAACAGTAGCAGTAAAAATTTGCATAATTGTAGGAAAGCTTCAGCTTATTCAATCTCAAATAAAAAGTTAAGGAACAATGAAAGATAATGAAAAGGATGAAAAATAAAATAATTGGAATGATTTTATAAAATTATAAATTATCAATCTTCAGATCACTAATCATTCAGATCACATTTGCAGATGAAAAATGCACATCGGCTGAAAGTTATTCATTCTTTGATATGTTTTTTTTTTTAAAAAATCTAAAAAGGCTTTGATAAATGCCATCAATTGTGATAATGAAGAAATTAGAATTAATTTGCATGAAATTTTATTATCAATTAAAAAATTAGCAAAAACTATGAACAAACAATTAAAACCTATAAAATGACAAAAATACAACAATGTGGATTATGATATCATGAAACTGAGAATCTCATTTAAACTAAAATGTCGAACAAAAATTTGCATATCAGAATGATCATTATAAACCATAATCTGAAAAATAAGTTGAAACTATCAAACATATAAAATTAACGTTTATACAGTCTCATTTTATGTATTAAAACTTTTTATTTTTCATCGGAATTTTTAATTAATTAAGTGAAGTCTAATAAATTAAAATCTATATGTTATCAGTCTTATCATCAGAAAAATGCTATATTTTAAATACGACAATATTGATTAAACAAGTGAACGATGTAACATACGTGAAATAGTTATTGATATTGATAATTCCATTTGAATAATTTTCATCGATATCATCTTTGCTGTTTTTTTTAATCTTTAACTATACACATATTTAAAAAAGAACTTGATAAGATAGTTATATGATATTACTATTACAAAATTAAATAGTTAATTGAAATTTTAATTAGTTAAGGAAATTCATTCATCAGATTATTAATTTCAACTGCAAAACTAAACAAATTTAAATTACAAATGAAAGATTTCTAATAGGATTGAAGTGAATAAATAACCTTGTTTTTCTTATCTTTTTTTCTATTTGATCTAATCATATCATTCTCTTCATTTTTGCTATCAGAGATAATGTCTTCATCACTATATTCCTCCCAATCTTCATTGTCGTTATTATCGTCTTCTTCCGATTCATCATCGTCACTCTCTGTTATCAGTCTATGTTTAACATATCGGAATGGTGTTGCCTTTCGAGATTTGTAATTGACTTTCACTTTTTTGTGATCAACATGTGGCTTAATAGCAGAATATGACATTTCATTTCTGTTTTCTAACTGAAAAATGGATACGATGATTTTTTGCAATATTTAATTCAAGTTGTAAGTTACAGGATATAAATTTTGCTTCTTCTGATATCCTTCAAAAAGTGATTTTTTTAACTCAATCGATCAGATCATTAAAAAATTTTGAAAAGTGTTATCTCGTAAATTTGCTAGAATTTTAGACGTAAAATATTAAAGGAAGCGTTAGCTAATTTGAAAAAATTACTGAAGCATATTGTCGTAATTTTTCATCATCAATTTTAGGTAGGTATTCCAGGTCTTCCTCATCCATCTCTACAGTCAGCAATTATCTTTAAAACCGCACGAACGTTAATTATAGATTAGTTATATATATGATGGCAGAAGTTAGAAATAAATATAAATCAAATTTAATTAGGGAAGCAAGTTGTGAAATTATTTAAGTAATCAAACATTAAATGATGAGAATTTTTATAGTTTAGAAAGCTGCTTTCATATTTCACTATTATCAACGAGCTACATGGCTAATGTTTGATTCAAGTGAATACCATGAAGGATATAAATTTCAAAAATATATTGGTAGCCTAAAAAAACATTGACCTATGAAATCATTCATATTGACAGCATCGCCATTACTCACTTCTTCATAAGGAATACTTTTTGATCGGATTGTATGACTTTTTCTTTCGTGCTATAAATGCAAACCGAGAGGTAAAGAAACTTTAAAATAGAAAATATTCGAAATAAGATGAGGTAAGAGAAATAATCGATATCTTTAAGAATTACAAAATATTATATTGAATTTATAGTATCTTACGAAATTCATATTTTATGAACTTCATACCCGAATTTCAGTAGAATATGTTGTTTTCTTTAAAAACAATAGAAATATGCAAAATTTGATAGTGAAGAACATTTCTCTTCGTCTTTCTTAGTTCACCGTTAAAAACCTGAAATTTAAAAAAATATATTTTTTTTTTTGATAAATTCTTTCAGAATAGGAATACGAAATAGTATAAGAAAAATTCCTAATTGAAATTGAAGTTTATACGTTTTCAATAAATTTATTTTTGTTAATAGGAGAGATATAAGATATAAGATAGAAGAGATATAGTATAAAGTAGACTTAATCAAATATAAAAGTTAGGTATTTTGCTTCCTAACTTAAGTATTTTTAAATCTTTGAAATTAAAGTTAGTAATTCAAGAATCAGCTATTTGAGTATAACGACGCTAAACAGTTTAGTTGTTAAATTAATGAATCATTGGATAAATTAGTTTTCAAATTTAAGTAGTAATTTTTTTTTAGAAATTAATACTTCAATAAAATTCGCTGAAATATGTTTTTATAGATAGCATTACAGCAGTAAAGAATTATTAGCTCATCCTAATCCTACTTATACTGATGAAATCAGAAACTAAAACTTAGTAGAATAGATTAAGAAATTCAAATAAAAATGGAAAGTGATAGTGGAAGCAGGATTGTATAACCTAAAAGATAATGACCTATGCAGTGTCCAGAAGTGGTGGACAATTAGGAATATAAGATCAATAATGATGAAATATGCGCCAATAGAGCATCCATCATACAATCAGTATAAATTAGTCGTGCAAATAAATACTTTTGAAATATCATTCTTGCTAATTGTATCATTAAGATTTACTGATCTGCAATCCTCCATAATCACTCAATTCTGGTTTTTAACGTATGAATTTTTTATTTTAGAGAAAGTGTAATCTGTAAAAAATTTCCAGCTGGCAATAAAAAAACATCAAATGAAATTTTGCAAGAGTTATCTTGCAAACTTGTAGTAACTATATTGAATGTCAATGAATAATAAATTGATCAATATTTGCTACTTTTATTTTCAAGTTAATATATTTTAACATTAGTTAATTAATTCTTGTAATAAGTAATAAATGCAATTGTATCAGTTTAATACCATCGAAATTATCACATCAGTAAACAAGTTATGATAAGACATTAATAGAATCAAAAAAGACATTTAGATTAAACGATTTCGTTACGAATGCGTATCTCGCATATATATTCTTCGGGTACTGATACCATTCCAGGATATCGCTTCAAACTTGGTAATTTTCCTGAAATCAAAACTATTTGAAAATGATTCTGAAAAATTTTTTCTTTTGTCGTTTTTATTTGTGGTACTTCATCCTGTTTCATGGAAAAGAATTTTATTTCAAATTTAAATAAATTCAGAAGCAAAAATTTAAGCTAACAACCGTTTTAATTTTTCCATTAATTCTATTCTTCTATTTATAAAAGCAATTTACATATACCATAAGCAGCAGAGAATTCGAAATTCTGCAATAAAGTTGTCAGGATGATGAAAAGTTCCGTTCGAGCAAGTGCTTCACCAAGACACGATCGTTTGCCAATACCAAACGGGATTAAGTGCTCAAAGTTGTGAAAAGTACCTTCACTACTAAGGAATCGTGATGGTTGAAAAGTTTCTGCATTTGGATAAAGATTTTCATCGAAATTAATAGCGCCAATTTGTGGCATTATTATTGTGCCCTAAAAATGAACTGAGCAAAAGCAAAATCATAATGAAACATTAATTTCTCTTCTATTTCAATAACATTTTTCGCACTTTCTGAATTTTATAACCACATAAAGTAGTATTGGAAGTAGTAGCATGTGGTATATGCCACGGTAACACATTAATGATACGTTGCACTTCACAAATGACCGCCATTGTATAGTGCATGATGGTTCGATCTTCCCAGTAGACAGCTCTTGTTCCCAGGTTCTAAATATCAAACGAAGTCAAGCAGCGTTGTTGTTAGAAAGTTATGAAAGATTACTTTAATTTGAATATAAACTTCTTTAATATCAAACTTAAACATTTATTTAACTTTCTGTAAACTACGATGATTGTAAAATTTCTTAACTTTTGATTTTATATTCTTAAAAAAAGCTTCTGAATTTACGTTTACAATAAAAATACTAATTCTTTATGATATCAATCGGCTAAATGTTTAGAGCTATTATTAAATGTTTATTTGGCTATATTTCATCGATATAAATTATTACTTTATCAATCTCATCATGTACAAGTTTCTGAACATCCGGATAATGAATAAGATAGATGATCGCCCAACGTAATGTTGTTACTGTTGTTTCCATACCACCCGTCCAAAGATCACCAGAATTCAGAGCCAATGTTATTTTACTAAAAATATTTACGACAAATGCTTAATTCATAAAAATAGGCCTTTAAAAATGCTTTATAATATTCTTTTAATTTTTAATTAAATACCATAAATGAATTAAAAACGAAAAACTGAATGTGTATCATTCAATTAATGATAATATATCAAAATAAATTTTAGAAGTGTTTTTCAATCTTATTTTAACAAAAAAAAATTAATAGTTTGTTAATATAGAAACAAAAGCTTACTTATATTGTTTTTCCTCTGTATACTTAATCATATTTTTTAAGTAAGCATCAATGAAATCATTTGGTTCATCAACTTTGTTTGATGAAGTAATAATCGCTTTTTCATGCTCATTAATATGTTTCAAAAAAAATTGTTGCAATGCAAAACCATTTTTGCAATAGCGATAGTATGTTGGTAATAGAAATCGAACAATTGGATAACGATCCACAAGTAACATTGGAATACTAATGAACTGAAATTAGTGTATCACAGAAACTTAGAATCATAGAATTCAGCACTAGAAACTAAATATACACTTATAGTTTTTTTAAAGTTAAGATTAATTATGCATTATGATTGATTATTATTAAATCAGGAAATATGCGTAAAAGATTATCACTTATATGTAATGGCTCTCACATCTTTGAGGGTGGAATCGATTAGTTTTTTGAATCGCAAAAATTCCTGATCACCATATTCGTAATTTTTGCCGAGGATTAAATCATGGATAATATTACCCACACAGAATGTAAGAGGCAGATGAATATCTGTTATTGCAGTTTTCTACAAATTAGTCAATTAATCAGATAGTGAGTAAATTAGACAAGAATGCAAATTTCTGAAAATAGAAATATGCATGAATCATTTCAAATCTTTAATTCTTGATCTTTATCATCAATAGAATAGCGAAATCTTGGAATTAAATCACAAGAAGATTGCATCAGATCAGGAAAAGTAATAAAAACAACCAATTCGTTAGCGCCTATTTGCTTCTTCAGATACTGAATGAGAGTATCCGTATAATATCGAATTTTTTGTTCCATTATATTTTTGCCTACTCCAAAATCACGAAGAACTCTTAAAGCAAAACGCCTCTGATGGCTCCATTTTTCGTTCTGTGATAAGATAATCCCATCACCATCTGAACGATGCTCACTGAATATTCCGTAAACGAATGACATCGGTCGACCAGCAAAAATATTTCCTGAATGTTCCATGTAAATTTTTGAAATTAAATTAAATTTTTGAACTATCAAAACATAAACTTAAAATTCGAACATTTTAACGCTTGGCAATGTTTATAATCTGATTATTAGCCTAAATCAATTAAGCAGAAATTAATTAATTGACCTAAATTAACCATAAATTAAAAAACTTAGTTTCCCTACCTTATTCTTTTGCTTGAATTAAATCTTTTAAAAAACTTCAAATAGGCCAACTGAAAGATTGATCAAGTTTATTGTAATTACTGGCTCCTACAATGACCTATACCTTGACCAATAAGTGTTTCATGAAGAAGTTTATAATCTGCAAGTACAATGATTGGTCCAGGCAACCAAATAGTAAACATTGGACCAAATTTCCTTTTCCACTTTATCATTGAACGATGCGGATAAGCTAGATCAATCTGAAACACACCTGTTCACTTTTACGCAAGGTAATCTTTAGTGCTAATCTACCTTGAAGTGAAAATTTTCTCAGATAGCTTCTTAAAATTTCAACCACGAATCGATATAAGCGGTACTTTAGTGCTAGCTGTTGAAATAAAAGCATTCGAGCCAAATCCTCTAATCTGAATTTTTATCCAATTTCTCGCTTCTCACTCTTAAACCTAATACGACTAATTATTTATTTATAACATTGTCTTTTTCAAAATTAAGTTCCAGCGTTATTATTCAGTTAATTGTTGGCTCTTTTTTTTTTTTAAAGTAACAATTAAAATTGCAAAATTAGGCTATTTTTCCTCGTTAAAAAAATAACGCATTCTAATGTAAAAATAATTTCAAATCAAAATTTATAATTGAACTCTTTAATCTAACTTTAATTAATTAAAAACTAATCTAACTTTTTGATATTTAATATTAAAAAGAAAAAAAATTCTTCCTATATAACATAGCATTTACTCATTCATTTATTTTTACAACAACTCCACGTTTAACTCTTTAATACCTGTAGGAAATTTCCAACGAAAGGTAATGGAAATGGTCCCGGTGGATATTTATTTCGTAATACAATATATTCATTATATAAATAATAGATGATAGCATGAAATGTAAGTATTATGATAGCAAAAAATATAGTCATGAAGATGATAATTGATTCGATAATATATTACTTTAGAATAATGAAGTTTTAACTTTTTTTCAGCAAACAAAATAATAGTTGCTTGACGGTTTGCTTTTTTGTTCCTAAAAATAAAAATTTAAATAATAGATTGACGGAATTTTTGATGATTCTGGAGGAGAGAACTGGATTGTTGTAGGAGAGAAATTTTCCCTATCCGTTAAAAAACTTTCACTTTATATATCATTTCCTTTTTTTTGACCTTAATGAAATACTAATTTTATTTACCGATCATCATCATATCGTTCAATTTTTTATTTTAACATTTTTGTTTAATAACAGTAAAATGCCGAATAAAGAAAAAACATTAACAGTGATCGGTTAATGGCAAATAAATTTATTTATTTTTTCTTTTTTGGCCATCTTTTCTCAAAAACTTGTTTAATTTTCTACATTTCCGATACATAAAAACGATGAATCAAAAAGAATGGAAAAACCGAAAGAGAAAAAAAATTAAAAGCAAAACAAATTGAAATTACAACGATAAAAAAAAAGAAAATACATCATATAACGGTAATTGAGAAAATATTTGTTGAAATTATTCGAAAATTTTCAGGTATTTCTTTACCTTTCTTCACACCTTTTCATAATTATATACATTATTATTATCATTTCCAATTTAGGCTACGTATTTTATCTTGAAATTCATTTTTAATATCATCATCAACATTATTGTAGAAATCATTAATTTTTTTCATTCGTTCAATATCTTTCATCGTTGGATTCATCATTACCGCTGATAACTGCAATATTTATCATTTGATTAATAAAACATTACTGATATCATTTACTTCGTAAATTGAAAATACTAAATGATAAAATTGCATTTTTAATTTAAGATACTAAATGGTAGAAATATCTTTTTATCTGTGGTACATCATCTATCATGAAAATTTCATTTCATAATTCTAAATTAAAATTTGATAATTTTGGAAGTAAACAATTTAGTTGCAATTAGCAAATACTGTAGAAAGTATAAAGAGGTGTCGTTAACATGGAAAACCTTTGCAAAAACAGCTTGCGCTTTGTTAGACATATTTCCGACAATAGCGTGAACTCTTTCACGTTTTTCTCTCTCTTCCATCTCTTTCATCCGTCGGTATTGATCGTACAGTTCCTATAAAATTATATTTTTCTTTTCACATTACTTTCTTGCTTGAATAATAATCTATCAATCAGTGTAAGAAATTGTCTTACCTGATTTTTACTGTCCAAACCTAAAACTAATTGATCCAATTTATTTTGCTTCTGTTGAAAACTTTCGTCTGGATTTGATACGATTTTGTAAAACTGCAATTGAAAATATTCTAAAAATAACTTTTCATTAGTATAATTACTTCTTTAAAGTTTAGCTTTTGAAGAGATTTTTGAACTTCATGAAATTTATACCAAGCGATCGAAGAAATTGATATTTTCAATCAATAATCTGCTTGTAAATTCAAATAAACTCACATTCTCCTGTACATCGTCAGTTGTTCCATGTAAGAAGAATGGCAGATTAGGTTTCATGTGAATTGAGATATTGTAATCGTTTTTCATAATTGTTGAAATGTAATTGGTAATATCATCATTTTTTTTCGTTGGAACTGTTGAAGTTCGCAGAAAGGGAGATGGTTGAGGGGACATTTGAAATGATATCGGATATGAGTTTCGATTGAATCCATACATCTAAAATATTATTTAAATTCAGGAAATTTTTGATTAAATTCATTCCTGCAATAAATAACAAACCTTTCATAAAAAGTTCTGATATTCCTTGATAAAGTAAAACATCAGCAAAAGTGATAAGTAAAATATAAAATGAAACTTTTAAGCATAACTTACTGGCACTGATACTCTGGGATATGATTGATAATAATAAGGAAAGAAAATGGGATTATTCGTTATTTGTTGTTGCCGATGAGGTAATTGATATTGCCATGATTGAAAATTGAATTGCGCGCTAATTCTAATAAAATTCAGGTGAATCGCTGATATCCATACAAGCCACATTTCGAAAAATGTAAATGATAAAAATTAAATATGATTGAAAGCAGACATTGGAAGCAATATGGAACAATATATAGAAATGTTGAAGATATGAGAGAGGATATAGTTGAACAGATCGCTCGAATGATAACTAAAACAAAATGCAAGTTGTATACTTTCGGTATGAAATGAAATGAAATCATTCCTATGTATGAAAGTTAAGAGTTTAAAAAATGATTATGAAAAAAACTGATCACTGTCTGTTCTATTAACTGCTGGAGAGAACTAAAATTACATTTCTGCCTTTTATCAATGAACTATCGATGGACATAAGTGGACGATTTAAAGGATTTATCCAAGATAATCCTAGAAAATGACCGATTTCCCAATTTTTTTATTCCTAAAAGGCAAAATTAAATAGAACAGTATTTGAAGGGAATAAAGGTAAACAAAGGTAAAACAAAGTTCAAAGTAACACCATTATTTATATTTTCATTTAAAACTAATATATATCTAAAATGAGAAATCATATAATAATTTCAGGAAATCTTTAAAATGGCAATATTTCAATAGTATAATAAAATTTAAAATCAACTGGTAGGAATTACCGATGAAGGTCATTCAATAATTATTTCTGCCTACAGTGCAATTTTTTTTTGACCTAATTCTATCAATTCAATGATTTTAGAATATTGAAAAAAAAATTGATTATAAATAAATATGATTAATTGAATATGTATGTATATCTAATGAAAAGTTTAAAGGAAGAAACTGATAATGATGATTCAGTAGAAGAAAATTTTAACAATAATTTACTTTACAAATAAAGATACATTTTTCATCTCTTCTTTATTTGTTATTTACAAATCATCTGATCATCATTAAATGTAAGTTATTTTTTGTTTCATATTTTCTTTCAAAAGAAAAAACTTAGGCAAAATAGAAATGAAAATTTGCATTTAAATATTGTGATTTCAGAATAAAGTTTTCGTTGGAACGATGATAATAAATGGATTAGAATTATCACAAATTGTTGACACCCTAGTATTTATCGATGTATTACAATTCAATAATACGTAATGTGTACTATGTGTCCAGAAAATATCTGTGTTCCAAGTGATGCATTAATTTTTTTTAAGGCCTATAATTGTTAATGATCGGTGAGCGAATCAACTTTACCTGAACAATTTAATTGGAACATGAGAAGCAGCTTGCTCTATCTTAAGTTTACTTGTACTATGTGTGATCCATCGCTATATTTATATATTAGAAGAACTGATAATTATTGTTTACTATCATGTTGACAAAATTTGATGAAAGAAATAAAGATCTGTAATTTATGTGACATGAAATTATCACTTCTGTTTGCAAACGTATTTGATATTTGATGAATATATAATTAGGATACTGTAGAAGAAGCGAATTGTGGCAATAATTTCGAGGAAATTCGAGATTTTCAGAATAAAAAAATGCTTGATGAAGAAAACAATACTTACGTAAAATTGTTCCTGAACTTGTGAATTCTTTTGATATTGTGAACAAACATTTTTAAATGCTTCACGAAATTTTCCCATCGATTCATTAATATCTTTTATCATTTTACCTATACATATTTCTCGATAATCGTTGATAAAAGTTCAACATCGTGTAAATGATATTTGATTGAAATGAACGATAATACGAATTAATCAATTATAGTCTTTCCATGATGATATTCATTAGTTTTTTAAATTTTTCAAATTGATTAATGCATTTTATTTACGAACAAATACTTCAAATAAAGAGGTTTATGTAAATTGCTATTCGCCGCTAGCTGCACTTTATGTAAGTAAAAGTAAAAATGTTCTTGTATTTTGGTATCAGTTATATTACACCATAGTCATTCAATACTTGAAGCTATTTTATGATAATATCATATTTATCAAAATCCTATGAAATTTGAATAATTTTCTACAGATAACATACCCTATTCAGCGATTACCGCATGGCGCCATTTATCGTCGCTTTCACTACGTCAACGACGCATCCCAATCTTTTGGTTGAAATAGTGGGCCATATGTTGTAGATTTACGTTTATTATGCAGCGTAATCGACTTTTTGTTTTCCGTTACTCGATATTAATTCAATCTTAGCAATAGCAAAAAATAATAAATTTAAAATGTTTCGTCAGTTTATTGTTATCTAAATGCGCATGAAAGAAATACGGCAACCTACTTTACTTTCAGTATTACAAAATTACACATTTTTCCATCAAGTATTTCACTGATCAAGAGTTAACATTCAATTGTCACTTTTACTGTAGAAAGAATTCATTATATACAAATATTTTAAAATTCGGTCATTCAACTATTAAAGTATTAAAACATGATTCATAGTACGATTGAAGAATCAAATTTTTATTAAATAAAAAATTTAATTCATCTAGAATGAAATGATGAAAATCGAAACAGAAGTATAATGGATTCAAATTACTCGGATTCTTATTTCTAAAATTTTTTTTCATCTGAAATTAACAAATAAAAAATATTGCAGCAATTTCAAAATAGCGGTACTAACGCAGGTATAATGATTGTGCAAAATAATGTTCTCCGTTGGAAACACATTTCAATTCGCATGCACAGGACATTCTTCTGTTGAGGAAAAAGTACACATAGTTCATTTGAAGCAAATGTGTTGTAAAGATGTGCATTTTACCTTGTCAAATTGTAAAAATAAAATATTTAAAAATGAAATTATCAAATGATTTCATTTCAATACAATTCAATACAGAAAACGAACGGTATAGATAAGGTTAAAATTGAATTCTTAATTTAAATCGGATGAAGATAGAGGTTTAAATTTTGATTAAATAAATCAAATGATTATCGTACAAAAAGTTATTTAACGGATGATACAAGTTGAGAAGAAGTTATTAGAAAGCTTTCTGATTAAATCTAAGTTAGGAAGAAGTTATTCGAAAAAGATCTCTGATTAAATTTATTGACACAAAAGATTATGATTTTTTGGAAGAAAATTTGTTAGTATTAGCCATCAAAAAATTTCAAAAATTCCTACCCTTTTGGCTTCTCCTAAAATACCTTCTTCTTCATTTGTATACTTTCGTTAGCATTGAAGGTAATCATGCTTACTTAGTGATGTAGGAACTATTTAAATAGAGTAAATTTAATTTTCTATAAAATATGATGAAATAAGATACTTTCAAATTTAATCTATGATAGCATTGTTGGAGTTAAATTAAATTCTTTAAATATGCTGATTTCAAGATAACATTAGTGGTATTTGTATTGGTGATATCTGCTGTAATAACAGTAACACTAAATTTAAAGATGTGATATAAGTAGAAAGTGATATCAACAAATAAACAAACTTTAGTTCTTCCTTATTGAAGATAGCGTTGATTCCTTATCAGAATTAGTATTTTTCAATTTTATGACATAATTAAAAATTACTCCAATCATTTTGAAAACATAGCAATACCATACAGTAGTAAACTTGCATACGATATACTCTCCCCGACCAAAAATATTAAGGTTGGATAGAAACGATAAAATAATGATATACATGGTTTATCGATTTCCTCAGTTTGCATAGGATAACGAGCTTAAGCAAAATATCCAAATGATAATTAGAATGAATTTGCAAAATTCGTATTTGTATCAAACTACGAATAGATCGTGATCATTTCCATCAAAACTACGTGATCATTTCCACTGAGCAATCATTACATTTAACATAATATCATATTAACGTACATGTAAAAGTGAAAGTGAAAATTCTTAAAAACAATACACGGAAAGTTCAATTTGTTTAACTAAGAATACGTCAAAAGCATATCTGAAGTACAAATTAATAATTTTGAAGTTTTAAAATTTAAACATATACTTTTGTCTTGTTTTAATTTTTATTCAAATAACATAAGAAATAAATTTTGTTTTCATCGAAATTTATTATTTCATTGTCAACTTCAAGCATTAAATGAGAAATTTTCATCAATGTGAAACTACTATTAGTACCAATCTTTTGCAATTCATATAGAAATATAAAATATAATTATATTATTATCAGCACTAATGAAATTACCGCTTATCATATTTCATCTCAAAAATTTCTTATCTAAGTGATAATGATGATTTATTGGGAATAGTGATAAGCAAAAAATACTAACAAATAAATGATTTATGTTGTATTCTTTTTGTTTTTTTCGAGGAATAAAACTATTTTGCAATAAAATACGGTTAAAATTCTACGGATAAATTCGTCGATAACGAATAAATGTGTGTTCTTGCATTCCATGCGTTAATGTTTCCATGTGAAGACGTGCTTGCAAAGTATTCCTGTCCAGCAATGTCCACTCTCGTATCAACTACAAATGAAAATTCTATAAGTGATATAATTCAGCTTGAAGCTCTTTAAGTGATCAATAGAATCATACAGTTAGATTAACAAATGCTCAAATAAGGTATGTAGTGTAACAATGAATTACAGGTGATAGTATGTGTCAAAAAAGTTTAATAGTTCCTAATGGCAGAAAGAATTAGTTATTAAAGTTGTGATCAAATATGGGAATTTCTTTAATTAGCAATTATATGATAAGATTATTAAAATTGACTAAGCTTTCATTACGCATTTTCTAATATTGCAGAAATCCTACTACAACATAGCAAATACAGGCTTCTCAAGTTCGTTTATAATATGGTCAAGAATTGTTAATTCCTATAACTGATCTAATGATAGTTATATAAAAACAAAAAGGAAATGATGTTAGAGAAGAAGGCATTTAATGTTTGATAATAAACTTTCGGTGAAATAATAAAACATTGATAAAAGGATAAACAAAAATATTACTAATCCTTTGATAAAAGAAAATTTTATCAGAAGATTAGTAATATTTATGTTAGTTTAGAAATCTTTAAATTGAAATTATTGGAAATATTTCTATTTAAAGAACTTCGGCATTTTATGAAATTTTTATTTAATAAGATTTTATTGAAGTTTGCATTACATTAATTCTTTTCTTCTTTAACTGTGATAAATATACGAGATAATACAATTTGTAATAGTTTTGTAATAATTTGTAGTAGTTCGTCAATTTGTAATACTTTGTTAATTTGTAATAGTTCATAAAAGTTTACTTATATTGTTTTTTTCCTCTGTATAATTAATCATATTTTTTAAGTAAGCATCAATGAAATCATTTGGTTCATCAACTTTGTTTGATAAACCAAATTTAACTGGGATATATGAGATAATACAATTTATATATGAAAGGTAATAAGAAAATATATGATAATAAAGATTAAGATATAATTATAATCTTTCTATAATGTTTATTTGATATATTTCATATTAATTGAAATTTCAAATATTCAACAATTTTGGGGAAAAAGTTTCGATAGATTTAATAACTTACTCTAAGAACAGGCAGATCTCTGCTGAAACTAATTCGTCCAATATCTTTCAAATGTAATTCTATTCGATTTGGCTCAATAATTCCCTGTTCAACCGTTACAAAACATGAAATTTAAATTCGTGAAATTTTATTAAAAATATTTTCAAATATTTTATTTTTCATATTTTAGCAATTAAAAATAAAATAGATCATATTCTCTTTACTTGTTGATACAATCAATTCAAGCATACTAAGCAATATGTAATATATAAACTTGCCATTATCCATTACTGTAGTAAGTGAAACAGTTCTTGTATTAGGTTTTACTGTAATATAACCGTATTCACTGTGTAATTCTTGATGTCCTGATGATCCCCATGCAAATGCTCTAAATACAGTAGCTCATTCACTACTACATCAGATCAATTAAAGTGGAGAACTTCTATTTATTTCAATCATTCATTTATCGCTATCATAAACGATGCACAATGAAGTAAGTGTCTATCTTATCAATGTTATGTTCTAAATTGCATTCTTTCAATATTAATCTTAATTTTAATTTAAAGAATAATATATTTTAATAAATAAACTTTAAGATTTAATAATGATATTGATTAAGTATGAAAATGCAGTAATGATCAATTTTGCATTTCAAATAACTTTAATTATTTATAAATATTACCAAAAAATACATACGTATAATTGAGCGCTTTTAATCCAGTCATATGATTGTCAGAAATTGAAATTTCAATTTGTTCACCATATGTAAACGTTGGTATTGTTGGAAAAATTGCTTTACCACCATGTTCCGATCGCCAAATACCAATTAACCATGCGATTGGTTGTAAATGAGAAGGAATACGTGATACATCAAATTCTACCGAAAAAAATGATTGAAAAAGCAAAATATATCAAATCAGCAGTACAATCATACAACAAAGCCTATTTGATAAGAAAATAAATAATGTTGAATTTTTTATCAATTTAATATAAATAATTAATGAAAAGAAAGGTCAAATTAAGTAATTAAATTCTTTTTTTAAAACTATTTCAAAGATAGTGGAATATTCTAAAGATTATTCATACTTGGTTTTAATTTCTTAATACAAAAGCCACATGATTTAGGGCAATTTTTAATGATATAATTAGTAGTTCGACAGAGTAATGCATGTGATGTAATCCAATCACGGCAATTGTCATTCGAATCTTCACAATGTTCACCTATAACTTTTTAAAATATTTAAATTTTCATTCATCGTTTTTTTTTTGCAAACTTTTAATTTGTTAATTTTGAATAATTAATTTTTGAATACAACAGATAATAGTTATAGTGGTTTAAGAATAAAAATTGCTAATTGCATTTTGTAAGATTTTCGTCAAAAAGAAAACATTTCATTTTGATCGAATAGAATTGTGCGAAAAAGAATTATTACATATGTTATTTTCAATTAAACAAGAGAAGTTGATAAATTTAAACATTTTTTGAAAATATATAAAACTAACCTTTGATGATATTAGATATGATAGTTATACTGAAAGTCGAAAATAGCAGAATGGATTTCATATTATTGAGAAAGAAAAAGAAAAAGGGAAGAAATAGGGTGAAACAGGTAGGTCACTCGTTTTCTTGCTGGAAAACATCACTTTCAAATCGTTCATCAATGAGAATGATGATGATGATAGATGTGGGCAATCATAGTAACGGCAAAATGTCATAACTAGATTTCTAGAGTAAACTCTTTTAGATGACAACGATAGTGATAAGAAAAATTTTATTTATTTGATATCATCTTCAGTTGATAGCTATGGGATTAGGTTCTAATAATTATTAAGGTCAAAACTTCCCCTTCACTCATTCATCAAATGAAATGCCTTAATTAATGATACCTTTGATAATAACGAAATAAAATATTTATTATATATCGTTCAGATGGATTGTATTTGTGAAAACTTGTTTTATAATTTTTAGCTGTCCTCTTTAATTTTCTATATCTCTTTCTACGTCGTATCAAAATGATCTTTGTGATAAAAGAGATTTGTTTTTCCTCCGCTTCATGATCATTGAAAAATTCCCAATGCTATTGAATTTCTTGAATTTAAAAATTTCTGAACTAATATAATTTAGTGTTGAATTTAATATTGATACAAATTTAAAAAAGAAACTGATATATTGGCAGTATTTCTTCGAAATTAGAAGTGATGCATTATGACATCATTCCGAATTTATGAAATAACAGAATGCTAAGTTGAGATATAATTAGTTGGAAATTCTTTTCTTGGCTTTTCATTGTAGATAAATGAGCCAAGAGAAGTGATAAATGAATTAACTGTTGATCATAAATCTATTTAACTAAATAATTTTAAATAATTCAGATTACATTTTAATGCTTTTTAAGCGAAACATATTTTTGCATTAAACGACTGTCTACTGCTTACTTAATGCAACGATCGTTGATAATATCACCACCACTGATAATAAATCTAATCGAATTACTGTAACTTTTTAGCTTTGAAAAAGAATTCAGAAAGACCACAGTTTTTGAAGTATGTAATCACTTATAATATTTTTTCTTAAACCTTTTATTATTGAATAAATAAAATAGTAGAAAAGCTTTTGAAGGTACACATTTAATACACAGTCTAATCTTTAAACGAATTAAACTGTAAATTCTTGTTTAACCTAATTAGTAATTATTTCATTAATGATTATATATAAACTTTAGAGGAAAATCAACTTTTCAAGTTTCTTTATTTCAATTATTAATTACTCTTATATCAATCATTTTAACTTGACAAGAACTTCATCTGTGTGGTGATAATTCAAAATATCATGAAAATCAATTTTTCTTTTCCTACCAGAAATATCATGAAATGACGAGAATTACCATAAAAAGTGACATGTGAATATCATTAGAGGAGGAAAGAAGAGAGAGAGAGAGAAGAGAGAGAGAAGAGAGTTAAAGGAAAAATTGATTTAAAATTGAGTTGAAGGGTATCAACAACATACAATTATTTCTTTGCTATATAAGCTTTTTGGATTTAAAAAAAAAACAGGAAAATAGTTGTATGAAATGACCTTTTTATATTTTTGTTTACTCAAATCCTTTCTAGGCCTATATATACCTTTTCTTGGCCTCTATTTATTTAAAGTATGTTAAATTACAATTCTTTGTTAGTTCCTTATTTTGTGCTTTTCATCGTTAAACATTTATCTTCTTCTTGTGTAACATTTAAAACCAGTTTATTATCGATTTTTTTTTTGCTGAGAAATTACTTTCTATTATTAATTCAGTTAATTACCAATTATATATATTATTATTTGATTTTTTCATCTTTCATATTCGTCAAAGTTTTTTTATTCTATGATATTTCATTCTAAGGATTCATCCATGATATTTCATTCTAAGGATTCATCCATGATCCTTCATTCTAAGATTCATCCATGACATTTCATTCTAAGGATTCATCCATGATATTCCATTTTAAGGATTCTTCATCATATTTCATTTTCAAAATTCATCCATGATATTTCATTCTAAAGATTCATTTATGATGGAATATCATGCTGAAGATTCTCATCCATCATTTTAAAAGACTCATCCGTCATATTTTTATTGGTTGCAAAAATTTCATTGATAAATTATACACTGATTGTTTTGCTGTCATCAAAAATTCTATACTGTAAGTTTTCTTTTTCTATTTTTCCACAAAATAACCAGATCTTATTTATGGAAATGGATGTAGTAAATAGTGTTTCTTTGAAAGTTTCACAGCTTCAGAATCAATATAGAATTGAGAAATGAAATATTAAATATAAACGTTAATGTTGGATGGAATTTCTATCACGAATGAAATAAATAATAATAATAATATCAGTGAAGGAAATGGAAAATTGTCTGAATAATTTTTGAAATTTGTTTTGGACGGAAATAAGTGCAATCGGAAAAAACCAGGAAGTATTAAGTGTTGGTATCTGTATTAAAGCATAATATCTTAATCAAAATCAGCTGTTTTAATCGGAAACTTAACATTTTGACAGATAAAATCTCTCCACTTACTTCTTCAATTTCTTAATATGACGCTAAGATTTCGATCCTTTTAATAGTGAATAACTTCCGTATGCAAATTCGGAATCAAACTGAAACTTTATCATCAAATAAGAGAATTCGAAAAAAAAAAACAAATCAAGGAATTTTGTAATTTTGGATTGTTTCAAAGAAATTAGACTAATTGCTTCTTTTCACATTCCGTAATAATGGTTATTCCGGATTTCATAAGGCAATTCTTTTATTCATAATTCGGATTTACTTGAATATATAATTAAAATATATACATAGACTTACTTGAAAACATTTCCACTACATTTCCAAACTTGCTAGTTTAAAATAACTATTTATGATGTTTACTTTATTTTTCAAGATGAAAACTTTCTAGTGTATATCTTTTCGGAATGCTTGATTATTGAAATTGATCAAAAGTGAAAGAAAACAGAACCCCCGGCTATATGAATTAGTTAATACCTGGTATTAGGGTACAATCAACTGCAAGTTAATATTAAGAGAATGAATTCTCCTTAAATTATTTTGAAGAAAGAATTGGCCAACATATAGCCAAGGCCAACAAAATGGCCCCTTTCCAAAAGTCAATTGCCTCATAAAAAGGATAATGGAGTGTGAAAGAAATTCGACTCCATTTGGAACACAAAATGTATTATTATATTTTAGATCTCTTTGTTAAACTAATTAAATCCATAAACTTCAGGCGCAACCACATTCTTTATTTCATTTCTATTATTCAAAGACTTCAGAAATCACATACTTCAGAGGATTGATGTAATTCAAGCCTGGAAATACGCAAAGAGAAATTTAGCTCAGTGATATTTTCATATCATATAGAGATTAGTGATTAAGTTTTATGTAAAGGTTGAATCTCAATTTCCCTTTCTAAGTTTGATAAAAAATTTTCTTCCTTTATTCTAAAATGTAGTTGTCTCTTTTCTTTCTCTTTTTATATTATTCGAAGATATTACTAATTTTTCTAAGAGAAGAAACAAAGTTGTAAACATTATTGAATTCGTTTAAGAATACGAAAAGAATGTTAAGATAAAAAAATGATAAGAAAAGATTTTTTTAAGGAAGAATTGTGTACAGAAGGATTTATTCTCATCCTTCATTCTATCATCATTCTTATAAATTCTAGTCGATGGAAAATTCTGGCTTAAATTTCAACATATTTCTGAATCGTCCAGAACAACCAATGGATTTGAATTATCGCGCAATACGAATAAAAGTTTACAAGAATGGTGATCAATATGATACAGGAACAGTGGTAGTCATTTGTCGGAAAAGATTTAAACACTGGCTTACTTTTTTAGACTTTCTTACCGAAAAATTAAATTTAATGGCACCTGTTCATGAATTCTATCGAGTGGATGGTCTTCGTATACAACATGTTTGTTTTGCATAATAAAATTAATTACAACTATAACTTATGATTAGAATTGAATATAAAATTTAGTTTGAGATAAAAAGCTTTCTCAAGTAAAAGTTTAAATTTTTTAGCAAGTAAATTTGAAGTTAACTTCGGCAAAATTATTTTAGCATGGCAGTTATTGAACTTACTAGTTATTGATGACGATTTCAATCAGAACATTGCCGGATAATTAAATCATTAAACAAATTAGCAATTTCTTCAATTCTTTCTAAACTTCCGGATTATAAAATTATAACATCTCATTTGATCGTAACTTTTGATCAAGAAATTCAGTGGAAACATTTGTTTCCTGTTTTACAGTTCGAAGAAATAGAAAATGGAGGATCATATGTAGCCGTATCACAAGGACCATTTATTCATAAACCATATGGCTTACTACCTGAAGATCGTGAAGTAAGCTTTGAGCTTTTTCTTTTAATTTGTACTTTTTCTATTATGCATATTGTAAAACAAATTAATAGAATAGATTTTCAAATCCTCGATCATTTTGAGTTAAATAGAAAATTTGAATAAATGATTTTTTCATTCTTACAGAAATGGAATATGGATCCAAAATTTGAATCATCAGAACAGAGCACACTTAATTCCGCTGAATCCGTGGATATTTATCTAAAACAACGTGGTTACACCTCTCGAACTGGTCTACCATTTCCATTTGATGGTGGTGTATGTGTCAATCATTCTGCACCATTGACAGGATTTGGACGTAATCATGTTCATTCTTCGAATCAAACCATTCGTCAACATCGTGATGAATTGGTAAGCTGAAGAATTCTTCAGAGTTAATCGAAAATGGGAGAAAATAGTGCCATCTTAATAAATGCTATATATGGGAATAATGTGGAACTCACTAAGATATTATCAAACCGAAACAAAAAGGAAACCATTGGAATAGCAGCATTTGTGTAACCATTTATATTGAAAATATTTGACCAGCTCTAACATGATGTAAGGCATCACTGATTTTAAAACAAAGACAAAAAATGCTTGCAATTTAAGTATTGTCATAGCTTATGAAGTTAAAAGAAAGTTCGAAAACTTATGTTAAAAGTTGAAAAATTGAATTGACCAAAAGAAGCGATCCATATCCAAAATATTTTTTTGGTCAAATGGAGTGCTAAAATTTTAGGCTTGTTCGAAAACAAGATTGAAGATATGAGAAACTAATACAGCAAGAAACACGAGAACCAAGTTAGAACTAATTTCATGCATTAAACAAATGGTCTTTGAAAAATTGCCAAATTTTGATAATTTGTTAATTATTTTGATTCATTAAAAGATAAATTCAAAATATCATCTTTTTTTGGTTATCATGATTTGTCGTTTTCAATTTTTATTATTAGAAATCATAAGAAAGATATTAAATTACGGTAGAATAAATAGTAATCATCTGCTGAACTAATTCTTTTTCTTTTCCATATAGTGATTATCATCTTTTAAACGCTCATCTTTGTAAAAGTGATATCAGTGATGCCGAATCATGATATTCTCTCCACCTTTGTCGTTTTCGAGAAGTGCATTTTTATTTCCTGTCGAATGGGCATAAAGCTTAATATTTTTTGAATTAAGAGGGAAGGAAGGAAATTTCAAGCTTTTTCCTTTCTAACTGAAATATTTTCATAAATGAAAATTTAAATCGATATTACTGACAAATTCAGATTATTAATTTCAAAAAAATATTCATAAGAAAATCTTTCAAAATTTAGAAATCAGAAGAAAATAATTCGAAAAATGATGAATTATTGGAGAAAAACAACGTAAAGCCAGAGGAACGAAAAGAAGAGATGAAAAATTTTAATTCACAGTCAATATCACATTCGAACTCAAATCTTACAATCGATGATACGAAATCTTCAACGATGAATAATCAGAATGGTGAACAAAATGATGAAATTTTGCACTCCTCAATGGTTGAAGCTACAAATGCAAGTGTAAACAAAGTTGGAGAGAATGATTTGTGCAATGAAATTGCTACTCAAAATAATCATAAGCCTACTGTAAAGGAATATGATGAATGTATACCAGCACCAGTTATTCAAATTCCAGATAGTTCTCGAGAATCTTCAATTGGGCAAGATAGTAAAAATATTGGATCATTGGGAATGATGCAAACTATGAATTCCAATTATTATTCACTGCCAATGAGAAATCCTGAAGCTGTTGTTACTATAGTAAACGATGATGCATTGATAAATGCAAGTAATGGTTCCGTCATCATTGTTAATATTTCTACAGGACAGAAGAAAAGTGACAATGTAAATAACATCTGCAATAAAAGTACTGATGGCGCAGAGATTACTCCATCACTGGTTAATAATGTCAAAAGCACTGAAATGCCATCACAGAATTCAGGAGTTAAAATGACACAACTCCCGCATGATACCGGAACACAGGACACTACTCGGATTCAAGATACTACTGGAAAAAAAATACCAATGGCTATACACATTAGTGACGTTCCATCAACTGGAATGATTGATCGATCATCATCTGTATCCATCAATATTGATGATCAAAGTGCAAAGACAGTATTACCGAAAAAGAATGAAAATGAAGAGGAGAATGTTAGAAGTTTTAAAATAAATTCAAAAAGAAATGAAAATAATTTGGTAAACAAATTTGAAGAATCTCAGAGTATGATTTTGGAGCAGAATTTACCGATAAAATTAAGAGGAAATGCAGAGCAAAAGACAAATTTAGAAATGAAACAAAATGATCAACAAGTTTATGATACCTCGGAAAATAAGGCTAAATTAAATGAGCCTTCCAGGAATCTAGAAGAAACAACATCAATGCTTATGCAACGAAGTAAATTTAAACAGAATTTTGATAATTTTGAACGTGATAAAGAAGATTATAGTATTGATAAGAATCAATCAAATCATATAAGTGTTGCTTCTGGACATAAATTTGGAAGTAAAAATGAAAGGCATATGAGTTGCGCAGTATCAAAATCAAGCAAAATTCAAGAATCTTTAACAACTGATAAGAATTCACATAATAAAAAACGTGTTACTTTAGCAACACCTTCGATTGTTGAAATGAATTTAGAAATGGAGTCAGAAAAAGCAGAAAATTTTCAAGATTCAAAAGGACAATTAAAATATTCTCCAAAACAGACAGAAGCTGCTACTAACAATGCTAATATTTTGATCACAACTATGACATCTACTATCTCCACTACTGTTATCACTAACACTACTGCTAATAATACCGTGACTGATATTACTCATAATACTGCTGCTTCTAGAGATGTAATCATGCATACCACAATTAGAGGAGAAAAAGAAATTCCCGATCTACAACAGAAATACCAGCCAGAATGTGAAATGAGTTTCGAAGCAGACTTTACACCAAGATATCATATTCATACGAATTCCACTCGTATGAAAACTTTCCAAAAAATTAAAACCGATTTGGATTTGAATATGGATATTTACCGGTTACGAGCGCAAAATAATTATGATCCTGATTTTAAAGACTATGATTTCATACAATGAGCTGAAATTTCTAGTTTTAAATCATATTTGAAAAAAAAATGGAAGATCTTTACTTATTACATTATCATAATGTCATTTCATTAAAGAAATAATTATAAGTTTTGTCTACCTTCTAGAAATGATGCAAAATTTAAAAGTTGAATCTAATTAATTGTTTATAAATTGAGCATTGTTTCATACGGTTGCTAAATTTTTTCGTCTTAATATAATTAAATAATTTAATTTGAATTTTATCGATATTTATTCAATGTTCCCAACTTAGCACAAAATTTCAAGCACCAAAATATTAATGGGGAAATTACGGAAAAAAGATTGAACATACTTGAAGATAATGAAATTTTCGCTCAATCGTTGAGTCAATTCCTAATATTCAGTTTAGAACAGAATCTCAATTCAAATACTTTCAGTTACCTTACAAAATACAATAATGTGTTTTTTACCTGTGTTATCTCTAAGTCCAGAAATAAAGTTTAGTCGCTTTTTCAACTTCATATCATAACATAAGTCAAAATCTCATTTAAATATATGTCTTTCTTATTTAATTATCTGTTAACTTTGTTATCTTCTTTAACATTATCTTGTATTTGAAAGTATGATGTTGATATTATTTCCGTTTGTTTGTCTTTCCATATTTATTATACAATGCTAAAATATCGCTACTCTAAAATATTTAATATTCAAAATTAATAGAATATGAAATTATTGCGATATTTATCAGTTCATCTAGCAAAGTACGTTTGTTAAAATTTAAAGTACGTGAAAAATGAAAATTCAAATATTTGAATCATGTTGATGTTACCTGTTACCTAATTCTTCAATTTTAACCTTTGATAAACATTAACTTAAGCATTGTAGTCACTGGAATTCCAATAATTAAATCATCGGAGAAGCCGATGATTAATTTCTCGGCTAGCGCAATTATCGGTACAATTACAAAACAATAGCACCAACGAGATAGGTGAATGAAGCTGGAGCTTATTCCTAAGAAATTTAAATTTATTTATTAAAATAACTTCAGAAGGCAGTTTATATCTTTCTTATAATTTTTAATTAACATTTTATTATCAGAAGTACTGGAAAGCATCGCCAGCATTACTTACTCTCCAGAAATCTTTTAAGCCACCATCTCTGAAAAAGAAATCCAAGAGTTAACTTTCCATTTTTAATTTCTGAGCATATATGATTGCTTTAGATAAGGGCTTTTTGATCGTGCAAGGATAAAGAAAAATTTCCCTATAACTGCAACTAATTATATATGTATCATTTGTTCACAACTAGGGATATGGCCCCATAATACCGATTATCATTTATGGATATATGTGTTTCTGACATTTCAAAAATTTATAACCTCACCTGTTCAGGCATCGGGAGCATTATTTGAAGCGACAAAAAATAATTTTCAAATTGATTTTACAAATAACAAGTAGGCTAGAAGTAATCATACAATCTTCAAAATTTGATTTGTTTTTTGATTTGGATATGATTCTCTGCGAGAGTCAATATGAACACTTCAATATGTCCATCGTTTTTCCTTCTTTAACCCAAACTAGCAAAAAGATGTCGATCATTTCAAGTGGCTTTATTCACAAACAAAATCAGTATGTATAACAACTTTTGAAAGTAAATTAAGTGGATTAAAGAGCTGAATAAGTAAGACTATAACGACCATAATTCAACCACGACTTTCGTTCTCAAAACATTTCCTGGAAAAAAAAACGGTTCTTCCAAACTCCTTCTTCTATCATCCTTCATTAATAATTAATAAAATGATGGAGAAGCAAGAATCACAAAAAATCTTCTAAATTAAATTTAGAAAAACTTACGGAGCCTTCAAAAAGTTCAGTAGTTCCATTAAAGCCTCTGTCGTTGCACCAGGGACTCTAGAAGAAACATCCTAAATTACTTTCGATCTAAAAGTAAAAGAAGTTCAGTAAAGTAATGTTTTTAAACCTGGATGCTGCAGCAAGATTTCGAGGCCTCCAAAACTCAAACTTTTCTTTGCATTCTGCAGAAGTAGACTTCATTTTCGAATAATCAAAATCATCCGGAATAACAGTAGCACATTCTTTACGTATCCTTTCCATCTAAAAATTTTAATTGTTATACATTCGGCTTAAATAAAAACAAAATAATATTGGCCACTAAATATATAACGAAAGGATCCCCTCACAAGTAAGCAAAAAACCGCTTCAAGAAGACAATGGATTTTCACACATTAATAAAATGGAAAATGGTTTTTGTTAGATCTGAGCACTTTGACCATCTCCAAACCAAGCAATTTCTAGGCTTCTAAATCGTATTTTTTGAGAAATGGAAGTGGAGGTATTAGAATTAAGCAAGATGTTTCAAAAAATTTAGTGTCTTAGATTTGATCCAACAAAATTCTCTGAAATTATGACTTGGATTCACTTTCCCACTATTCATTATTTTCAAATTACATAAACTTAAGCAAAATTGTATGTTATCACTCCAAAAACTGAATGTCAACCTGTAATGTAAAGTAACTGGAACAACTATTACAGAGTGAAATAAATCATAAGAATACAAACAATCAAGCCAGTAATAAAGAAAAGCTATAAAAATGATCAATATACGTCATTCCTTCTTTATATTGTAATATAACTCACCTTTGCCAACGACTTATCCAGATAAAAGTGATAAAATGCTTCAATCTTCAACCGACGCTCTATTTCCTCATTTTCCAACAATCTTTCTAGCTCAGCAGGTGCTGCTTTTCGAATTTCCGTGAAATCTATTTCATAACGACACAATAAATCAAACGCACTGTATGCTGGAAATAAAAACCTTGATACTTGCTTTAAATAATTTCGAAATCAGCGATAAACGAATATATCGAAAATCTAACTGTATCTCTGTATCTCTTTAACTGAAATGGTATAAAGATTTAAATACTTATGATTATATTTATCCTCATGAAAATGCTACCGCTACTTTTTCTCTCATAATTTATAGATATACTGCCTCTAACCTTCTGACGTCCGAGCATTTTCTAAACGTGGTATAGATTTTTTCCAAAAATTCATCGGATATCTGACAGATTTTAGCAAATCTTGAGTTTCATTATAAGCAGATAGTACTTTTAAGAAGTGATAATATCGATGCTCAGATACAGCTCCATGCTGATAACCCTTCTTCGTCAATCTCATGTCCGCATTATCTGGTCTGGAATTTACAGTTTTTATTTGATATAAAGCGCTCCAAATTTAGAAAAATTCCCCTGCTTCCGGAATTAAAATGGTATAAAACAATACAAATTTTTTCTAACCTAAATTATTGGAAAAGAAATTAGGCTAGCAACTTGTAAAACACTACCGCAAATGTAGCCTTAGTTCGGCTCTGGAAGTAAACATTCGGTACGGCTCTGAAGTGCCAAGACTGGTCAAATCATCAATTAATACACCAATATAACCTTCCGTTCTGTCGATAACAAATGGTTTTTTATTTTGACTTGATGCTGCTGCATTTATTCCAGCTACAACGCCTGAAATGAATAGTAATGGACTGAGGTAACTGCCATAAATGATAGGTAATTTTTAAACACCATAAAAACGGAATATTCAACAGTCTTAATAGCTATCTTTGTGGAAAAACTTGAATATGTCAACTTGATATATTCAAGTTTTTCCTTTATCAAAAATCTACTAGAAAATGATTCCTGATGTCAACTCTGAAATTCAGGCTATTATAAAACTTGAAACATAAATAACTAGAAAAAAAGCAGTGAGAAAATTAAATATCAGGAGAGAAAAAATTAATTAAACGAACCTTGTGCTGCAGCCTCTTCATATCCCGTGGTGCCATTAATTTGTCCTGCGAGAAATAAACCTTCCACAGTCTTAGTTTGCAAAGTTGATTTAAGCTGCTTTGGATCAATATAATCATATTCAACGCCGTAGCCAGCCTCCGACATTTCGACATTTTCTAAACCTGGTATGCAACGATATACTTCAAGCTGCACTTCTGGCGCAAATGTCATCGACATACCTTGCGGATAAATTAAATCAGAATCTAAGCCTTCATGCTCTAAAAAAATCTGAAAAGCTATTCTTCAGACTTTAATATGTGATTCAAAAATGAAATTTTTCCTCATCAAGATTTTTCCTCATTATATTTGATCTTTGTTTCCATTCACGCTATCTATTTCATATTCCAATGCTTTCACTATTATAAATTATAAATAGACGCTGGATATATATATATATATATATACTGCTTACTACTCACATATTCGCTTTAGATATAATGCGTCTTTATAAATTGAACTCATCATCATCCTAATTCCACCTAAAGCTTTTAAACAAAATACAACGAAAATATGAAAATGAACCCTGTGGTTAAGATGAGGGAAACGGATAACTTTTGATTCAAGAGATGGACAATAACGCGGGCCGTTTGCTTCACTACGAATATAATTGCATTCGTTGAAATGTTTAAGTACCACTTCGGCAAGGAGTTTGTTTGTGAAACCCAAATATGAAGGTAGCTAAATACTGCATCATTTTAATTTACAAAACAAAAGCAACATGACAGTGAAAAAATAAAAATATTATCGAATTTTTGTTCTTAAAACGAACTTGAAATGAAAATAAAAACCCAACTATATAAAAACCGAAATTTTAGAAAAATCCTAGGAAAATAACAAAAGAAACTAAAACAATTAGCAAGCTAACTTGTTGGTGATAAGGAAGCCAAATATGCTCCGTTAAGAATGAAAATGGAATCGGTTTCTGGTCTGGATGCTGTACAGAAAATTTGCTAAAATCTATTGTTTTCTTAAATAAACGTGCTGGAGTACCTGTGCGGAAACGTCCGAGCTTGAAACCAAGTCTCTTAAAGGTTTCAGAAAGTCCTGAACTAGCCTGCAAAACAATTTAATGACTTTACTGCTTCATATTCTCAATATTTAATTGCCGTAACGTTACACTGAGAACTATGAAAACGTTAAATAAAAAGCAAGTTTATTAGATCCTTTCGCTTGAAAAGAATTGGAAAAATGTCAGTTCTTAGTTAATGACACGAAAGTTTCAAGATCAATCTGAACTGATTTATGTCCCAAATTAATTTTCATTTCTTCTCATCTATTCTATTCGATCTTCATTCATTTTTAACTCAGTTATAATTTAAAAAATGATGGAGATTTCTAGATCATAATATATTTTCGTAAAAATTAACCTTCTCACCCAGACGTCCAGCAGCATAACTTTCTGATCCTCGGAAAAGTTTTCCGCCTAAAAATGTTCCCGTTGTCACTACGAGCGTCTTTGTCTTTAGAACCTAGAATTTAAAAAATTGAGAAAAACGCTTTGAGAAGACATAAAGCTTACTTTTTTCTTTATTAGAGTTGGTTGTAAGATAAACTAATGTCCTATGAAATGCTTGCATAATTCTACCTGACCGTCAGCTACAACTCCAACAACTCGCGGAATTCCTCCCTCCTCATATTTGATAATTAGATCATCAGCTGCTTTCTCCATTACATCCAAACCATCTGTACAATTTAGGATTTCCTAAAACGCCAATTCTCTTAAATTTGGATAATACTAATGAAGAATTTATTTACAAAAGAAGAACATAAAATTGTAGTATCATATCTTTGTTCAAAAAATTGCTAACCTCTTATTAAAATTTATCTCATATTAAAACTGCAATTTGTCAAACTTATAAGAAAAAAATATTACATGTTGCATATGTTTCTTATACAGTTTCCTGTCAATCTGTGCTCGAAGGCCCAGCACAGCTGGTCCATGTGAAGAATTCAATGCGTGATAGTTTATGGCTGATTTATCACAAATTCTTCCACAAAGTCCATCCAATGCATCCACTTCGCGTACAAGATGCCCTTGTAATAAATGAAATTTTTACAGCTATCTACAGATTACCAGCAAATTTCTCGATTCCTTACTCTTCAACTATTTCTGCTTAGTCTTAATATAAGCTAAGATTCTTGACTTTTTATGAACTAAATGAATTTCTTATAAGAGAACAGCTATAACTGCTATTTACATGACTGTTCTACAACTAGAACTAGGAAATCAAATATCGAATTAATGAAGACTACCTTTCCCAACTCCACCGAAACTTGGATTGCATGACATTTCGCCGATTGTATCCTTTCTACTAGTCAACAATAACGTATGAGCGGAACATCTTGCAGCGGCAGTGGCAGCTTCACAACCGGCGTGTCCACCACCAATTACAATAACATCGTATATTACTGGTTCATTCCCAGCTGTCAGTGTAGATAATGTCCTTCGAAGCATATGCACCTTCAACAAATTAAACTATTGCATTGACTCTTACATGCATGCCATTTGAGGATTATTTCATCCATCTATAGTATGTGTGCAAAGATCTCCACATATGTTCTAAATATGAAAACCCATATGGCAGACACATATTTTTTGAAAAGTTTTCGAGAAAAATCCATTCCGGATTCTTTTGATAAAACATAGATTTGAGTATTATTTAAGTATGAACTAATGTGTTACTAATCAACCGAAGTTATGCGTGATAAACATTTTATACATAATTATAACAATCATCATAAATAACATCCACATGTCCAGAGAACGTCTGCAAAACGACAAAAGGCGAACGTTCATTTTGTTTCACAAACTGCTATGAAATAAAATTAGTAAAGCAGTTAATTGTTAACAAAATACAAAACTTAAAGCTTGGGAATCTTAAATTCAACAGAATATCAAAAAAATAAAATACAAACATCTAAACAAATTCTATCACAATGGCAGTCGTTCATTTGATGAATAAATGAGTGACAATATGAAAGATAAATAAGGAATAGATTAAATAATCGCAGTGATCACAATATTGCATGTTAAATAAATCACAAAATGCTCTAGATAAAACAAAATATGGCAGTTAAGGAATAAGAGGCATAAATTTCACAAAAACTGGCTGATACTGATACAGTACAAAAATAGTGAAATGAAAAAAGAGCTGCCACTGGAACTCAGAATGTGAATTTTGAGGCAGCTCAAGTGTATTCCCATACAACTTAGTTAACGCAGTAATTTTTACAAACTTTTCGGAAGTCAAAGGTGTATTCTATGGATCCAGGAAGGATACAGCGATATATTGAGTTCCACTGGTAACTGGAAGGCCTTCATGCAGATGGGTTAATCGTCCCGGAAACATAGCTGCGTATCCTAAAGTAACCAAATTGAGAAAAAGTGAGATCTGAATTATGAAAAATATTATGGACTAAAACATTATAAAATGTTAGCAAACTGCTCTGTCAAATTAAGGCAACATCACAAAACCGCATTACTTTAGTAATATAAAAAAAAGTACCGATCTCGTCTGAGGAGATTGTGCAGTTATAACGAACATAACGAATACCACCACCTTGGTAATCTCTACCACGCTTGTTCAAAGGAATATCTATAGTATATGTTGAAGCATCGTGGAGAGCATACAACGAAGACTGCCCACCTTGCTTGTGTCGGGCGACAAACATCATTACTGCTTCCACTGGCTGTAATAACTTCGAAGTTTTTTCTACTCCGCTTATATAAAATCGATTCCATTTTTATGATACCGAACAAATATACAGTAATCACTTAAAGATAAAGAATTTACCAATCTTACCATCAGAACTGTACAACCGTTGAGAATGTAATATCTGTCACCATTCTCATAACACATCTAGATCAGAAGTTGTAACTCACTCTTCACTCGTTTATTGTGATTCTCTGACAAGCAGAGTATATTTAGGTTTGCAATTTCTTCATAAAAATAATTCATTAACTAATAAACCAACTAGTTAGATTTTCAAATGATGCAGACACCATACTACAGAAACAGATGTGCTATAAATAAAAAAAACCTTTTGATAGTATCCGATAAAAAGCTTTTCCTGCATTGGCCGAACATATTCATCAAGAAAGTATAGCCACTCATTTTCAAAACTTATTTGTTTCATGTGCATCTCAACAGCTAGTACATTTTCATATCCACCAACTGAACGGCCTTCCTATAACACTGATTTATTTAACTGTATAATTTTTTGATTTATTTAAATGTACAATTTTTTTTAAACAAGTTATCAACATCTTATAAATTGAAAAGATAGAAAACCATTACATCACCGGAATTTATGATATTCGAAAAGAAAGAAATATCGAGCAAAATTTTTTGTCTAATTCTCAAAAATATAGAAATTTTCTTTAATCTGTCGATTGTGAAGTGAAAATAAAGTTGAAGCTTCCTACAGAATCTCAGTTAAGTCTCTAATTTCGAAATCAAGAAAAATAAATGGCGTCAAGATCAATAGAAAATTTTACTTCGTTTTTCCCGCTTGACCAATGTCCATAATGCTCCATTTCTTCAATCAATTCCTTCGTGAAATCTTCAGACATTAAAGGATAGTTATAAACATCTGGACATGGCTGAAGGATATCCCCACTATTCAATGCTTCACCATATTTTGGTGTTATGTAACGCTGTTCCCATAACTGAAATAAAACGATAAAAAACTGAATCAGAAATTCAAAAACATTGCAAACTAGAAACAATCATTGAAAAGCCACTATGGCTTTTTCTGTAGAAAAATTATAGCTATTTTCTAAAACTAAGCTAACAATTCCAGTTTTTTAAATAGATCTTACAGATTTAAAGAACTAACATGCCGATTTTTGAATATTTCATACATCTCTGGATGTAACTTCTCACCATTGTTAACGAAATCGTCAGCATCAACCAAAAACCCATAGTAATGTTGATTATCAACGTGCATAAAATATCCCTAAAAAGTTAACGCTCAATGTCCTTGGTACAGCAAACTTACAGCAGTAAACTTTTGTAAGATTGAAACAGAGAATCTCTTTAAAAATATTAAAGAATCTTATTTAAAAAGTATGCATTAACTTTAATCAATTATATTGATTACCATTGCTCGTGCGTACTCACAAAAACTCATGTCGACATCAATCATAACATTATAAGTGTAGCTATCTTCAAGCAGCTTAATCTGGAATATGTGAGATTTATCGCACTTTATTAGAAGATGTCTGAAATATAACTAAGGCTTCTATTGCTAACAAATGATACTAAGTTTATGTTCACATATAATATAGCAAGGCTGTATTATATGTGAATATAAACGAACTAGGTAAATACATATAAGTATGCATTGTATTTGTCTAAGAGTTGTAATTTATTTAAGAGTTGTTTCGAAAAGTTACCTTATCCTTGTTGATAAGTATAGCCTTGCTGATATAAGGTACATTCCAAATCCCCATTCGACTTCCATCTACTATCTCAATATAATCTTCCGAACGTAAGTAGTACCCATTACTGTCTAGCGCACCCCAAAAGTTTGAAAACAGTGTGTCGTGGACAGTTAGCAACGGAGCAATGATACCGCTGAAAAGCAAATTTCAAAGTCTCTAAAGGTTTTGCAAATAAATCCAACCGCATTTGGCTAAGTTAATAATTTATGCAAGCCACAGAATTATTCAAAACCTGCAAGATATAGAACAACAAATACTAAAATTCATCTTAAAATACATAGGATTCTGGAGCACTCGAAAACTACTCAACAGTTATGACTGATTACAGTAGTCTGCCATCAGCCATCCCTGTAGAGGATATCTGACGCTAAAAGCCATACAATTTTCCAGCAATAGCAGTTTCAACCAAGAGTCGTAATGTTTCAGGTATTACCAGATGAACATCGCCATCAAGCATGAATATAAAATTATTCAACGTTTCCTTAGCAAAATTCCTGAAATTTGAAATAATATTCTGGAAATATTCAATGGAGATCAAAACATTCTGAATACAAATTTTCTATAAATGATGACATAAATTACTAAAATTTTGCATAAAACTTGAATTAAGCAAATACAAAAATAAAAAATTTTAAATACCAACAAAGCAGCCTTCCTGGCCTCTCTTTCACCCAATTCAGTATCACTGTCGTCGTATTGCACCGTTCGATACAACTTTCTGGCAGTTTTCAAAAACTCATCAACCTAAAGAGAATGAGATGCAGAACTTGCAACATATCAAATATTACACGAAAATACAAGAAAGCTCATAATGTTATAAAATGGTGGCAAACTTTCGATTCTAATCGTTCAGTGAATTGAAATTCATGTCAATTATTTATTTAAGTAAGTCACAATTTCACACATTATAAATTTCATATGAGAAAACTGAAAATGTTTAGAAGGAACTATGCTCGGCTATATGTTTCTATACTTTTTCGTAAAAATTCAAAATCCAAGTAATTCCAATAGAAAAAAATCACCTCTTTCTCATTGTATTTCTGATTATTGTAAACATAAAGATCAATTTTGGAAGTTGGGTAAGATATACGGCTTACTGCTGCCAAAAATTCTCGTATAAAAGGAATAGGTTTTGTAATGAAAAGTGCCAGTGTAATTGATGGCCATATGTTTTCCGATGTTTGCTGTAAAGAAAGCCTACTATGAAACTGTATGCTTCGGGCATTTTCATAGCACTACTGCTACAATCTTACTTTTCATTATAATTTAATTCACATTTTATTATCAAATTTTGTTTACATATTCAATTTCAGATCTCGAATCTGATATTATAAACAAATAACTTACTAGCAAGTTTCTCGTGCCGCATTGTCGATAGCCATATTCGGCAGACCAAGCCTTACCGACATAGTTACCTAAATGATTCAGTAACTGACTTCCTTTCCTACTTCCAAGGATTATTGATGGACGGGTATTTCGTACGAAGTTGTGCACCTAAGAAACTCTGCTAAATAAAGAAATTAACGAGAATGAATTTATCGTATAGATAAAGGGATAAGTTTTTTCAACGTGGGCTGAAAAGACGTTTGCGCAACCAAACAATTTTATTAAAATAGCGGGAAGCTGAAAAGTTGAAGTGATAATCGGATTGAAGGAATGGTATAGGCATAGTTTTATACAAGATTACAAATTTACATAGGCATCGCCACTGTCATGGAATGAGAGCATAATCTCAGAACTTGCACTGTCGATATTTTGAAATAATATTCCTTTTGTATCAAATACTAATCCCAGGCTGTTCTATAAAAAGTTAAAAAGAAATATACATATAGTGTATGCAAATATGCCTTAAAACAAATGCATTTTCAGAAATAGCGTAATATGCATCTGTAATATTTGAATAAGAAAGAAGTTTAAAATTTCCCTAGAAATTTTGAAACTATTAAAAAAATAAGACTAGTTTACCACTGAATCACCAGAATATAAGCTGGTGTATGATAAAGTTTTGCCATCCTGTGATCCAATAAAATCAAACACATTCAAAACATTTGGGACAAAACCAATCAAAGCGATTGATCGAGCTTGACTAAACAATAATTCCAATAAATATTTCTTTAAAATATCCTTGAAGTAGTATAGTTAATGAACGTTGAATTTATTCAACAATATATGCTTACTGTTGTTCTGACACCATTTTCGGTGTAAGGAGTGCACGACAACCGTTGCAGGTGTTGAGAAACTGACAAATAATTTCGCTTTCATCTGACGTAATAATAGCATCAAATCTAAAGAGATGTTATTCTGTTGAATTAAGAGTAATTTAAAAAACTCGGTGGAAAACCATTTTCAAAAAAATCAGAGTTTCCTGACAGAAAAGAAATAAACTTTGCTACAACATAATAAAACAAAAATCCGAGATTTTAACCCATCAATAATAAGCAAAATAGTAGAGTTTGATATCCTGAGTGTTCCAAGTTCTATTGCCAGCATTTGTAATAATTTGCCAATGTCCTAAATTGATAAAAAGAACTGCACTTATCGCAACTTTAATAAACAATAATGAATTGGAAAAAAACAATAAAAAATTTGAAAGCAATACTAGAATTTCCATACTGAACATTCGTAATTAACATGTCGATTTGATAAATCTGTCGTTGATAAAATACATAAATTCAGGTCCATAGCTTAATTGAAAAAAAAAAAGGAATAAAACAGAAACTTTGTCATTTTCATGATGATTGATAGAACTCTGTCCTAAGTTGAGAATCTTGAAATCAATATTGTAATGTCCAGCTGAACACTTCAACCTTTCTAAAGCATCACTATTGCCATTGGCCAAAGCGAACGTTGTTAATTTATAAATCGAAGAATCACACTTGTCTGTTAATGATGATGATACCAAAAGTAGAAGCAAGATGACCAAGGAACACATTGCTATTGATGAAATGAATTTGAAATTTATTCAGGTTAATTGCAGAAAAAAATTTATTACCTGAAGAATCCGTCAAATCGAATAAAAAATACTTTGCTAAACCTTCGCAATTAGAATGTTATCGATTATTAATTTCATCTCAAATTTTTAGAAAAATAAAAATGCATGTTGATGACCTCGTGAAGCTATTACAACTAAATGGCTTCTACGATTCTGTTCCTTAACTAGAATTATCATCCATCAGAAGATCAAATTGTCTTTACGGCACCATTATCAATGCATTTTTATCTTCACAATTTGGAGTACTATCATATTGACCAAATAGCATATATAATGATACTTTCTCAACTATTTAGCTTATTTGAAACATTATAGAGACTTCTTTCAATTCTTCGTCGATACCATCAGAAAAAAGAAATGGATTATCCTCCAAAAATATTGTTAAGGAAATTCCAATCACCATCAATATTATAATATATTATGTCTTTAAATTTATTGACGACAATCATTTCATTATATAAATAATATGTAACAAATGAGAAATATATAGACTGGAATAACTTCCGAAATATAATTTACAAATGACATTTCTACCTCGATTCAAGACTAAAAGCTAAATTTTGAAGCAAAATTTTCGAGCAAAGAATCAATCGATACCAAATATTTTTACGGATAAAATAATTCACGAAATGTAAGATTTCAAATGCATAAATTACTGAAAAATGCAAGTCGTAGCAATATTTCAGAATAAAATAGTTTATTTAAGCCAAAACAAAGATAACTTCAAGAATTCAGAACCGCGACTTTTTATAAAGGCCAAATCTTGAAACAATGAAGGCAAAAAACTGAAACAATACAGAATCATTAGGCAGTGCCAAAAATTTTTTAAATTCACAAAAAAACTTAGCAATTCATTAACAACCTCAACTCTTCAAAAATTAAAATTTGAGGCAATCAGCTATTTTAAACAAAAACCGACTTTAAATTTTGAAAACATGGAAGACTGAAGAAAGTCAACAGAAGCATATAACGGTAGGAAAATAAGTATTACTTATGGATTAATAAAGGATACAGCAATGTAACGAGTCCCTCGAGTAGTTTCCAAACCTTCATGTAGATGCGTCAGACGACCCGGAAATATCATTGAATGGCCTGAAAAATCAAAGTTGAAATAAATAACAATTAGCATTTTGCTCGAAACAATCCCATCCTGTCAAGATCAATTTTTACAGTAAGCAAGTACAGCATAAATAGAACAAGAGAAACAGATGCTACTAAATATCTCCCAAACCTAAATGACCTATGTATCTGTTTTTGATTTGAATAGTCTGCTGCTTTGCAGAAAAATGATTGTTGGAGAGGTTTATTCTTGGTAGAAGAGGAGCTTGTTCTACATGTTATAAGACAATAATCAGAAGAGTATGAATGATTAGAAGACCGCCTTGGAAACAGTGAATTACACTACATCCTATTTACTGTAAACACACAATGATAGTAAACAAAGAATCGCCTGGAACTGATGGTTAATAAAGCATTGCTTGTGCATATAATAGATGAAGCCGGTGATAAAACGGGAGTTATTTAATGTCAATCATTTGTAGTATTCTCTAGAATAATGAACTGAGATATTAAAGCATATCAAATCATTTGACAGAGAATACTTGAAAAAAAGATTTCCATAACATAGATTTCACGGATACAACGATACTTTATGTAAATACTTTCATATTATAAAGTTATTAAGGGTTACGACAGTATCATGACAAACTCATTTGGGAAGGCGATAATGAAGTTACGAGTAAATAACTGCAAATTATGTCTCTTAATATCAAAATTAGTAAGAACTTCTATTGCAATATTTTAACATTTATAAGAGGCTTCAGCGATTATTTTTTAGCAGTGGCTAGTCTATTATATGCTTTTCCAATATTTTAATTGTTATCAAAAAAAAGGAGAACAAATGGTACATCATACTGAAATTTGAAATGGAACTCAGCAAATAAATTTCAAACTCCATCATTCGATATCAAACGGAGGCTGGTATAGCTGATATACTGCTTTTAAAATACTATTAAAATTCAACTTACCAACAACATCAGCATCAAAAGTGCAATTATATCGTAGGAAATGCACACCACCTCCATCATAATCCACTCCTCGTTTATTCAATGCAATATCAATACTATAAGTTGAAGCATCGTGATGAGGCTTCAGCGAAGCTTGCTCTTCTGGCTTATAACGTACAACAAACATCATCACGGATTCCACTGGCTGAAAGCGTAATTTAAATTCTGGATGGCAAAAGGGCAAAGAAAGCTTTTTTTTTAATATCAATATTACATAAGCAATACATTTTCGATGGAAAATCTTAATTTCAATCCATTTATTCACTCCCTTAGTTTTGATTCATATCAATCGATAGTTTAGTCTCGGTAATAATAACCTAACCTGTTTGTAGTAACCAATAAACAATTTTTCTTGTATTGGACGAACATATTCATCTAACATGTACAACCAATGTCGTTCGAAACCAATCTGCTTCATATGAATATCACGAGTGGGTACATTTTCATAACCACCTACTAACCTTTCATCCTGAAATTTAATGTCATAATGAGTAAATACAGCTCGAAATTTTTATTTCATTCCAAATTATTTTTCATTAGAACGCCAAGCACAATGATTAAACCTTTGGTAACTCAAATAGATAATACATTCCATTTTATGCCATTTTTAGTTCACAAAAATAAATATGTGAAACAACCGGTCAACAGTTAAAATACCTTATGTTTACCATCTGACCATTTTCCGTAATACTCACATTCTTCAATAAGTTCTGCACAAAATCTTTCGGACATAAGTGGAAAGTCGTATACATCCTGACATATTTCCGGAATTGGTGTAGAACCATTGAGAGAAGCAAAATAGTTTGGATGTAGATACCACTTTTCCCATAACTAAAAGAATTTAAATATTGATCATTCATCTTTAATAATAAAATGTTGAAAACTACAGTAAAAACATATTCTGTCAATGTTTCAACATCAGTAACATAGCAAAACACTGAGGCTCAATCTTTATAACGTTAAAATCATTATCAGAAAAACTAGTAAAACTTTAGAGTAAGCGAAATTCTAAAAAAAAATGAACCTCTTTATTATTGAAAATTTCGTACATTTCCGGATGAACTTTGGACGATTCAACGTCTTCACTGACCACCAGAAAGCCGTAGTAATGATTGTTATCAAGATAAAGAAAATGACCCTGTAAGTTAAAAAGTTGGAAACGAAAAATAATTAAAGAATAAAAAAAGAGAAACATTCACTTTTCAACAACCTGAATATCCTTTTAAAAGATGGCGTATCCCCTGCACATCAGTGCTGCACTGGGAGTCACACTGCACTGAACGAAAATTTTTTAATTATATTATATCTAATACTTACTTTATCACGTGCAAATAAACAAAAGCTCATGTCAGGATCTAATTTCTCGTCATAATAGTATGCATTTGATAAAGGCATCAGCTGAAACAAATAGTGATAACAATAATAATCAAATTGCAATTGGATGTATTCAATATAATCATTAATGTAATAAATCGACATTGTGGTCTAAAGTGAAAAGGAAAAATAAGTCTTTGATGAGTGAACTGAAATTCTTAATTTAAAACATCGAGTAGTTTTTCCAGCACAATTTCGAGTAAAAACAAGGAAGAATGAGACAAAGTTACACACCTTTCCTTTTGCAATTACTAAAATCGAACTAATAAACGGCACATTCCAAATTCCCACTTCTTTACGATCAATGATATTCAGATAATTCTCGGATCTAGCATAGTATCCATTACTAGCGACAGCGCCCCAAAAATTGGTGAACAACTTCCATGGTTGCCCAACTAAAGGTGCAAGAATCTCTCTGAAACATTTAAAATTTATTTTCTAACTGGATATTACAGCAATTAAACTAATAATTTTTATCAGATTTCCTAAGAATAATACAAAAAAAGAAGCACTAAATATATTACAATTTCGCAGCTAATCCCTATTCCACAGTAAAAAGTCAGAATTACAAATTATTATCGATTTTTTCACTTTTGGAATCAAGCGCTACTTTTTTGAAAGCCAACTGTTTAATTTTTTCATGAACTTACAAATTGTTTTCCTTCATTGTATGAACTATAAGCAGCAAGTCTTCTGAGTTATTTAAGTGTACATCGCCATCAATCATTATTAGATAATCACTGCCCAATGCCAAACTTTGTTTCCTGAAAGAAAAGTCAGAAAAAACTGCTGAAAATTAACATTAAGAAAGAACTGAACAAAACTTTTAGATTTAAGTGAGTTGCACAAAAAAACTTTTTCAATCATTATCTTTAAAAAACACACTAAAATGAAAGTACGAACAATGAAAACGCACGAGCTTCACGCTCTCCCATTTCTGTTGTACTGTCATCGTAAATTAGCGATCGGTAACGTCCTTTCCCATTTTCAACAAAGTTACTGACCTAGAAAAATCACTGAAAGTTGTGACAACTAAACGGATGGTGGGCATAATTTTGACTTCTTCTAAAAGCTTGTTGTTCAAATCAAGTTCACTAGACCTCATGCCTAAAGTCATTCTAATTTAACATTAAAGAGAACCCAATTGTGAAACTAAATAAAATGCAAGCACTTTCTTTTTTCGATTTTTCACTGTCACTTGGAAACAATGATCAAGAATATTGTTATGAAATGATATTTATAATAAAATAGAAATGCTTACTTCCTTTTCCACAAACATTTGATTGCAATAAACATATAAATCAATTTTGTCATTTGTATAAGCCAATTTCTCAATATTTTCGAAAAACTCACGAATAAATGGTATCGGTTTGGAAATAATGACCGACAAAAATAACCTCGGTAAATCAACCTTTTCAAGATCCTGAATTAACATTCGTCAAAGTTCGTGTCGTGAAAACCGAAATAATTTATGATAAATATGTTTAAATGATCTTAAAAAATTATGTTATAGAAATATTTCTCACTCAAGTAACTCATCGCAAAAATTACAATTTAATGAGTTCACAAATATAATGTAATCAATCATTTAGCTAACTCATCCTACAACCATGTTTATCTTCAATGACTAAATTTTGCTTATCTTCAGAAAGTAGTTCAAATGCAGATATTACTGGTATGATAATTAGTCTTATTATGCTGCAATCAGTTCTTCCTTTACACAACTTTCCCATGTTCGTATACCTATTTCTATATCCAAGAGGAATAGGATCACATCAGAATGTGCTTGTTGCAAACCATTCTGCTCTCTCTTTCTCTTTATATATATATATATATATATATATATACATGCAGGAGGAGAAAAGGATCATTACTTCTTCGACTTTTATTTCATGTCCTATTATACTCTACGTGTTTAGGTGTTATAGTACTAGTACAGTCTACATTCAAGCGAATGCTTTCTTGACTGTTATTTCAACAAACAGTATATTGTATATTCTCGCGGATCAACAAGCAATGAAAAATCCTCAGTAAATCACTAATAATTCTCTTATAATGTCCAAGAAGATAAAAATTTCTCTAAAAAGAAATCAGTCTTCACCAACTATTTATTATGTCAATACAAAACTTTCCCCAAAACAAATTAAAAAATTCATAACAGTTCGTCAAATAAGAAGTTGCGCATGAAGGTAGAGAATTCAGAATAGAAAGGGCAAAAGCTATAAAATGGAACATATAAATTTCAGCTTGATTTAATTTAATAACAAAATGATAAATTTCAGCTTGATTTAATTTAATAACAAAATGAGCTAATATTCTCCTATTTAAATTATGTATTTGAAACAAAAAATATATCACACTTTTGCTTTTGTTTTAAATCAAAATTCCTAGTAGTACCGTTGTTATGGAATGTGCTTTTACTGTGGCTATCCTGAGCGGATCAATGTAGTTACCGAAATGATTCAAATAGAGCTTGCTTGGACCATTTCCATGTACAACCAAAGGGTATGTGTTATAAATAAAATTGTGGATCTGAAATAGAATACGAATGCGTTATTGAATTTAATTTAGAAGTCTAGTTTTCTATTAAGAAAATATATCTCTACCTATCCAATATTTCGAAAAAATATTACCATCTTGTTCAACTAAATTCATACTCTTCATCAGAATAGAAAACAGCTGCCCGTAGAATAAAAAATAACTCACAGAATATGTTCCGCTTCTTTCATCAATGATTTCTAATTTTACATCGCTCGATGCGCCATTTAGATTTTGAAATAAAATGCTCATTGAATCCAGTGTCATTTTCAGTGATAGCTTCAAATGAATTTCATGTACTCCAAATTTTCTGCCAATATTTTTTTTAATTCGATGCAAAAAACTTCAAAGAAAATCTAGCAAAATTAAGCAATATAAAAAAAGAAAATGATGTCTAAGATTTTTAGAAATCAATGACTATATAGTCCAACTTAGCAAAACTCATTAGTATGGTGAATGCCAGTAGAGAAGATGATGCAGAAATTTTTCCGAACGTGTAATCATGCCACAAGAAGGAAACTAGAAAGTCGTAGTGATTAAAGTAACTAAATGACTGTGCCCAAAGGGAAGATAATAAGATGATCATATTACGAATACGTATCATCAATTTTTGCAACACACTGTGTTGGTGATCATGCTGCATATACTTATACAAGCTCTAAAATCTCAATTTTCATCCGCCTCAATTAAATGCAAAAGGAAAATGAAGCATTCCGATAATTATTTACTTTCAAAACGTTAGCTTAGATAGAAAGTTTGATGTATTATTAATGCGTTTAACATTTTTGGAAATGAAAATTAAGGCACAAATGTTAGGAATGAAATCGTTTTTTACGCTACAATTTATACTTTTATAAAAAATTTCAACTATTAATTCTAGTTATAAAGATGTTTTTATATGATCTGATCATACTATGAACAGTCAACCTATTTCAACAATACGGTAAGTAAATTATATCTGCAAATTGCGCAAAAACCAAAGAAAGTGTGGAATCGGAAAAATTATGATTACAAACTAACTCGTATTTGTTCATCCAAATAGAGTTGTGTGTAATATAGTTGGTCGTCATCATTGTCTTCAACATCTTTGTAACTTATTAAGCTCCAAATCTCAGGAGCGAAGCCCATAAAAACTCCAGAATTCAAATACCTGCAAACGTTCCAATAATGCAATTCAAAAGTATTTCGCTTCCGTCAAACAATCTGTAAATTTATACCTATAGCCAAAGTTAACAAGCGGATATTTTGGTGCCAAATTCTTGTCAGGCCAGCAAAACGGTTCCGACGAAAATACAACACGAAATCCATCAAAAAAGGTGAAGAATTTTCGCAAAATTTGTTCTTCATTGCTCCAAAATATCACATCGTAGCTGAAATAAAATCTTAATAATGGCTGTTATTAACTGAAAATATTCATAAGTTTGAAAAAAGAAATATTTAAAATTCGTTAGAAGTCTACGTGTGAAAACCACATGTAGATATATAATATATATATATTTATACTATATAAATTTTAATGCTTACGCGTCGACAAACAATATTATTAAATCATCTCTGTCTTTGTATTTTTCCAAAGATTCTCGCAAAATGCGTATTTTCTGTCCACCACCCTAAAAATGATTCTTTTGAAAACTTTAAACAAACTGATCCTTTAGTTGAGCTAATATTGACTGCGCGAAAAAAAAGTTCCAGAAACGGGATATACTTATTTAGCACAGTAATTCCGAAAAAGAATGACGGGATAGTTAGCTATAAAAATTCTAGGTAACTCAAAATAGAAATCAATGTTTGAAAGGACAAAGAAAATCGATCGACCTGTTCGATGCGAGTATTGCCGCCTTGCCATTCTTCGCCCATGCCAAATACTTTTAGTCTGATGTCATTAGCATCAGCCGTGCGTTTCAATCGCCTTAAGCCATCTGTCTCCTCTGTCGCAACTGTCACCACGAGCAACTCCGGCACGCTGTTTGTCATTTCCATCATTACTGTTCCATATATCAATGCACTACCTAACATTAATATCCATAATGTTGTCATCCCTGAGAAATTATTCAAATTTTAAAGAATTCAATTAATTTTAAAATTACGTGGTTACGATTTCTATTAAATTCTAACACGTTGAAGTAGAATTGCTTTGAATAAGAAAGATTACAATTCTATGCTAATCTGTTGCAAATTTCTATAAATTTAAGCATATTGACAATAAGGGTTAAAGGTCAAATTTGAATTTAATGAATGTGTGATATTTCCCACTTAATTAGCATTATCTTCAAGGATGTGCTGGAGATGTTGTAACGGAGAGAAAAATAATTTATTTTTACAAACAGTAAATTACTATAACAGTCTAAGCCAACGATAATTAATCTTAATTTGTAAATTGTAATATTTTATTTCCGTACAACTGCACTACTCAAAGCGGAAAAATTCATGCCCTTTCTTATTGCACGTCAATGAAATGTTTTAGTTTGCATGCGGATATTTTAGTTTGCAACAAATGGTAATGTATGATATCCCTATTACATGCAGGTGACGTGAAATATCCATTAAAGTCAAAAAATAGAATCAATAAGCTATTTAAAAATACAGCGTATAGCCTTTCTGCAGTACAGGATGAATTCAACGTATACTTTTTTATTAAGTATGGTTGATATCAATCATGATAGAAATATATTAAAATAAAAATGGTACTAGAAAAATTACACATGACTAGAACCACGCCAGAACACGTTGGTGATTCAGGTATATTAGAGAGGTCAATACACGTCCGTGATCATATTCGTGAACACTGAAAACCTGTTTAAATAAATAGCGTAAGTAATTGTTTTGTAACTAACACTATGAGATTCTTTCAAGCTAATTGATCATATTTGACGTAACCTGACATGACCTAACGTTACACTCATCAAATAATTGCACATTCCTGATGTAATAATATGGAACGTATAAGATTATGCTCCAAATATGTCTTAATTAGCTTTCTGAATATGACAAAGGCTAAAATCATATTTATACAATCGAGTAGACAGACATAAGGAAACGTACAAGCTGTACGATTGAGAAAATTTGATGTTGGATAGAGGAAATATGAAAGCTTATGGAAAGCAAGCATTCTGGAAAGTTGCAGCTGTTATGCAAAATGTTGTAAATGAGGGAGAGATTGGAGATGGAAGAGACGAAGGAGCTATGAAAGCGAAAATATCGCAGTGCAAGTATCCCATTTATCATTTTTGCAATATATAGTGAACGGCAATGATACATAGACAGAGAAGTTCGAATTTAATGTTGACCTTAAGGTCTTTTGTTGGGAAAGAAGAAAACGAAAGTGTTGTAGAAAGAGTGAAAGTCAAAAGCCTGTCATTGGTGAAAATTTTCTTCCTTTTTTTATGAACATAGATTATATTGAATGATGAAGAAGAAAAGACAAAGGAAAAAATGAACTACAAAGAATAATAATTAACGACAATTAATTAATTAATAATTTGAAATTTCACTGAAAATAGAGAAGAAAATTATTTAGAATTTCTGTAATGAATTGATAAATCGATACATCTGTTATAACGATCGATAATTTGAAATTAGGATTAAATTAGAATTGCAATATTTTATTCAACAGTTGACAAAAGCAATCTAACTTTTTTAGATTAATCACTTGTTTTGTTTTACTGGGCAATTATTTTTTGCGATACATAAAAGATTAGTTATACAATTACAAAATGATATAACATGAGTGTTAAAAATATTAGCTTATGATAATTAATTATTTTATTAATTAGTTGATAAAAATTATCAACTCAATATTTTTGTGTGTATAGCCACTAGTTGTGAACACTTTTATTGAAAGAAATCATTTTTCAAGAAAACCTGTATCATTTCATCAAAAGAATTAAATTATTTTTAATATTAAGGATAAAATTGTTATACTAGTTTTAGATTATCAGAATAATAATAATGCGAGGAAGCAGAATAGCTAGACTATAAAACTGATGAAATTTAAACTAGTTGTTCTAAATGTTTTTCTTATTAGAAAGTTCTATATAAAACTCCTTCGGGCAAAATAAAATCAAATAATATCGTTATTTACAAATATCATTATGAATGCTAATCATATAAGATTATGCTTTATTGTTGTAATTGGATAAAATGGGTAAGGAATAGGTAATAAAATTCATAAAAATTTTTTGTCTCATTTGAAATAATTAGCTATATTGCCTGGTAGCATATTAATTTTATGTTAGTTACAGTTTCACTTTCATTTGTTAAATTTTCTACTATTGAAAGCAAAATAGATTTAATCATTATTATATCAAATATTTGAATCAATTTATGCTTTTCATAGATTGGTTTTAAATTGGAAAATGCATTGGGAATTATTTTTTCATTTTAAAAATATTGAATTTGTTGTGTAATTTGAATTGAATGTAGTATGATGTATAATTTGAATTGAATATGGTATTGAATTTGATGTATAATTCGAATTGAATATAGTATGATGTATAATTTGAATTGCATATAGTATTGAATTTGTTGTGTAGTTTGAGTTGAATGTGGTATGATCTATAATTTGAATTGAATATAGTACTGAATTTGTTGATAATTTGAATTGAATGTAGTATGATGTATAATTTGAATTGAACATAGTATTGAATTTGTTGTGTAATTTGAATTGAATGTAGTATGATGTATAATTTGAATTGAACATAGTATTGAATTTGTTGTGTAATTTGAATTGAATGTAGTATGATGTATAATTTGAATTGAACATAGTATTGAATTTGTTGTGTAATTTGAATTGAATGTAGTATGATGTATAATTTGAATTGAACATAGTATTGAATTTGTTGTGTAATTTGAGTTGAATGTGGTATGATCTATAATTTGAATTGAACATAGTACTGAATTTGTTGATAATTTGAATTGAATGTAGTATGATGTATAATTTGAATTGAACATAGTATTGAATTTGTTGTATAATTTGAAGTGAATATAGTATTGAATTTATTGTATAATTTGAATTGAATTTAGTATTGAATTTGATGTATAATTTGAATTGAATTTTAAAAATGAATTTGATGTATAATTGAAATGATTATAAAAGTTCAAAAATATTATTATTATTTTCATCAATTTTTCAAACTGAGAAATATACCTTTATGATTTCATATTTAATTTAATCGATATAATATTAAAAAAGATGGCGGAAATGATAAAATCATTTTTGATGATCATTTATTTTTTTAAATTTTAGCTAATGCATTTCCCTTAATTGTTTATATTGACCGACCGATTTCTTCTCTTTCGTTTTTTTTACCGATTCTTTAATGAACATGAAACATTCGCTCAACGACTAGTTTCAACGTAAAAAAGAATTATCGGTAATTGGTAACAGCGCACAACATGGATACGCATTGATGTGTAATATATGTAACGATAAAAGATGATGATGATGATGGATCGTAGAGTTTCCTGTTAACTTAGCGACCGGTTCAATTTTATTCAGGTTTGTAAATCAATAAATGTTATTATTATATGTAATATCCAATTTCTTGTTTTCTTTGTTTTTCAATTTTTTTTTTAATGAAATCCATCATTTAGAAATATGCCTATTACAATTTCATTTTACAATGTATCGTATTTGCAATGAAATTTAATATTTTATGAATCAATAAGAGCTTTTTATTCATACATATTTCTTTTCTTCAACAAGATTGGTTGGTTAGTTTTTATTACGAAATAATTTAATCGAATAGAAAAAGATAAATCATATTATCCAATAGATAATTAATTAATTAATTATTCGTTCGTAAAAATGATAAGAAATTAAAGCATTTGAATGAAACGTTATCAATTTAGCAAGCAACTCTATATTTTGAAGTTATATTTTTAAGGCAACATTTTAATTTCTTTTGTACAAGAATCGATTTCTTGATTTCATCAATCAATTAGAAGCGATTTTAAAATTTCATTAAAAGGGTGGTATTGTTTTGTAATTTTTCAATTCCAGTTTTTTACTATTGCAAAAGATTATTTAAACTTAAAAGAATCTTTTTGTTAGATCAATGTGTGAATAATATCGTTAGATTAACGAAATCGTTTGTTGTTGAATAAGTTAGAGAGGAAGTAATTATAAAATAACCTTGAAGGAGAAGTCATTAATATGAAAAGGTTTAGGATTTTATATAATTGAACTCTTCGAAATTGCAAATTTACCTCTTTCTTATACCAAAAAAAGAAGACTTTCTTCAACTCTTCTTATTAAATTGTTAATATTTCGTATTTTGTATTTTTCTCTCATATTCAGAAAATTTTGCGTCGTATTGCGTCTTTTTGAACTGTTTAATTTGTGTCGCAGATTTCTTTTTGAACTAATTAATTTGCGTCATAGTTTTTTTGAATTAATTAAATCTGAAAATGTACAAAATTACGGTTTCTTCTCAACGATCAGATACTAATAGCAGAATGAGAAATGTACAAAATGAATTGTCTGCATCTGAAAAGTATCACAAAGAGAATTTTAAAAGCAATAATTTTAGCTAATTCATCTTGAACCACTTAAATGTACAGGAAAATATAGAAATAGAAGAAAAGGTAATCGTAGAATAGTTTCTACTAGAAAATTTACAACGATGCATGCATACGAATGGTTCATGTTATATTAATTCATTACAATTTTGCTGCAATTGTGCAACATTTTCTTTAATGTCTTACGGTACGGTACTTTCACATTGTGCATAATATCATTAAACTGATAAACAGATTGAAATATCAGTTCGATTTGATAAAAATGCTTGGAGAGTAATTTCTCAAGATAGCGGCTAGTTATCGAATTATGAAAGATTAAATATTTTCCCATTTCTTTTATTAAATCATTTTTTTAAACATAAATATTGTTTTTGGATTTGAGAGTAACCAAATATACCGAGATGATAAGGCTATTGTTTTTGGCAATAACTCATTTACTAATGTTTCCTCTAATATGGACTAGCCATTCTTCAATGTGATAAAAAATTGAAATCTTTATTTATGCGCATTCTATCACTAATTTCATCTGTCCATAATAAGTTTTGAGTGCATTCTAATTTGTATAGTCATTTCCATTCTAATCTCCTTTATATAGTTATCACCAATACTGTCATCATTTTCTTATTATCCTAACAATTTTTTAATAAATTAATCACTGTAATTCATTGGATAATTGACGAATTGTAATTACTAATCATCACAACAATAATTATTCATCATCTTTTTCCAAACAATAATTAGTTTTTCATTATCTCTCTTGAAGCACTGTTGTGATGAAATGCTTGAAATTTATAGCTGAATAATCGCAGTTGTTTTAAATTATTTGCAATGGAAGGTTACGAAAATTTTTACAAATGCTACTATCCATCTTTAAGTCAATAAATTTCAACATATGCAGTAGTTACAACATATTTGATAAATATGCATAATGATTATATGATATGATATTTCTGTATATCATATAATCATTGTGCATATTTATATAAAAAAAAGTATATAAGAAAAAGTTTTATGCATTCAATTCAACAATTCTTAGCTTTATCATTAAGCAACTATCAAAAGAAAATAAACATTCACTATGATTATACTTTATAATCTCTTTGTTACCAATACAGTTTTATAATAATAAAACTATTCCGGTAACCTGAAAGATTACTTTAGTGTCAGGAGAAATTATTCCGATTTATTGTTAGAAATGAAATCTACAACAATCGCTATAAGTTAACAATACAAATATCAAATTGGATTTACTTTTAAATAGAATATAAGGTGAAGGACATTCAATCATTTCTCTTATTGTCTATCCGAATGATACATATATACATCTCACGATTTTATGAAATTAAATATCGATAGAATTTTGGAGAATTTATGAAAGCACTTCGAAGTACAATATTAGTGCACACCATTATTTGTGACGATACATTTGAAAAGAAAATACCATGCATAGATATTAATACTTACTCTCTGTCATCACTAAAATTACCTTCGAATGCTTAGTAATTCATTATCATAGTCATTTACCTATGTTCGTTTGAAATATATGAAAGTAATCGATAATTTATTAATAGAATAAAGTCAACGTTCTTAAAATACTTTAATGAACTTTGAAACTTTTTATAAATTTTCAACTTTCAAATTGATAAACTTTGCATTTACGACATTTTTTATGACAATAATATATACCTGTCTTAATAGAATCAAAAGTTTATAGTCAGCTTTATTGGTAGAAAAGGTGCAGCTGTTCCAAATTTTTTTCAATGACTAATTTTTACTGATTCATCATCCTTTCTTAAAAACTTGCTGTAAAGGATTTCCTTTTCTTACTAATTGTTTCGATTCCTCTTTGGCAATATAATTTTGATTGGCAAATTTAAAATATGAAATCGAAGTATGACAATCCTTAAATTCTCTCATTAAATATTAAACAATGATCAATGTTCACCAATATTGAATGATCAAATAAAATCAAATCTGTAAAATTTTTTTCCATCGAATAAAATTTTTATAAGTAAAATTTAATTTTCATTTTCCTTCCATTTAAATAGGACTGAAATTGGACTAATTGTTATTTACATTAACAAATCTAAAAATTGTTCAATATCGCTGCATAGTGAATGAATGATGAAGTGGCAGTTTATTTATTCATCATTCCTCTTCAACATTTTATTTATATCCTTGGCCTAAAAAGCACAGATCTAACAACGACCAAAATTATTTGTCTACAAATCTATCACTACGTTCCTAGTTGATGTGCTAAATAAACTTGATATAGTTGAAATTTTTTCAAATTTATTTCAATGATATGCCAAAAATATAAATTATCTCATTTTCGTCGTTATTACATTTTATAGGAAATGAATAATGGTAATAAATTATGCTTATATGAATTAATATATTTGAATTAGATGAAATAATTGAAAAACTCTTTAAGTAAATATGCTTTCATAGCAATAAATTCATTAGAGATATAATTAGGAGAGACCATACGACATTATGGTTAATTTATGGGATTGATTGATAGCTAAATTAATTATCAAAATTAATTTATTTCATTTTATGCATATCAATTATTTGATTATTACGATTATTGCTATAGATCTCATCTATTCATTTTTCAATTTCTCATAAACATCGAAAAAAGTATTTTATATATTAAAACAAATTATTTGCAGCTTTCAATGAATTGTTTTAAAATGAGGCACTCATCGAATTGAATCAGATCGATTCGATATTTTGCTTCTTTTTATTAAACTTTTTCTTTATTATCAATTAATTCAGTTAGATTAGGAAAATCGAATTTCATAGAATGAATTGAAGAATATCGAGCTTTTTTTTAAAATACATCAAAAAATATTGACAGCTTTTGTTTGACGTCAACAAAACTAATTTCGTTTACATTTAGAAACTAAAACATTCATAAAGAAAAATTACATTTTTTTAAAATCCATTTAAATAATTTATAGCTTTTTAATTTTATGCGGTAGAATTTGTTTCAGTTGAATTGTTTTTTTACGCTTCATCTTTGTTTATTAATCGTAAACAATTTGTTTATTTTTTTAATTTTAAATTTCGAATTTATGAATTTCATTTTGCTCATAGTAATGTTGTTTGTTTATTTGGAATGTGTACAGAAATGCCTTTATTATGAAAACTATTCAATTTAGAATAGTTTTGATGCGGTAATTATAAAGGCTTCCAAGTTTTTTGGCAGCTTATTTACTTTTAATATTATTTTTTTTAATTGTATTTTTCTTTGCTTAATTATATTTCATTTTTATTTTCTTACTGTATAAAATACATTCAATATACTGTATCATCAAAAAATATATATATAACAAGTTGAATAAATAAATAAATAAATGAAAACAAATTTTAATTTCACTTTTTTTAATTACAATTAATTTCGGATAGGATGGTTAAGATTCGTTCTAAACTTTTATTTATCGATCTAATTTTGGATTAAATTATTTTCCATAATACTAGCAAAATGTAAATTTTTTTGATCCGTAAATAGCTTATCTAATTGCGATCGATTAAAATGCGATTGGATCGCTGGTTCGATTATGAAAGTGGACATGCATGGTGTGAGAGCGCTTACAAATATCAAATTATTTCGATTGTTGCTGAATTCGCTAATACCGTCAGTTGTTTGCTGATATTTTTCGTAAGCTTAGCTTATAATGATAAGAAGAAAGCAGTTGTAGCATGAAAAGTGATATATATCAATTAAACTTCACTTACTTTTTTTTTATCTCCTAGTTTCAACGATCAAATTATTTCAGCAACAAAGTAGTTGAAATGAAAAGATTCTGAATAATATTATCTTACAAATATGCTTTTAGATGAAAATGAAAGTCGTATGATATCTTCAAATGAATCATCTCTTCATCACTAAATTTTACAAATGAATCATCTCTTCATCACTTAATTTTACAAATGAATCATCATCCCTTCATCACTTAATTTTATATTTAAAAAATTCATTATCTATATTCTTACACAAATAAAAAACTCTTCAACTCATTTAATGTTAAATATAATTAAAATTTAATACATGAATTTGATAATTGATTATTATTTCAGATAACAAATTTACCATTGATAATGTTACCACTTGTGAATATTCTCTTAATAAGACCATATATTGAGACGGTTAATTGGATTGTAATTATGCCTCATATCCTTCTTACAATAAATGGTATCGCATCTAGTTATTATCATGCCACCCTCAATCTTTTTGGTGAATTTTATTTAATATTATCAATTCATTTTTTTGTTAAGAAATTACTAAATTGAAAATTGATAATATCAAGCATTAATCTCGATAGCATAAAGGATAATAGAAATTTTAACTTTATCATAGCAATATTATAAATAATTTTGAAATTTCTTACAAATAAGAATATTCATCAGTAAGATATTTACCTGTTCTATTTCAGGTCAGCTAGTTGATGAAATTAGCATATTATGGTTATTGATGATGTGCTTGGCTGCTTATTTTCCAGTTTTCAGTTTCTACCCACAACATTATCACAAATATATGTTTGTTTTCATATTTCTTTGATCAAAGAAGATAATCAGTTTCTATGTACAACAATATCTGGCAGCATCTGCCACACCATTCATTCATTCCTTTTGCTCATAGTTTCTAGATGAAATACACTGGAAATTCTTTCATTCTTTGAAATTATGAAATCAATGAATTCTGTCGAAAAATTCGAAATAATCAATAATCATCAATAAAATGAAAGTAATAGTAAACACGAGATCATTGGATATAAATTATTTTGTAGTATATAGATAATAAAGCTGAGTAAAGGTTAATAACAAAAAATTATTTGAATTTGTAATTGTTAGAGCCGATGATATGAAGAGTTATTTGATGTTGACTATTTACAGTTCCTTAGAATAATGAATTAATAGTCACTTAGAATAATGAATTAAAACATGGAACAAATATACCAAATCATTTGACTTGAAATATTTTTGGCAAATGATTCCTATAATATGAATATTAAGAGCACAACGATACATTTTTTATTTAAACATTTCTTTCATATAAATTATTATTTCGGTTTTTCCGACAAATCCTAAGCTGTTATCTAAGTTGTAAATTGCAGTGGTAGAGTACGTTGTGCGATAGCGGCAATGGCTGTTGTGGTCAGTACTTTTTGTTTTGTGAAACCATCACTAAATTCACTGGTACTAATGTTATGGTCTATCCCGGGTATCGCTATCATTCATTATGAAGCGCCTAAGTGAGTTCATTGTTCAGTTATTCTTTTGCTGATAAATTCTTCCCGGATTGTAAAATCATGTCTGAATTCTCAAAGTTCGGATTTCAATACATGTTCGAGTAGTTTGTTAATTGTTATTTCAGTGCTGGTATTCCTGAAATCACCGGCTTTCCACGGAAAATATCAATATTGTGGATCGCTGCTTCCATTTGTTGGGTATCTGATCGTATGTTCTGTGATTTCTGGCTTCTTTTAGGTTTTTATTTTCTACAGAAATATCTTCAAACAAATTAGAGAGAAATCAAATTATTTTTTTTTACATAGATTGAAATGGTAGTTTTAATTTCATTTTATTTGAATGATAAGCGAAGATTATGTTAAGGTATCGATCTTTTGTTTAAGCTTCTGCAAAAATCAATTTCAAAATCTAATTACTTAATATATTTAAATATCACAACCATAAAAATTCCAGGAACACCGTATTTCCATGCACTATTTCATTTGTTGAGCAGTTTGGCGGCTTATAACGTTTTCATCATGTTTTCATTGATTGACATCTGTAGGAGCAGCGACAAACATCAATACAGCTGTCGCATAAAACATTTTCCAGAAAATGGACTTATTAAGCTACCATATATTGTCCTTAATGTTGGCTATAAATATCTGTGATTTTCCTAACTTTCACTGTATAATGCTTCAGTATCATACAGTAACGAATCTTTTTATGAAATAAAATTCTATCTTTGCTTTTATTTTATTGCAATTTCTTCAAATTTTCATCAAACTAATTATGCTTTATTAGAAGTGAACCTTTCAAGTTTATGTTTTGATTGACATCGGAAAGCGAATACAATAATGCAAGCAGAAAGATGTCAAATTTGTCGGATAGGATTATTAGGAAAGAAAAAGGATACAGAACTTTAGGTTTGTCTTATATTATCATTACCGGATGATCAGTTTGAAATATAATTTTGATTTGCTGTTGTCATTTAAGTTTGAATGAGTATTTCTAATTTCTTGTGTGGGACAAAGATATTCGACAATTTCGGTGAATGCGATCCGAAAAATAGATCTGATATATTATCTATTCCTATCCCATTATAAAGTAACGCCATTAGCCAATTTAATTAATTTAAAGGTTTAAATTGATTTCATTATTGTTAGCCTTCAATTTAGCACTTTGGATTAATTGGTTAAGTAGACGGAAAGACCTAAGAAAGTCTAATCTAGCATTAATTTAATTTAAATAAAGCAAGAGCTCACTGATGAATATTTAATAAACTATAAAATAATATAACAAGTTTTTAAGTTGCTTTAATTTTTTCCACAAAAATATAACTCTCAAACATCAACAATATACTAATTACATTTTGTGTTTCGTTGTTCACCTGTTAATGGTCAGTTCTTACAGAAATTCGATAAAATTAAATACAAAAAAATCATTAAAGAAATAAACATTCTAAAAATGACATTGTGATATTATTAATAGGTAAAAACTAATAACGATATTGATATTGCTATTTTATCTACCTGTAATAAGCTGAATATCAAAAATAATACCATAACATATTATTTATTTATGCTACTTATTATTCCAAACTATTACTGCATTCACTGAATTGATATTATCTTTCAGCTTTTTATAGTTTTTTGATCTCTGTATGTCCTTTATTTGGTGACAAATATTGTACGTGTATTTTCTGACAATTCTTTCTTTTTTAAAATCAAACAATTTGCAATTTCATTTTTCAACAAAGCTATGTGTGAAATCAGAATTGAAAAGTCTTTTTAGCCTTTTATATATCTTATTTCTGATTTCGTTATTACACCATTTATGCAAATAGTTCATATTTTAAGGTGAGAACGAGCCTATATATGTATATATATATATATATAGACAGATGTTTGTATAGGTGAGAAAATATATGAATAGGTGAATAATATCTTAGTTTGATTGCTTGCAATTATCAAAGTAAGGTGATCCACTTACGAGATCATTTTATTGTGACATTTGTTAATGAGGAAATCACAATTTTTTGTTATTGTTACAAAAATGATTTAGAAGAATCGTTGTGTTATCTGTCCAGAAGGCCCACCAGGGATACTCAGGTCTCAGGGAAATCAAAAGACCAAAAAGAGCGCCAGAAAAAAATAATAAAGATGGGGAAACAGGTCTCCAAGAAGCAGTTGGTCCTATCAGTGGATCGGAAGAGTCGATCGCAAGGGTGTACTTGGTAAGCTGGATAGCTTAATTATTGTAGAAATATCCGAAGGACGCGGCTTCAAAGGAAACAATGGTCCACCAGGACTGCGAGGTAAACCAGGCCATGATAGCAAGTTCCAGATGGCCCGGTCAACCCACGGGGCACTTCCGGCACAGCTGGTAAACCTGGAATACATAGGAGTGCTAGACTATCAGATGCGCGAGGCAAGTTTGGCGAAAGTGAAATTATCCAAAGCCACGACTGCCGTCCGCTTAAGACGGCAGTCGATTTGGACGACTCAAAAACAATAATGAATGAAGTATATAAGCTAGAATAGATCTTTCCTTTAAAAGTAAGTATATAAATTAGAATAGGTCTTTCCTTTAAAAATTGGTTAGATCTTAAAATCGGGTTTCAGTGGAACCAACAACTTTCGAACAAAACCGTGCGATTTTATTACAACGGTTAGTATAAATTCAAAGTTAATCAATAAGCACAAATAAATTTATAAAAACAAAGAACAATTTAAAACAATATCAGTGAGTCATTAAATCATCAACGGAATTAACGTTTGAATCATATGGGACAACTAAATAGCGACTGAAATTGTACAGCTGCTGAGGACCACGTACTTCACTTTCAAGTAGTGGCAGTTTAGTTACGTTAAAGTCTTCATAGAGATCAGCAATCTAAAATATAAATCAACAATACAAAAATACACTTTTTCCCGTACTGCTGTTAACAGTGATAAGCTCAAAAGCGTGATGACAAAACAAGACGATACGCAAAAATATAAGGATTCTTTTCTATATATAAAATTTCTCCAAAAATAAGAAAATATATTTTAAACTTGATAATTCAAACCTGTTCTAAATATTTCTTCTGTATACTGTATCTTGCTGAACATTTCTTACATTTTACACAACCATTGTCATCTTTTTCCGGATATAGCAATTGATTGACGATAATATTGTGTGTATCGATATTCTGCAAAGATTTACAATTCGGCGCCGATAAAAGAAAAGAGCATCACTAAAGCATTGTAAATGAATAAATTAGAACCTGTTTAGTTAATTCCTGAATAAGGCGTTCCGTTTCATAGAGAGATAGGAATTCGGCAATACATACACAAACGAAGGTAGTGAGGTCCTATAAGACATCAACGGATGAGTCTCACTAATAGATTATTAAAATTATCAATAGAAAGTTCTGAATGTAGTGAATTTAAAAAATATCATATTAATAAATCAAGAAGTTGCTTCATAAACTTCCATAAATCAAGAAGTTGATTTCTGCACTATGTTAATGCAGAACATTTTTAAAGGTCTTTAATGGAGCGTCCAAAAAACCACACCGGATCCTTGAACTGAGAGTTTATCCTCCTCACTACGTCCAACGTTTCCCTGAGCTTATTTGCCGTATCATCTGCTGAGATTTCGCCAAGACCCAACATCCCACCCATCTGAACATGAATAAATATACAAGCTGTGAGACATATCAGAAATAAAGCATTAATCAACGTGATATTTACAACTTTCAAGCAAAAGTAAAACACAGATTAATGTTTTTACAACTACGGTATAATCTCTTTTGTCAAGTTGTATGAATCTTCGTTGGTAAAAGTAAGAATATCGGCAACTCGTTTTATTAGATGCAAGTGATATATTTCAATGGTAAAAAAAGTGATAGTATTCAATCATTTTTAGCGTCACTTGTGCATCCTTGTGTTCAACCCAGTAAGTTAAATATACTTTTTCTTAATTCCCAGAATAATATTGCTATCATAATCTGACTCAAAAACGGAGAAGATTAGATAACAAAGAAGTATTAATTAGAGTATCATAATAAAGAAGTGTTAACTAGGGATATATTGTGTATCACTTTGAATAGAATAAATTTACTTGTGTCATTAGAGGAGCAAATGAACTCTGCAGACCGATAAGTTTACCCAAACTACTTTCGATAAGCGTTGGGAATTGCAGTAATCTTAAAGTATGACCTGTTGGAGCAGTGTCAAAAACAACCACGTCAAAGTCCATTGATTGTATCAGTCTGAAAAGATGTTATAACTTTTTGAATTGGTGATAAATAAAAGGCAGAAAGCACAATAGAGTGGATAGCAGATAACTCAGCAGGAATCTTTAGAGGAAGATAATTTATTGAAATAATTGCCAGAATGGCCAGCAGAGGATATACGAAAGTTTACGGAGGCCGTTTATTAAGTGGTACCATGAAAAAGATAAAAAATGGCACTAACTCGCAAAGTCACTAGGAAGAAAGCTAAAGCGCCTGAAATTAATGCCAAAAAATTCTTTATGAAGTATTTATTACTTCATCATTTGCGAAAAGCTCATTGCCTCGTCGATACCTGGGAGACCACCGACCATTTCTTGCAATACTTGCCGACCGAGACTCATCATGTCTGAAATATAAATCTAGCAAAAAATTGAGATCTAACGTTGGATTCGATGCTATTAACATGAAGTAATTTGAAAAATTAAGTGTCTTAAGAATTTGCAAAGTTCGAATTTGCAAAGTGCAGAGGAGTTATGTCGAAAAGGAAAAGAGAATACCATAACAGTATTTCACTGAACTTAAAGTGATTTAAATATCTAGTTCCAGGTAACTGACCCAGAGATATATTTTGAAATTTTTCCTGAAATAAATGGATGACTATAAAGGTATACCTCCTTCACTGCTCTCTACTCCAGGATTCACTATTTGAGCATCATTTCCGAAATTTGCCTCAATCTCCTATAAATAAAAAATAGACAAACATAATGTATCATAAATAAGAACGGATGATTAACGCTGATTTGTAGAACGAACCATTGCATACAAATTATTGTAACCATTCACAGCGCTTGGAGTTTTGCTAAATTTTTGTGCAAAAGCGTCCGATATATTGTGTGCAGGGTCCGTGGAAATTATAAGCACACTTCGTCGCACTTGCGACAATTGAATAGCTAACGAACAACTGCAATTAATTGCAATTAATCGCTTTTAGCAAAATAAAAACCTACTGTTAGAGCAGTATTGGAAATGCAGAAGTTTATATAGTGCACAAAAATCTAGAATAATAATTAAGTCATGTCACAAGTCATCAGATCTGTGCAAAAACATACTGGAGAAGATGAAACAAAGCTAATACCTGCATGTTGTCTTACCCACACCACCTTTACCGCCCACAAAAATCCATTTCAATGTCATCTGATTGATTACATTTTGCAGCGTAGGTTCTAAAGTGTCTTCCATCACAGTCTAAACCTGAATATTAAACGTTTATTTCACTTCCTCATTATAAAGTTGAACTCAATCAGGCAATTAAATTAGCGTCTTAATGAAAAGACACATTTCGCATAACAGTGTTTTCGAAGATGGATGAAGTTGTACATGTTTGGTTTCGAATCATGCAACACCTCTCATCTTATTTACAACATACTTTTATACTAGTGTTATCTCACCATTTTTTCCCCTTTTTTATTCCGCTGAAAACTTATTATGTCTGAATATGAGTGAAGAAAATGATGCCAAATGTCATGCCCATCAGCCTCTCTCAGTTTTAAGTTCCATCTAAAGTTGAAGAGGAAGTCATTTAAATTTCTCAATTTCGCCTCAATCATTATTCTGATATATTCTTTTGTTAAAGAACGGAATGAAATACCTCATCCATTCTCAGTTCAGGATTAAAACCAGATCGAAAATCATGTTCGCAGCATCTTATGGACAGTTTTAGCAGCTATTACCTAACCTATAATCTTATTATTACGAGCACACATATATACATTCATTACCCTACTTTTAACTTGAGGATCAACCAACGCGCCCGCACCGTTATATCCAGTCCTCATGTCTAAGAAACAAGAAACCACAGCTTTTTATTGTGCGACACCGTAGGTTTGAAGACGGTTTGCTAAATTTCATTAAAAAAAAATCGGTTCGTCGTAATGGATTTTTCATATGAGAGGATGGGATTTTGGTGAGCATTTTGCCATCCATTCTGACATGAAGCTATTCACTACTTGAAGCAATAATAGTTTGGTTTGGCTTGAAGCTAGAACAAATACACGATCGACCATATTAGGTTGATGCAAAAATAATTTGCCTAACAAAACATCATGAAAATGCCAATAATTAAAATTAAACGATTAACATGAGAGCAGGATCGACAACAGATACTTTTTATTTACAGCGAGAAGTAAATTATATATATCTATATACATATATCAACTATACCAGTTGATAAATTAGTACAGACTGAGATGAGAGTTAATGAGCAACATGTCACTTCGGTGAGAAAATTATAGACACAGTTGTCGCAACACGGAAAATTTGCTCTCAACATAGGAAAAGCCCTACAGCGATAAGTGATTGAAGTACCTAGGCAAATACTTTCCGTTTTATCTAAATGATTGAAGTACAATTATATTATGAAATATATTTATGGTCACCTATGGTCATTTTTCATTCCATAAAAAATTTAACAAGTAATATTCAAACATATCATATACACAAGCGTTCTTAATTCTTAGCAAAACAAATCACCCGAGCTGAACTTTAAGTTTTTTTAGCATTTGGCCATATATATTCATTAAACATACTAAGCAAAACTGTCATGCATCTTAATATTCTTACGTCAGTCAAATGAGTATGTGTATGTGCAGCAAGTCAACATCGTCTGAATCGTCATTTATTGACTATCTTGCAATAAAATTTGTTGTGGTCGAATGTTGTGTTGTGCTCAATTTTCTGAAATTTTGGGCATTAGAATGAAGAGAGCAAGAAAAAGGGAGAGAAAAGTTTATTAGAAATTTTAAAATGTTTTAGGAGATTTTGAAAGAAGTTTGGAAGAAGGTACCGGCAACATAAAAGAATATATAGCCATCCTTGACACATTCAGATATAACCTCTGCTTCTGTTCTCTCTTCAACATGACTATCATCGAAATGCATCCAGATGTTTTTGTTTAGGTTTCTCACATCACATACATAATGTCCTGAATGTCCATCATCATCAGTATACTTAATTTCTGTTCATGGAGTTTAAACGTAGATTTTTCGAAATCAAGTAGAAATCTAAGGTACTTCTGGGTATAGCATAAATTTTCATGCTTAAAGAAATGTTTTATAAGCTGTTTCCTTATATCAGGTATTATTCGATACAACAATGAACGGCCGCAATTATCAAGTAAATGCTAACCGTTACTTGGACCATTCCCTTTATGACTGATAACTGCGGCAAGCTGATAATCACATATTGCACCATTCTACAAAAAACGTACGCAAGACATTTTCAGGAATGAAATACAAGACATTTTCAGGAATGAAATACATTGAATAAGAGCTCATAGAACAGATAATTTGACAAAACTTTTTTCAAAAAATATTTGATGTAAAAAAGGAGAATTATTCGAATCTGAAGAGCAAAAGAAGGAGAATTAATAATATCAGCATTCAAGTTATCAATAAGCATACCGAAATAATGTCAAGAACTGGTTTGTAATGAAAATTTTCATTAATGAGGAAAATGGCATCCTTTCCGTTGTCATCATATTTTTGAATCGGCAACTCTATAATAACGGAAGAAATAAAAAATTAAACAATTCTGGGAAACCAACTCTTAAGCCTATTATGTAATGAAAAACATTATATATCCATTATTCAAAAAATATGTAATTAAACAGAGACATTTAGTAGAACTTACATTTTTGCTTTCATGAGAAGAAAAAGGAAAACGAAAAGGAACTGATTATGAGAAAGGAACTGACTATGGAATTTGCCATCCTTTCCAACTGTATACAGTGGCCTATACCGAAGCCATTTACCATTCAAAAATGTCCAAATTTCAGCATCTAATAAAGCAGCAAGAGCGAAAAGTTCGATTTCTGTCGCCCATTCGCCATCATTTGTCATTTTCTTTGTATGTTCTTTCCAGTCAGCTAGCGAAAAGTGATTCACTTCACGAAGTTGATCATCATACTTCTCTTCAAATTTCACTACCTTGAAATTGCAGTGACTAGATCATTTATGCTTAATTTATAAGCATTATTTTAAATAGAAAACATGATCAATTACATTTTTCCTAACGATCAAGTGCTCCTCATCACTCCCTGATAAGTAAAGCGCTATCGAGCGAAAGAGACAGTTTCCATCTGCTACAACAGATGCAGTGTTCGAAGGTACACTTTTACAGAAAAGAGGTTTCGGCTCATGCCTGCAAAATATATTTTAAATGACCCCTTCTATCCACTTTCGAAAGTTAATCAGTTCGCTTGAAAAGCTGTGATAAACTAAACTTTGATGAAAACTTTTATCAGGATGTTCAAAAAATCTCAAAGCAGGTACCGAACTGCCAAAGAACGATAGCGAATATTTAATTCAGCACAGCTACGTTCACAAAAATCAGGTCGCGGTAAGCAGAATAACGTCAAATAGTCCAGTCTCTGAAAAAGTTGAAAAATTAAGATTGCGAAAAGAGAATTATGTGGCTTACAAATAATTCTTAGTAAAAAAAAGCTAGCGTTACGTGAACTGATATTTTTGATAAAAAAGGATAACCCTCGTCATTGAAAATATTTGCGTTTTTAAATAGAAATGTTGGATTAAGCAAAAATTATGACGAAAAAAAGCGAAAGAAAAACTTTGTCAGCACTGGAATCATATGCAATGACTGAGAATTTTGTAGTATTTATCGAGGAGATTAATAATCCCCCAAGATAAGTGAGAATTCCTATATCAGGAAATTCTTATGTTTTTGCAAATTATATCATTTTTGATGTAAAATTGTAGTGCTGTAAAATCTATTTCTTTATTAAACAGTATTCAAATTAACAGGAGAACCAAATAAAAAATTTTAAATACAGCAGAGACTTACATTTTCTGAACTATTGGAATCATATGAAATTACTCCATTCGGAGGTGTTTCCATAACAAAAGACATTTGATCATCACTAATAGTGCTGCCGATAGGAAGAATGCTGTTAAAACAATTTTTAAGCTCAGACTGTTTTATGTCATAAGAAATTAAACGAATATACATTGAAAGATTCACTGCATCTTTCAATTTCCTTTGTGCTCTTCTTGATGTTGATTGCTTGAAATCATAACGCTTCAGAAAGATGATCAAGCATCTAAAATATGATATCCTTTGACATGATTAATAATCAAAGAAATATCAGGTACTGGAAATAGTATATCTCAAAGAAAAATGACCATTTAAGGTTCAGCACTGGAAATTGATGAACATTTAGAGAGGAGCTTTAACCTCTGCATAATTGAGAAAATGTAACATCTGAATTGTTTCGCAAAGTTTTGAAAAATAGCAAATTCGCACCAAATTAAAGCAGACTTCTATAGCGAAACCCTAAATTTATAGGACTATGCTTAAAGCATCCAGTATTGGTAAAAAATTTTTATTAAATTACTTTGAAAGACTTCGAAATTCATGACTCATAGTGGCGTATTTTTCATTGCATCGAGGACAAATATGTTCAACCGCTTCACTTTTTAAACAATTCTCTAGCAATAACTGCAGTGAAGGTGGATCATTGTTCCTGCAAAGGATTATTTAAAAAAATTGGTATGAGTCTTATCCTAAATTTACAAACTGTCTAGAAAGGTTTTTAATGTGAAAGAATATAAAAGGAAATAAGAACAAATGGTAGATAAAAGCAACAAAACTTACACATCATGCACGATTTGTATTGGTAAAAACACTCCTTTTTCATACATTACTTGTTCGGTGCCACATCTGCAAGAATTATGGCATCATTATCCTGCAATCAATGCTTTTTAAATCAAATCTTGAGAATTATGTGATTTTACTTGAAAAGAGTTTGATAAGAAACATTAAATAAGCGTTTAATGGTTATAAAATTTACTGCAAAACTCAGAATTTTAGAAAGACTTAATTACTCATATTTTTAAAAAAATTTTGGCATTTTCAGCGAAATAGCAGGAGTCTTTACATATTCCTGCAAATACAGATTCCTGTTCTCTCGCTGTAAGTGCTCAGAACATTAATTTGATCTGCTAAATTAAAACTTTGTATTTCAAATTGTATCGTTCTCTACCGAAAATATTAATAGGTAAGGCTAGTGGACCCAAAAGCAGAAGAGAACAAGAAACAGAATGGTTTATAATTTTAAAAAATTTGCTTTGATTCTTATATCAAAAATCGTCATCATATAATTACTCATTTGCATCTCAAGAAAAAAACATTATATAGGCAGAAATACTAACTTATTACAAGTAATTTCGTGTTTTAATTCAAAACCAAAAATTGACGAAAGAGACATCGTTGATTCGGATATATTGTTTCCTTCGGCATATCTTTTATTTGCAAGTGATTCTAGCTCGGAGTCAATTTTTTCCAACATAATAGTTAAAAACTCTTGTGCATCCTGTAATAACCATTTCAAACTCAAGCACCATTAATTGTTTGGTAGCAAGAAAGTGACCTTATCGTTCTTCCTGCATTCCTTCTTATTTTTCGGCCCCACTGAAACTTAACATGCGAAAAATGATAATTTGAATATGAAAGTTAAAAATCAAATACGCTGCCTCTTGTTCGGTCATTTCAAATCGCTCGTCGTCTAGAAATTTAAAAACATTTTCCAGCAAACACCGCTTCTTTGCATTGGCTGCTTTTTGATAATTTTTTTGAAGTGCGTTTAAAGCGCTGAAAAAAAATCATATCAAGATGAAGCGTTCGCTCCTTCATTGTAATATCATACCTCTGGCGCAAATACAGACATATTGGACAGTTTAAAGAAGCCTACAGTGTCAAATGTCTACAGTAAAATAGTTTTTGGTCAACGATTTGGACCTTATGATCTTCTATAGTCTTTTCTATATTGCACAGCAACTTTCATTTTCACCCTCTGATGTAGTAATAAGATAATTTCATGAAATAGATAAACAGCAGTCTTAAAAAAAAGCAACCTCAGGATAGTGTCCTTTGATGATTCTGGCACGACATTTAACAGATCTTTAAAGGCCTCAACATGAAATAATCCTTGCAGTACAGCATTCATATAACATGAGTTTCCAAGATTCAGGAATCTGAAAGAATGTATAAATTTGAAGGTAATGCAAATGGGTGCAAAACAGCTAAATAACAATCTATTCTACCTGTCATCCTCCTTTACAAGTATTGCTAAAACTCCATTACAGTAATCTGTTAAATTTTCAAATATAGAATCCAAATTTTGTCATCGAATCTACTTCAAAGTTCTCATTCATGTTCTTAATTAAATGCCAACTTTTCAAATCGAAGTTGGTCGCTTATTACTGGTACAAACAATTTCTGTTCTTACTGCAATCATCTGTTCTACTACAAAAGACCACCAAACACGATGTATAACTGTTTCAGTCATTACCCTTTCTGTGAAATAGCATCTGTTCCTGCCGATAAACGCTCGAAACTGGTTGAGAGATCAGATGTAGATTGTTTGCTATGGGTGCATAAAAAAGTATCGTCCAAATTGGTAATTTTCTTTTTCGGACTATTTCTTTTTGTAATTGCACTGTTCATTTCTAATATTCTGTCTTCTTCTTTCAAGAGCTCAGCAGGATGCTGCTTGGTAAAAGGATCTATCAAAATACCGTTGGCTTCTTCTTCAGGTTTATGAACAAGTCTTTTATTGGGAGAACCCTCATAAATGTCAATAGAAGTGACTGGTTTTCTTTTCTGATTGCTATTTTTCACACGCAGTGGGATTACTTTCTCGCTGTTCTTTCGCTTTACCAGGTTACTATAAAGAGTAACGTGAATTATCATGAAATTTATCATGTGATACTTATCACGACATGCTTCCACAAATTATAGAGCATCGTGAGATCAAAACAGAAGTTCTTCCATTATATTTCAAAATAAAAAGACTGGAAGCAGTATTGAATATAAAAGCATTTTGTGATTTTGCAAACATACGACAAATATTCAGAAGCTGTTATTCGTATAATAAACCACTGTGTTTCAAAAAAAGTATAATCTTACAGTACATACAAGTTCTACGAACTTTTATGAACAATTCGCCATTAAGAGCACATATGAAAAAGCATACCTAGCAACATAAGCTTGATGTTTCACACTTATCTGGTGGAATTTTGGCAGTTGCTTGACCAATGTTCGCTTTTGAACTGTTGATTGATGTTGAATTGCCGATTTCGTGTCGTCAAAAAATGGAAAAAGACGAATTACAAAAGATTTATTCATTGGAAAATGGTATACCATAGCGATGTTCCAATGTCCAAAACCAAATTTATTTCAAAAAATTTCCAGAATATTTTCAAAGGAACAAGGAATTCGTTTGATTTGAGATGAACAAAAATATATGATGACTATCAAGTACTTATCGATTATTTGATACATCCTTACAACAAAGACATATTCCGATAATTCAAATCCCAACCTATACGTTTCTGCTGAAGATAACGAAAAGCGTAATAAATTGTATGACAATCTTTAGATCTTTCAGGCTTTATCAGCACATGCTCATTGCAATCAGCGCCCGATTTAAGTCTGCAAATCCGAAATACCAAACTACCGCAATCTTCCGCTCGTTCTAGACCACTTATTTGTATACATTCCTAAATCAAATCTTAACATAATGAAATTAAATTTTCTCAAGACAATTTTTGATTTGAACTTCTAAGCAACTAACGACTGCTTTAGAAACCCATTACCAACCATAAACTCTTGAAGACCATTACGAATTTTGAATTTCTTCTACACGAAAGAATATCTAAATTTTATTGCATGTTAACCATTCAAAAAAATATTAACGCTTCTACCTCATATGAATGAACTTTGAATGGAAGAACTAAAATGCTAAAACAGAATCATAAATAGGGAGAAAGTATCAAACCAACCCTTTCCAGACGTCCTTCTCCATCTTCCAAATAAAATATACGCAATGAGCTTACTTCGCCATCGTTACATAGCTCAATGAAGCCTTGATGCAAATTGTCTGTCAGCAACACTTCATCTTTTCCCACATTTATCTTGAAATAAAAATTGCATTATCAATATTTTCCTCTTATTTTCACGTAAAATTTTAAAATTGAACAAAATTTATCTCCTACCAACACCGGCCATCTTGTGAGATATAAAACCATGTGATGATTTGTTGTTGAATTAAGCCACTGCAAAGCTCATTAATATTAATACAATTAACAACAAGAACTGTGTCTGTGTGCACGTGTGTTTGCGTGTGCGTGCGTGTGCGTGTGATATTCGTGGAATCATGCCTGATAAACATATGATCACATCTGATAAATATCGGATCTTAATAGCAAATACCAAAAGTTATTTTTAATATGAATCAGAGCGTATACGAATGTTACACCTAGTATCGCATTTTACATAGCCTAAATGCCAACGAGTATTAATGACAATCAAAATAATCAGTAATCCAAAGTTACCATTAATCAATGAACTCATTCTAGGGATATCTCGGGTTATTTCCTTATCTATATAGCAGATCAATAATATCTTCCTCTCTCTCTCTCACAACATCCTTTCCATAATTCAAACAAAAAAACTCTCTAGTCGATATAGAAATATCATAAAGCCAAAATTTCATTCACTTAGCCTTTAAAATCATTCGAAATCTAAGACCGATATCTCCTAGATCTCCTGAATCAATTTCGTGTAATGTTCACGTAAATGAAGCGAAAAGACGAGCCATATCGAGAGATATACAATACATCGTTCATCCCACTCAATCTTCCTCTTTGCTTCTCCTTCTTTTCCCTATCCCATCTAAGTCATACATTCTTACCTTAAATTTACATATAACGATTATCCCAAACTAACGTAACACATTACTGTACTCATATATCCCATATGAAATCATTCAGATAATTCTCGCAAAACTGTTAATAAGCTGTGATGGATATTACATTCATTGATTGATCTTTTTAAGCTATTATTCCTCAAATGCAAATTTCAGTATAATTTGATGTATTGTTTTCTAATTATACGTAGTGAACATTAGAATGTGTTATTTTCTATTCTTTCTTCTCTTTTTTTTTATAAATTTAATCGATCAGAATATTGAAGGATAAATAGGCACAAACATTCCTATTCTTATCATTTCATTTATACTTTTTTAAATCAAAAAATGGCTGGCCTATAATCATTTCATTTATACTTTTCAAATCAAAAAATGGCCTGTAATCATTTTACTTAAACTTTTCAAATCAAGAAATGGCCTGTAACCATTTCATTTATACTTTTTTAAATCAAAAAATGGCTGGCCTATAATCATTTCATTTATACTTTTCAAATCAAAAAATGGCCTATAATCATTTCATTTATACTTTTTTAAATCAAGAAATAGCCTGCAATCATTTCAGTTAAACTTTTCAAATCAAAAAATGGCTTATAATCATTTCATTTATACTTTTTTAAATCAAAAAATGATTAGCCTATAATCATTTCATTTACACTTTTCAAATCAAAAAGTCTATCTATCTGTCAACAGTATTATCTATCAATGGTAAACTTTTTGAAATGATTACAGGTCACTTTGACATTTATTTATTTTCAACACTAAAAAAAAAGGACCTGAATTCCTCCATTCCATTCATTGATATATCTTTTTTACAATTTTATTTTTGCAATGTGATTATAGAAATTGCGTCTACCACAAAAAAAAATGCTTAATTTTGAAGATATCGTCAATGTTGTAAAAATTTGAACCATTTTGTTTGTTTACAAATTGAGGAATTGTTAACGTTCAAAATGAAAATTTGTCTAAATGTAAACAAATTTAATTTCTATAAATTAATTGATTCACAGTAGCAATATAATATTATTGTAACTTCGTAGATCGCATAGCAATGATAATTTACTATAACTTGTTAAATCGTAATCTTTAAGTTTCAGTCTTAGTTTTAGTCTTAATTCAATTATAATTTTAATATTAGATGATTATAGGTAAATGCTTAAAGAGTGAGATTGAAAAGGAAATAGAATGAATTATTTGAAAAGATTTGAACATATCAATAATTCAATTAAGCGTAATTATTTTAAATGTAATGCTGGTTGATATCTTTAATGAGGGAATTTGAATTTAAGTGAAATCCCTATTGAAAATTAGTTATCAGTGATAAGTTATTAACTTTCCTGTTAACATTTACGAATTCAACTTTCGAAAATTGCCATAAAGAATTTGCTGAACTTTGAAAAGCACTTGTAAGTAATTCACAATTATTGTTCTCTTTTGCAAAATTATATTTGTTTACATGTTTGCAGAAATATTTGCTTGAAAGGATTGTATTTGAATTTGAAAATGTTTATTTGAATTTGAAAACTGAAAATATTTGAATTTGAAAATTGAAAATATTTGAATTTGAAAATTTGAAAACCATTATTAGCACAATCTTTTTCTTTTTTGTTTAAAATATTATTTTTGTTTTATATGATAATTAATTATTCTAATGAATTTTATTTTATATCTTTCTTTAAGATTTAATTTTTATTTTATATGGCAATTATTCTAATGGAAGTAAAACGCTTCTCTGATACTATCAATGTTCAACATTATCATTCAGCAAAATGTTCACTGCCTTTTAGTCTGATCGGAATCTCAAATCCTTACGTTCAATGTATGCTTATCGTTCATCCAACAAAAAAGAAATACCATTCAATCTTTCTCCTTTACTTTTTCTCTCTACTACTTAAAAGTATTTACGCAACATTTACCTGCAAAAAAAGTGATAATTAATCACTAATTTTAATATCATTAATTTTTAAAAATTAATTATCAATTAATTTTTTCACTCACATTCATCTCTCATCCTTAAATGCTTTAAATTTTTCTTTAAAAATTGTTAAATATATATGTTAAATATAGAGAGTATATGACTCGATTTTATCACTGCAACTTTTCATTTTTATGATTAGTTACTGATAAATGAAGAATGAAATAATTTATATTTTCAAACTCAAAATTTTTTGCAACTGCAATTTGTGATAAAACTGCTCTTTTGCATTAAAATTTCGTCCCATTTTAATAAATTTAATAAGATCATATAATTTTATCAGTTAATTAAAATGACGAAAATTTGTCGCTTCATTTTTTTTAATCATTTTGCTTGCGACATCTATCCTCAAAACGTTCATTAAAGCTTTTATACAACGGAGTATGCTGTTAGCATGCTGCAGATAGCTTTCGTTTTCCTTTTAGTTCCTGTGCCATAAGCGCCTCGTTATCCTGGTATTTTTATTTAGAAAATTTGGGATACGATTTATCAAACTTCCTTCTTTCCACAAGAAAAAATGAGTAATTAATAGTTCAAATTTTAATTACAATAGATAAAACGATAGTTTGCGATCTCCATAATTTTATGATATTATTAAGTTTGAAATTATTAACTGACAATAATTCTGTTTCCACTTTCGACAAAGTTAACAATTCTTTTATTAGCAACTGAAACCGAAATATGTTCCATATATGTTTAAACTGCAACGAACAAAATATTTTAGCATTCAACAATGAACTTGAATGATAATGAATTTCTATCTGTTTAAAAGATTTCAATCTTTACAAACATCGATTCATTCTACAAATGAAAGTTTAATCTTAATTCGAATAGTTTCGATTAAAATTCAAATTTAAGTTTCTTTTATAAGACTGCCACTGAAAAATACAAACATAACAACTGAACAATTTTTATCAGATTCAATTGTTACAGTGAAAATTATTGTAGTAAATAATTAAGTAGAAAAAACAAAAACAAAAGGAACAAATTAGAATGGAAGGAAAAAGAATGAACGAGAATTGCTGGAATGTAAAATTAACCGTAAATTAAAAATCAACCGTACTAATTAAATTATTCCAATGATAGATATACTAATTGCATGAGTCAAATAATTAAAATCTTATTTGCAAATTTTTGAAAATTTTTACAAAAATATTTCGAAATTATAAAAATATAAAAATTTGTTATTTCATTTTAAAATTCATATGGAAATATATGAAAATCGCTGCCAATTAAATCTTTTTATTATATTTAAATTAATTAAATTTTTATTTTTGCATTTTTGCAAAAAATTGTGGAATAATTATTAAAGTTAGGATGGATAGATGTGTATCCGAATTATTAATGTTCGGAATAAATTTCGGATCGATGTATATCCGAATTATTAATATTTGGAATAAATTTCGGAAGGATAAATATCCGAATTATTAGTACTTCGAATAAATTCCTGAAGGATATACATATCCGAATTATTAATATTTGAATAAATTCCTGAAGGATATATATATCCGAATTATTAATATTCGGAATAAATTTCGGATGGACATATAATCGATAATATTCGGAATAAATTCCTGAAGGATATACATATCCGAATTATTAATATTCGGAATAAATTTCGGAAAATATCGGCGATATAGAAAAAAAGAAGGATACAAGAAGAGAAAAAGAAATAATCATATGATCGTATTATTAGCATAAAAAGAAATAAAGAAATCAAAAAAGGAATGAATGAATTGAATTATTTCACATATAAGCAAAGAAATGAAATCATTTCATTTTTTTCAACTAAATTTTTTTCATCAAATTAAAGAGAGAATATTTAAAAAGGTAAGCTTCTCTTTCATTCTCTTTCTCTCTTTTCTTCTTTTCACAGTTTTTCATTCAAAATATTGTTGAAGCAATTTTTTAGCGTAATTTCTCTTTTCTCGGATGTATTGATACATGCATCATAATGAATGCTACGTTGTGGATCAACAACGCCATGCTTATTTATATCATGTTCAATGATTGTTGTTTCACCGAATAATATGATACCACAATCTTTACATCTGTAAAAGATTTCTCTAATAACATTTCATTCGTATTCATTATCATTGCTATAATATTGTATGATATTTTAGTGATAAAAATTAATTTAAAGAGAAGACTTTATCAGACTGATAACAAAAGTCTAAAATTTATCAAATTTGTTTTTATTTTATCACTCGGATACTTTAGAGATCATTTCATTATTACTAACATTTTATAGTTTTGCAAAAATTTACGAAAAGTTATGGGGGAGAAAAAAAGAATGAAAATATTGATTTTTTGTTTTGTGATAGATAATTAAAAATTTTGTTTTAAATAAATTCGAAGTAATGATAATGAAGTAAACCTATAATGAAGATGTGCTTGAGCATGACGCATTAATGACTTCTTTCGTGTTGAAATTTTTCTCGTACAAATCATACACGTTAATTTTGTTAACGATTTCTCTTTTGCTATCGCACATATCTTATCAATTAGCTAAAAGTGAGTTAAGTGATAGGGCGTTTTAATTTATTCTGCTATTTAGTATATATCGATGAAAGTGATTTTATTAAATGAAATATCATTTAGAATTATTATTTCATTATTATCAAATTATTTATTACAAATTATCATTGCCATATCATCATTTTCATTACAATTATCATTCTTATAATAAGCTATAACATTAATGTTATTCGTCCCACATCACTAATTATTATAGCAATTATCATTCTTATAAAATTATTATAATTATGTAAATTTGACAAAAAAGCGGCTTTATTTGATATTGATAATTTTATGATAAAATTTAATAGAATCAAGTAATTGAATGTTATTGAGTGAAGTATATGTATATTGATTGATTGTTTTACTGATAAACTGGATGAATTAAGAAACGAACATTAGAATATGCCGCTTTTGCTTTGGTAATATTCCGCGGGAAGCATGTTCGCAATAAGGATATTAGTTGAGACATATTTCGTCGATTCTCGTAAGTTATTGATGGATCCTACAATGTCGTAGGATTATCTTGTAAGGTGTGAATATTTCAATGTATTTTATTTGCTTCTCTTTTATATCACTGATATTATCATCATTTTTTTTTTTATTTTTGTTAAATTAGTTGACCTTATTGGGATGTCCTTGTCTGATGTGAGCATATATTCGTTCTAACTGACATTCACTGGCGCCACACATTTTGCAACGATATGGCATAACTTCAGCATGTCCGTATAAATGAATTAAAATTAGTGAGTCCGAATTTTGCACCTTCTGTTCACACATTTGACAGATCAACAAATCCTCTCTCGCATAACTGAAGAAAACATTCATCTAATGATAAATTTAAGAAGATAATATATTTCATAATCAATCATAAATTGAACAGTAATTTTCTTTGTCTTAATAATATGATAATATAATACCTCATCCGGATTGTTTTAAGTTTCCGGTAGAATTCAATCAATGCTTTCCTTTGTTTTTTAGTATCTAACTTCTCATCTATACTTTCAACATCCACATATTGCACGTCTTCACCATCTTCATTCTCACAATTATCGTTATGATGATTGCTGGCACCATTAGTATCGCATTTAACATTTCTTCTTCTTCGTTTTTTACCATAAATATTACTGCCAAATTCTTTGATCTTTTCCTGTGACCGTTCCATTCTTTGGAGAGTTGAGATTCTGACACAGTCATCTGGAAATCAAAATTATTATTATCGATTCAGCAAATTTGATCATAAAATAATAGCAAAAATATTTAGACGAAAATTCCAATGTTTCAAAAATTCACACATTCAGGAAAAATTGGATACTTAGCGAAAATTTATTCAAATAATATCCGAGTGCTAGCAATTAATCTATAAAATTTAATTAAGAATTTTTCTCTTGAATTTTCTTATGCTTATTAATAAGCTCAAATCACAAGGTGAAATCAAGTTTTCAAAATCTGGACATAGTTACATATTTCTTACAGGATCAATAATTTTAATTAGAAGGATATTTTACAAATGTTGCATAAAAACGGACTAGAAGAGCAACAAGGTGTAGATTCTGGTTCTTTTTGTTCGATCACAATTACTTTAGCTCGTTTGATCACTGTCATTTCACCGCTTTCCATTGCTTGTTGTTGAAAAGATTCTGAAGTCCGGCGTTTCATGAAAGGCGATACAGATGGTACTTGCTGATGCAATCCATGTTGTGCTGTTAGCCGTGGTAGTTGCATTTCGTGATGTCGCATGAGATTCTGCCATGCTTGTGTTGTAGAATTTGCTATTTTCTGTAATTCGTCTGCAACCAAAAAATTTGACATATCATCAAATTGTGCTTCCTCAACGGACGGTATATTCAATAATGGCAACGTCGAGGGCGCGACTGCCGGAAGATAATTTGTGTTCATAATTGAATTAAATTCCGAAAAAATTGGTTGTCTATTACAGGTAGGAGATGAAGAGATAGCATGAGCATTCAAATTCTGCATGAAATTTGGATATGTCGTTCCGTTTCGTTGCATATCAAATAACGCAAACCCAAAATTGTTAGCCATTTGTTCCGAATTCAGGATTTGCTGCTGCAAATTTTCCATTGTCGTTTGATTTCCTTTTAGCTCCAGCATTTTCTGCTCAGGTTGTTGGAGAATTTGCACGAGTAATCGTAGTTGTAATGGATCCATTATGTTTGGGAAATTTAGAGTTATTGAATAGATTAGGTAACTTGGATTGTTTATTTAAGGATTACCAGTAACAGTACCAATCGATTATATTGGAATGAAATTTTGACGACACCTTCTTTGCTTCTATTGTCGAAGAAATATTTATTACTGTAATAGTTATCGCTCACTTGCAAATTATCTTGTCCCGAATAAATTGCACAAAATATTTAGATGCTTCTATGATAATAGTTCGCATCAATTATCTGAAAAGGTTAGGGTTCAACGTTTTTCATATTTCTTTTTTTATAATTTTTCGATTTCTATAATAGATAATATTTAATATTTGAAGAATTAAAGAATTATTTCTCGATAACTTTATCAGATATGTTAAGATGGATGAGTAGAGTGGAATAATTTAATAATAAATTTTTTTACATATTAACGTAATTTATATTTGTAGGATATTGATTTTTTAAATCCTAACTTAATTTATATTTGCAGGACAAGAAATTAAAAAGGAAATTTTTATGTATTGGATTGAGATAATTTGTTATTTGAAGAAAAATATATTTAACTAAATTGATCGCTTAAGAATTTCATTTCTACTTTTTGCATGCATACATTTGCTAAGAGTTGTTGATCATTTAAAAGATATTAGAAATATGATCGGAATAGCTTTTTGAATATATTACAGATTGAAGCAGAAAATGGATGTGAAAACCACTCAACAGGTAGTATTAGGAGAAAATGTACAAAATGGATTTGTATTAGTACTTTTCATTCCTGTATATGTAAATCCCTGTTGTTATACTGAAAATCACAGGTATATACGCACACACACACACACACACACACACACACACACACACACACACACACATACACATTCAACAGCTGTATAAACCCTTTAAAAATAGCTGCCATTTTTAGTATAATTAAAAAAAAATCTTTCAAATAAAAATATCCAAAAGTTTTTTTCCTTATGAGTAGAAAAATCTGATAAAATTAAACAAAGAGCTTCTTTTTTTTTTTGTCATACCGCTATCAGAAATCTTATCAGCTATTAGAAATCTTATCAGTCCCATTTCATTTAAATTGATAAATTTTTTAGCCATTTAAAAATTTTCAACTAACATAATGAAAAATATCCCAATCTTCCTTTTACTCTCTCTCTTCCATCTAAAATGAAAATATTTAATCTTTTAATTGGTATGAATTTTTTTTGCATCAATTTTATCGACTGTAAATTATTTGAAATGAACAGAGATATATTTTTAAGTCCATAATAGTAGATTTAATCATGAACATTTTTTTTTTACTTTTACTAGTTTTGATAGCTGAGGAACAGAATGTTCAATTTCAATTGAATAAAAATAAAATTTCGGATGATCGTCAAATTTTGACAATTATTCGATCCAGTCGATTAATGATGAGAAAGAGAAGAAATCGAAATCGGATCATGTAAAAACTTTTCCTTCATCGGTACTTTTTCATCATGATGAGAGTGATGATGATATATGATGATATGAGAGTATATTATATGATCAGCTGTTCTGTTGCTACTATTCATGAGTTAGTTATTTTATTTTGCATCTTACGAGATAGAATAAATGTTTGGACTATTATTTTAAATGATATCAAATTATCATTGTTAAAAAAAAAAGAGATAGATTAATTGAATTAAAATTTGATTAGATTTAGAATAAAAAGATTTGTATTAGTTAAAAGCAAAAAATAGTAAAGTTTTGTTATAGTTAACTATTTACAAAGAAAACAAAGGAATAATTTAAAATTTGAATAGAAATTCTTTTTCACTTTCATCAAAGAAAACAATACAATTATTAGTAAAGCATTCAAAAGTTTTGTTTACAAATATCAAATATTAAAGGAAAAAATATTATAACTTATTTATTTGCCACATATTTCTTAAGCCTTACCTTTTCCTTCCCTATAAATGAATGAATGAATGAATTAATTAGTGATTTTTAATTATAATGTAAATTGATTTGAAGGTAAACATATATATATATATATACACATAAATGGATAAATACATGGATACATGTACCTTCACATATATGACAACACACATACACACACACACACACACATATAGATATGGACAGACTGACAGACATACACATATAAAATATGATTAATAATAGGTATTGAAGTTTGAAATCTTCTTCAGTTGAAATAATCAATGGAACAAAAATCATTTAAAGTCATTTTCTTATAAAGGGTAAAACAAAAGAGCAACAGAGCATTTTTACAGTTGTCTTATGAGGGACAGCAATGCGCATATATATATATATATATATACACTTCATTTGTTGTGTTTTCGATGATTTCAAAAATCAAAAATGCAGCAAAAGAAAAACAAAACGAATTTTCAAAATATGAATCATTTCAGTTGAAGAATAAAAAGTGTTGAAAGGAAGAGAGGGAAAGTAATCAATGTTCGTTGAGAAAATTATAGAAAAAAAGTGTCATCTTTTTCGGGAACAAAAACCGGAATTTGTTTTAGAAAATTACTTGACCTTTTTTTGTACTTCGTAGAAGAAACAAATTCGGGAAGATTTCATCTATCGGGTCACTAAAAAAAATTGCATTATTTTTCAACATTTGGATTTTTTTCTGCACTCAAATCTCTATTTCTTTCTTTTTTGTTAAAAAAAAAATTGGAAAATAATTTTTGAACATTTTAAAAAAAGAAAAAGAAAAAACATTTTTGAAATAATTTGAAAATTTCAAATCAAAAAAGGAAAAAAAAAAGATTATCGGAAAATCTTTTTCAAGTTCACTGTCACCAAAATCATTTTTTTTTAGGCCAAATCTTACAATTCTTCCTTCGCCATTACAATGATAATCATCAGGCCTTTTTTTGGTATGGTAGGAATGAGATAATATTTTATATCATAAATCCTGATCGTGGTAAATAGCGATCCGGAATAAGCGAATATTTGATAAATCTTACAATTCTTCCTTCTACATTACAATAATGATCATCAGGCCTTTTTTTGGTATGGCAGGAATGAGATAATATATTATATCATAAATCCTGATCGTGGTAAATAGCGATCCGGAATAAGCGAACATTTGATAAATCTTACAATTCTTCCTTCTCCATTACAATGATGATCATCAAGTCTTCTTTTGGTATGATAGGAATGAGATATTTTATATCATAAATCCCGATCCCGGTAACTAGCGATCCGAAATAAGCGAGCATTTGGTAAACCTTACAATAATTCCTTCTCCATTACAATGATGATCATCAAGTCTTCCTCCATTACAATGATGATTAAGGCTTTTTTTTGATATGACAAGAATGCGATAATATTTTATATTTGAAATCTCGATCCCGGTAAATAGCGATCCAGAATAAGCGAACATTGGTAATTCTTAATGCTAATAATGCTAATTTCCCTTTTATGCTAATTCTAAAATTTCATTCAACAAATGAAATCATTAATGAAAAATGATGGAAATTTTAAAATGTAGATATATACAAAATAAAAAAAGCTGAACAAAAAAAAAGTTGACAGCCAATAGCGAGCGATAGAGAAGAAACAATCAACAAATTTCTTTTCTCTTATTACAAAATGATATCAAAAATTCGGTAAATCAACGAAGGGCACACTTTTTAACAAAGTAAACTTTTAGCATTAAAATGAGGGACGTTTGATATTTCAAAATATTTTAATATAAAATTTAATTTCCCAAAAAAAAAAAATAAATTACAAAATATTAATTAAAAATTAATTGTAAAACGGTTAATTAATGCAATATCGAGCTAAAGCGTGACAATGATATTAAATAATTTTGCTAAAAATGAAACAATTGATCGTTAATGGAGAAGAAAGCGATCATATAAAATTTTGAGTTTTTACATTTATGCTATTAGTGTGTGAAGATTTTAGCAAAAAGATTTAATTTTAAAATTAGGATTAAACAAACAATCATTGATCCTTTTGCTTCTCTTTTTGAACTAATAGAATTAACAACTAAGAGTTAGAGCATATCATATAGCTAACAATATAAAGAAGAATATTTCAATTGAATTGATATGTAAAGGTAAAATATAGTTACTATCAAATTTCACTGTTGTAGTAAATTGTTGCAGAAAATTTAAATGTACTAAGGTAAAATATAGTTACTATCAAATTTCACTGTTGTAGTAAATTGTTGCAGAAAATTTAAATGTACTAAGGTAAAATATAGTTACTATCAAATTTCACTGTTGTGGTAAATTGTTGCAGAAAATTTAAATGTACTAAGGTAAAATATAGTTACTATCAAATTTCACTGTTGTAGTAAATTGTTGCAGAAAATTTAAAATTTAAATTGTACTAAAAAAAAATGCTTTAAAATTGTCTTTACATTGAATTTTTCATTTAAGCATTAGTTTAATAAATTTTTTTGCAATATTTATAAAAAATAATCTGAAAATTTAGCAAAATATTTGTTAACTTTTTGATATTTTTTGTAAAAGATGAAAATGATTTTATAGCGTAGAAAATAAAAAAAATGAAATAATAAAGGAATGCGAATTATTTTTATCAAATTTTTTCGGCTTTTTTATCGGATCATCGTCGAAAATTTCTATTATCATTATTGATAGATCAGAGATTTGTAATAATGGATTCAAATAGAAATGCATGATAAATGTAATATATTAAATTCGATAATATATTTAATTGCATACATTAAAATGGTAAGCATTGAACTGAAATAATATAATTATAACAAATTGGAAATGAATTGAATTGAATTGAAATAATATAATTGTAACAAATTGGAATTGAATTGAAATAATGTAATTGTAACAAATTTGAATTGAATCGAATTGAAATAATATAATTGTAACAAATTGGAATCGAATTGAAATAATATAATTGTAACAAATTTGAATTGAATCGAATTGAAATAATATAATTATAACAAATTGGAATTGTATTGAATTGAATTGAAATAATATAATTGTAACAAATTGGAATTGAATTAAAATAATGTAATTG